GGCTGTTGGCCGGATTTGAACTTGAAGTAGAAATTATGAATGAACAGTGATTGGTTTATACAAAATGGATGTACTAAATGACTGGAAAGTGATGTAGCATATTCTTCATATCTCCTTTTTAAGGACCAGCAAGCAAGACAAAAAACAAAGAAACTCTTGTAATAACAATCTCTCCATGCCATGTTATACCACTTTGTGGACACTGCCTGAACTGCTTGTTTCCGGTGAAAAAAAGACAAATATTAGAAATTAAACAAAATAAAGTGTGTGATTCATGGGCTATACAAATCCCCCAATACCTTAAATCAACTCCTGTTGTAACATAAGACTTGAGACAAAATGAAGGCAAAACATTCCCTTAAGTGTTAAGTCAGCGAACAGTTGGCCTTTGTGTACAAAATAACATGAGAACAATGGGAAAAATAAACAGACAATTTATGCATTGCAAAAGGATATAGGGCGTAATCTTAACAGGAATTTGTAGATTTACTTTTTAAATTACGTTAAGTTATCTTTTGGCTGCCAGCAAAGAAATAGGTCTTAACTTGATCCTATGAAAATGAAAATTGCTTATTTTTCATCAATAGTAGAAATGTTGTATGAGTTGTTCTGTACACAGTCTTGAAGACCTGAAAATACCAGTGTATAATTGTTGGGTAAGGTTATTCAAAATGAGAAAAGAAATACAAAAACAGCAATTTTTATGCTTTATCTCAGTCACAAAAATTCATGGTACAGAGCCAATAAGAAACAGTGTGTAGCTTCTCAGTTTCTGTATCATTGGGCATCCATTCACATGTCCTGTGAGTAGTTTAGTGGACAGACAAGTGGAGAATCTATTGATGCTTTGCGTTACCTTAGAACAGCCCAACGTTCCTGTATAACAGACTACAAGTCTCCATCCAAAATGTGGTTTAGACCACCACTGCACAAGAACAAACACAACTGAATAAATTCTCTCCTATAAACCACTTGGTTTTAGAAAATATAGTAGAAATAAAAACTCCTTTTGTTTTACTTTGCTTGTATTTTATGGGATAATTTGGATTTGGATTGTTAAACATATGTTTAATATATAACTTGGCTAAGAACCACGAGTTTTATGCCTCTAACACACCAGTCTTGAAACTTCATACAAAAGTAGATACATAAATCAAATCTTGGAAAATAGATAACACTGTTAACTCTTTATCTTGCAGCAAGACTTCTTGAAGAAAGAGAACTAAATTATTGTATTTTTTTCTTTTAAATTCTTAATTCAAGAAAAAGGTCAATATTAAAGCATTATCAACTTATTATTTTTTGATCAGTTTTTATAATTGTAAATGTTTTTTTAGCCGACCTAAAGATGGAGGTAATGCGAGAGCGGGAATTACGTGAAACTTTGGAAAAACAACTACATGATGAACAGAGAAGTAGAGGTAAACAAATTTGTGAACATTTTGTTAGTTAGAAAATACACCATACTTTTTTTGTATACATCTAAGCTTAAGGAACAACAGAGACAGAATTTGTTCAAAATTTTGACTGATGATTTTTTTTTATCAGTGTTAGTCAACGTTTTTATCACTTGATTACTTTCAGTGATGCTACAGAAGAAGCTGAAAAGAGAGAAGAAAGTCCGGCGACGCCTCCAGGATCAGGTGGAAGGAGAGTCTAAACAACCTAACCTGTCGCTGGACAGACCTTCACCCAAAACTTCACCACAGCATGAACAACAGGACAAATTACAGACCTACACAGGTATCCAAAATTTTGTTTTAAATTAAGGTGTTTTTGAGATGTTTGTTTGCTATTTTTCTTGTTCTTCGATCTTTCCCCTTTTCTTTATTTCAGTTTATTTCTTTTATACTGGTACGTACTATATTATTTAGATTAATCGATTTTAAGAAGACACCAAATGATCTGCCAAAATGAACTATGTGTTTCCCTACTTTTATCCTACTATTTGATTCCCTGACAATGTGATCTTCTTGTTAACAGCATTGTCATTTTCCAAGTGAAAGAATATGACACTACATATCATAAGAAAACATATCTAGTTATTTTGTCACACCATCATCACTAAAGTAGATGCCTCCTGTTTGAAATTAAACGAAGTTTTAAAACTAAAAAGTGTGAAATGCACACCAATTCTTGTAATAAACACACTTTATATGATATTACTCAGAACCTCCTGTGGCAGAGCAGGAAAGTGAAACAGAAAGAACCAGTAACAACAGTACCCCAGATCACGATGACAGGACACAACAAATACAAGGTGAGGGGTCCATGACACAATCTAGACTGAGAATACACATGAGCTATTGTTACTTTAGTTGCCATCTTTTTACTGTACTTGCAGGCCTGTCTTAAAATTTCATTAACATCCTACTCTATCAAAGTTATGGTTTTAATGCATGTCAGTAACTCTAGATCTATCATCACCACAACTCTTAAAGGAACTTCCAGATGGTGTGTGTGTATGTGTCTTAAAATTATTTTAAAAATAAAGATGAGTGTTATAGGTATAAGAAAAATGTTGACGTTATTTAAAAATAGACATTTTCCCAAAAAGCAGGGTACCTACAAACATGTACAAAATCTTGAAACTCTCCAATATATTTTTCTTTCAGATGCCCAGTCCAGACTGCAAGCATTGAGAGAGAGTTACCTGCCCCACTCCAGCAGCCTAGCCATGTCAAGCTATGCCAGCATGGCTATAGGAATGGCAGCACCTACAACTCCTGTGTAATAATGGCATTTATGAAGGTTCCCACAAAATTTTATCTTACTAAGCAGTGAACAAAATGGCATTTTTAAGAGACCTGTGTATTAATTAGTGCTGCCCCCTGGTGGACCTGTGTTTTGATGAGTTGGCTGGAATGACAGTTCAAACATTACCACAGATGGCAATTATTAAAACCCTGCGACGGGTTGTGCCATGGGGTTTGCTTAAGACAACTTAGATGGCACCCCCAACAAAACGTCTGAGGGAAAAATTCATTATAGAAATTGTGGTTTTCCTTTTTGCATCTTTACCCACCAGTAAGGATGCCCCTTTAATATCCAGATAGATACAGATGTTGTAGGTGTTAGTAAACACAGACATCGCCTTTACCTAAGTGTAACATGTTACAACACATTTTCAGCTTGATAGTTCTTTCAGTAACTACATTGTGCTAGAGACGAATGCGTGGTTGTGCCATTGTGCTTTGTTAAGGTAGACAAGTCAAGAATATGGACTTTACTTTGAAATCTTTTGCTTTATTACAAGGTAATCAATTTGTTGTGACAAAGTTAACTGGAAACTTGAATAAGGTTTTTGAAAATGTGTATAATTATTTTAAAATTTCCTTAGAAAAAATGTCAACCAATTACATTATTCATCATTGTGTAATTGTGTAAAAACTTACTAGGTTGTCTGAAACATTGAGTCAAGTACATACATGTGTAATTACATGTCATTTTTCAAGATTCTTTTGTACTCTGCTAGTCTCATTGATCAATATGATAAACAAATGTGTAGATATGTGAATACCTGTGCCAACCATGATATATTTAAAAACAATAGAGACCAACGAGTTTGATGGTAACTAGTGTACAGAAGAAGCAATTTACATTTTTATGGTAGAACAGTGTTGTCACCTTGTTAGCTTGAACTCAGTCAAGTTTTTTTCATGTACAAATATTTGCAGATTTGGAGATGACAACAGAAAACAAGCTGTAGGGAGGCCATTTTATATTTAGTGGGATTACCTGTATCTTATGGGTATTTTTTAAAATGAGGTGATAAATTTGCATTTGATATATTTGTGTAATAAAGAAACTTTAATATTGTTTTGTATTACACTTAAGTGTATTGCTAGTAGTCCCCCCCCCCCCCAAAAAAAAGGCCAAGAATTTCACATGACATGACATGACATGACATGCTTATAAGCTTATATCAGAACCTTTTCTGTAAACATCTTTTAAAAATTTGAATCCTGTTAATTTCATAACATTTAAGTTTCTGTGACTGTTTTATGATAGAACTTTTTCGAGAAACAAACCACAGTACATTTCTTCAATATAGTTGGTACAATATAAAAGTAACTATGTTGTTTCAATACTTCATTTATGAAAAAATCCCCTCATTGTATTTCCTGTCCAGCAGTACATATATATCAGTGACACATTTGTAAAACCTGATTAATATAAGTAATAATAACTCTCAGAGTGCCATATGTAAAGATTCAATTTTTTAGAATTTTTTTAGGTAATTATGTCAGGTTAAAAATAGACATAGTACTTGTATTATAGTTGATATTTAAAAGAAACAAAAAAAGACAAAAGCAGGGCGAATCTTACTCAAGTTTATATGGTTCACTTACATGATAGGCGTCTTCACATTATGGTGACATCTTGCAAAAGAACATTGTTACACTGTATATTAATGGCTTTTATTCCAGTGTTCTTATTAGAGTGACCATTTATAATAAATTGGGATTATTTCATCTGTCTTGAATATAAGATTAATGTATAGTTTTGGCTCTCCACTAATGTCTCCAATAGAAATTAGTTGATTTTGCTGTAGAGGATCCTTGTTATCGTGTACATGATGTAGTGGGATGTTCAGTGTTCCAATCATTATAATAATTGTAAAATACCATGATTTTTAAATAAAATTATCACACATTGGTGTTGTATGCAGTGTCTTATTGTTTTTCCTAAAGTTATCACATTAACAATCTTTAAATAAATAGTTTTACTTTTTTTAAGTGTCATGATACAAACAGAATGAGAACATAAAGAACTCTTTGGGAAAGCTTTTTAATGTATTTAGCAACTTAAATAGAAAATATGGCAAAAAATGCCTACAATTACACAGCATTCCATGACGTACATTAAAGTGGGTTGAAAACATTCACCATACAGGCTCACAAAGACATTTTACACAAATTTTATAATTAGACACTCTTAAAGCAGCGCATATGGGATCACATCTAACTTGTATCCTTCGACCAAGATATTCATGTATCTTAACCAAATCAATGACAAAGTTGCAACTTTGTGAAATAGTGGCATTCAACATTTTTGAATAATCACAACTGGTTTTGTAATTTATTAGATTTTATGAGTCACATTTAAAACACTTACACAGAATTACCCGAAAAAGACACAAAATGCAGAATCACGAATTGAAAATTACGATAGTTGTAAGATAGCAAACTTTGATCTGGCCGTCTCTAATCAAGTTGGGCAAGAACACTGTTCCAGGGACAGTGTTTTGAAGAGATAGAGACTTGAGGATTACATAAGGCTTTGGGGCTTTTTAAGGTGGGGGAGGGGGGAGGCATCAAAACTACACATATATTTGTATGTGTTAATGAGAGTATTTCTCACTACCGTATATTTGCCCTAACTTCTGCCCTATTTGCCTTAAATTCAGCCATTGGTCTCAAATTTGCATACTTACAGATAAGAGAAACCAGCCCTTCTTGTCAAATGTGGGCATCAATACTAAACCTTTTTTCAAAGAGCCATAGCTTCTAGGAAAATAATGGAAGCATAAGAGAGTAGTTACAATAACAAGAAGCAAAAAATGTATGTGACATTTAATTCAGTACTTTCCTTTCCAATCACAATTCTTTAGGGTCTTAATTTTAATCACTTATTTTTGTCTTTTCTGATCTCTCACATATGGGTTTGCTAGGTGCTATTTGTTGCAAGTCATAATATTTCATGGTTTTTCTTTCACTTAGATAAAAAAAAGAGAAATGAGGCTAATTTCACTATGATATAACTGTTTCTGTATATTACTCTATCAGCAGTACAGTCTTATATCATTAACACAATAAAGATATGTTTAGATGTGGTGGAACTCGACACCAAACCAAGCATCAAGTTTGTTAGCTCATCATATTAATAAACCAATGGTTCAAATATCTTATCCTCAGTGGGGTCTCTATATTAGTCCTGCCCTGTGTACAAAGACACCACTATGTCTCAGGCATTTAGATCAATGGTAAATCAATATGGTCACCTAACAGCATTTTAGACCCATATTCCTTTCAGGTCACACCATATCTGTTCATTACATGTGAATTCAGTTTTCCATCGTTGTATTAGAACTAAGGTGGAAAATTTGGAGCAAAACTGCAATTAGTCATATTTCATTTCATCTAGAACACTTTTCGGGGATATTCACTGTGCAATTTGACTGATCTAAATGTGCTACACTTAAATGCTGATCCATGAAAATGTGGAAGGACATTTTCACTCCATAATTATTCTTACAAATATGAAAAACTTGTGCTTTATCCAATGCTTGGTATTTCAATTTTCTATTAATAATTTAGGGATATTTTAATCAATGGGTCTGAAATCCACATTTTGTTCATTTGTGAATTGTTTTAACAATGCATTATGCAGTTCTTTCATTTTTTATATTATTGAAATACTAAAGCTGTTTTCATGGACCATCCCAAGTCATCAAGTACTCCAGAAATTGCAACTGGAGATTTTTTTCAGCTAGAAGCAAACAATCTCTTGAAGTGAATGTCTTTCTCAGAATATCTCATTACTGCTGCTGTTGTTGTTGTGTAACATATGTTGGGGCAAGTCTGTTCACAAATGCTATACCTTTAAAAGTTAGGTTTCTAACAGCTTGTGGACACTGTGGCTTGTTGACCAGGTGTTCAATGGTCATCCTTAACTCCCAAAATAAGGTCCTGAAATTAAACGACAACTGCCAGATCAGTAAAATGTCACTTTCCTTAAGTCAGGAGTGCAAATACAGGATAAAATAATAAATTCAACCTCTTTAAGTTTCTTTATTGTAAGAATACTTCATTGAATGAGACACAAATGCCTTTATGCATGGTGTCGCAAAGTAGCAATCCTACTCCAGTTTTGTGACTTTTTTCTAATTATTTTATTTATTTTCTTTTAGGTAGAATTTGAAAATCATGAATTTTCTGCATTTAAAGTCAGCATTTAAGAATAAACATGTTTCAGCCAGAATAAGAGAATGTACAAGAGCTTGGTATCCCTAAGACTTCACCTGTTAAAAAATGTGATAGTTGTGCAAGTGGTTACACCCTGTCACAATCTGAACAAAGGTTCAAATATCAATTTACCTGCAATATGGATTTCTTCTAGAAGTATAGCGTAGACTCAAGAACCGGTAGTAAAGGAATGGAAACAATAATGAAGCTCGCCCACTGAAAATTAAAAAATATATATATATATATATATATATATAAAACAAACTGTTCCACCTGCCAGATTCAAGTAAATAGAATTTTTTAATGGTTAAACTAATTCATTTTCTTAAGTCCTTTTGTATATACAGGAAACATCAAATTACTGAAAATAAGACGTGAATAAGATGACATTACTCATATAATCTCAGTAAGTCATACATAACTCACAAGTAGAGGTTTACCAATAGCTAATTTACGTCAGTTTAACAGACTTCCGTGCATTTCAATAAAATTGTGAACAGAGATAAATAAAAGTAAAGCAACAAGAAACAAAAATTTTTCCCTGAATTTTTATATTCCAAGGCATATGACCCAACAATGATACCACCAATTATTTAACTTACGTAAATATCATAAAGATGGAGGTTGGCATGATGAAAATCTCTGTGCAGGCTACGAATCTCAGGATGCTCACTTGTTGGCCATCTAACTTGCCAATCAAATTACGCACCAACTGCAGGGAATTGGGTCCTAGTTTCTAGGAAACAAAATCAGTCATATAAACAACATATTTCTTTAATCAACTGATAAAAAAACAGTTATCCATCTTAGTGTGATATGGATGTTTATGGTTAAGATTAGAAACAGTTATATTACGCAACATCGAAGGAACTGGAAACAATAAATATCATCTTACAATGTGTTAAATCTGAATGTGTGTGTACATGTGCATAATGCATGTACTTACATCAAGAAGAGCTCTTGTGAAGCTTGAGGCATGGAGCAATGCAAAGAGAAATATTGGCACCAAAGCCACTGGTAGAAAGTTAAGGAATCATCAAATCATATTTAGCAAAATAAGCATTTTAATGTAAAAAAAAAAATTATCACTAAGTTATTAATAACTGCACACTAAATGTGTATCAAGTGAAAATTAATGAAATTCAGTATTTTATACATATAAAGACCTAATCAATGACAGGCAAGCACACATACCAAACACAAAATCCTGTTACTAAAAAAGTTATATGCTGCTTTTTTCAAATGAAAGGCTGTTAAGGGTTAATCATCAGGATATTCTTACATTTTACACATCTTAAACTACAACAGGAAAACTTCACAAATATTAAAGGCAAAGGCTGGAGCCAGAAGTTTAAACACACACACACACATGCACACTTTGATGAAAATTTCTGAACAGATGTCCATTTCTACACTGTGCTCAGTACACACAAATCTAGTATGTACACTAATATAACCTTTATAATTTTTATAGGAATGCCGCAATATTGCACCGTTTTTTAAAATCATTAAATTAAAAAGATTCTCTAAAAGGTAATGTTTTCCAGTTTCAACAGTTCCCATATCATGACATGGACATGCTTGTTTCTTTAATGCCACATCAAAACCTCAAACATAATAGTCATGATTCTTTATTATATAAATAGGGCAGTTGTAAAATAACACCATTGTTTAGCAAAAAAAAGAAAAACAAGAAGCAGTTTATGTAACATGATCATGTAGTGGGCAAGAAAAAGTGTAAGATTTATTAAGTTGAGTGAAATCCATCCCCTCATTATTTACACAATCTACACAGCCAGGTACTGTCAGGTACAGTCAGGTATTGGTAAGACACAGATTTAGGATGAAGGACTATAGGCATTGATACATATACCAACATAACAAAAAATATAAATAACCAAAGAAAGGAAAAAAAAAAAAACATTTGAGAGAACCAAGGGTAAGAGAGGTTTATTCAGTGATTCTAGAACACTCTTTGACGATTTCATAAAACAAAAATCTAATATCTTAGCTCTTAACCTTTACTCTTTTTAAAATTATATTAATGTGATTTTCACTGGGCAAAATCTTGAATTTTACAGATAATCTGTTAATTCAATGATAAATTCTTAAAGTTAGAACATTATCAAGTTAGCAACAAAACTAAAAAGCAGGCTGCCTTAGTTCCATTCTATACAATAAAAGCATCATAAATACTACAAAGAAATAATTTTCAATAAAATAATGTATCTGAAAAATTGATAATTCTTCCCCATTGAAAAGATTGAGTAATTACCATAATAATAACAACAAAATGTCTAAAATCCATTTAAAATGTTTAGTGGACTTAACAAAATAATGATTTAAGAAATGTACAGACAATATTAATGAGTAAAATAAACAGTTAAATATTAAGAAAATAAGTACAAAGTTAAAGGCACTCTGCACTTTTTGAAAATTCTGCACAGTTGTATCTATGGTCCCATTTAGAATCCAAGGGTCAAATATGGCAGCCCTCTACAAAGCTTGCTGTCTAATCTGCTAATAGACATAATATAGGTATCTGGTGGGGAAGTAGGCCTATTCAAGTGGATGTGCCATATTTGACCCTCGGACTAGTTAGTCCCCTATTCTGAATGGAGCCTATGTACTGCAAAGCCTCTTGTATCTCAATTCAAACTTAAAAGACAATACAACCCTTTTTTTTTTAAATAAAAGTTCATCTGAAGTATACACATTGTGCAATGGTTATTATTTTCTCAGCCTTCTTGGGTAGCTTTTGACAGCTCACAATGTCATTATTATACATGGCGCAGGGACATGATTCATTTTCTTTTCATGCCTGTGAAGGCAAAGAAGGCAGATGCCATCCCAAAATAACTGGCAAGTCATTTAGAAATCAATTACTTAATTAAAAATGGAATAAAAAATGAATCCAAGAGCTAGGGATAGATCAAGCAATGATTTGTGAGGAGAAAATTGTCCATTTAGGCTGGTAAATTCTTAAAGCACAGTTTAAATCCAGTCTATTCAGCTGTTAATTCTTNGCCAACGGAGCCGGACGAGACGGGTCGGGACTAAAACCATGAGTACCGCCAGCGTACACGCTGGTGGTACTAATTACCATAATAATAACAACAAAATGTCTAAAATCCATTTAAAATGTTTAGTGGACTTAACAAAATAATGATTTAAGAAATGTACAGACAATATTAATGAGTAAAATAAACAGTTAAATATTAAGAAAATAAGTACAAAGTTAAAGGCACTCTGCACTTTTTGAAAATTCTGCACAGTTGTATCTATGGTCCCATTTAGAATCCAAGGGTCAAATATGGCAGCCCACTACAAAGCTTGCTGTCTAATCTGCTAATAGACATAATATAGGTATCTGGTGGGGAAGTAGGCCTATTCAAGTGGATGTGCCATATTTGACCCTCGGACTAGTTAGTCCCCTATTCTGAATGGAGCCTATGTACTGCAAAGCCTCTTGTATCTCAATTCAAACTTAAAAGACAATACAACCCTTTTTTTTTTAAATAAAAGTTCATCTGAAGTATACACATTGTGCAATGGTTATTATTTTCTCAGCCTTCTTGGGTAGCTTTTGACAGCTCACAATGTCATTATTATACATGGCGCAGGGACATGATTCATTTTCTTTTCATGCCTGTGAAGGCAAAGAAGGCAGATGCCATCCCAAAATAACTGGCAAGTCATTTAGAAATCAATTACTTAATTAAAAATGGAATAAAAAATGAATCCAAGAGCTAGGGATAGATCAAGCAATGATTTGTGAGGAGAAAATTGTCCATTTAGGCTGGTAAATTCTTAAAGCACAGTTTAAATCCAGTCTATTCAGCTGTTAATTCTTTCTTAAAGTGACATTTCCTGTAACTCAAAGAAATTATGCTGCCATTCAAAAGTCAAAGTATCATACAAACAAAATACTGTTTTCATTACCATCACTAAGGGATATAACGTTTTAACACTGCACCGTACTAAAAAAAAAAAAAAACTAGATCTACCCTTGTAAAATAACATCAGCATTATATATACACATCAGGCAACCGTGAGATCATCTCGTCACAATGCAGTTTGCTAATTCATTAACATGATTCCCACATTTCTACTGCTGATCTCATCCCTACCAATCTGGAAAAGACAGAAAATAAGCAACATAAACAAGTGATTTCTCAATTCTCCTGGCATTTCTCTAACCATTTTTCTTGCTGGATACATTCTATGGATGTATTGTTGTCTTTGTGCGCAAGAACCAGTACATGTGCTTTCATGCACAAAAAAGCAGAACCACAAAATGTACAAAGGCCACCTGCAGCAAATCATTTGCCTAAGGGACTAATATGCTGTGCAAAAGTTATTTTTGATAAGAATTACATCTAACTATACATGTCCAATATGCCATGTTTTAAACAAAGTCTAGGCACTGTACACACTTTTGTAACAACTGTGTCTCTGAAAATATGCCAATTTTTTTCACTATTGATTTGAACGTTAGAGCAAAAAAAAAAAAAAAAGTCATTGCAATTGTTACTTTCAAATCAAGACCATATTCTCTAAAGCTTGTGACATACAATTTTGTAACATTTTGTCTAGTCTCTTTTTATTTTCATAAGTATGCCTAATTACATTGTGTTGTAAGTGAAAACCTGTTGAGAATTTGGGTAAATGACAACCACAAACTTTGTGTTTTGAATATTTAAGACCAAGCAAAGAGACTTGAAAATGGCCATAGACAATTCTGCCATGACCACAAAAATGATAAAAATGATCTGGTAAATGTGCTTGGACACAGAAATTACAATGAATGAGAGAATTAACAGACATTAGTTATTTTTGGAAAAGGCTGATGTACTAAAATTTTTGATAAATATTAATTGTCCACAGTGAGCAAACTCAATTCACCAAAAAACACCTTGCAGAAAGTACATAAAAGCAAACTGGTGTACTAACAAAACTGGTAAATTTTAGATAAAAAAAATCAATTACTTAACCCATTAACTTATTTAGAAAGACAACAAGCTTGAAAAATGCAGGCCTCTTAACACCATTTTTGCAGACGTGGCCTAAAAGATTGCGAAACAGGGGTGCATTATCCTTGACCCCTGTAAGAGTCAGTGAATGAAATCACTTACATTAATGAAAAGTTAGATCAGTAGTTAAAAATAAAAATACTCATACTTTATAAAGCACTGGTGCCACATGAAGTGTTCAGAAGAGATAGAGTATGCTTCAAGTTTTGAAGGGTGAGAATTAAATTTGTTACTGGTGTTTCGGCAAATAAAAAATTTTGACAACAGGAGTGTTACAACTTGTGTAGATATAGCCAGCTGAAGTGAAACCAGGTAAGAAAAACCAAACTTTTTACGTTCATAAAAAAAAAAAAAACATATATCAAAAAAATTTAGTTGGGGAATGATTTTTTTTACAAACAAATTGAAAACCAAATGTAAAGCAAATCTGCTTATTAAACGCATACAATGCATATTAAGTCTTTATAAAAAATAATGATTTTCCCAGAAATTTTAATGCCTTTTCCTTAATCACCAAGGTATACAAAACCACTGATGAAATCACAATCTAAAAACTATTATTGGATTTACAAGTTTCTAAGATTTGAGTCAATTTCACAATGGAGATGGAATCTGGTAAATTTTACTTGTCACAAAAAAAAAAAATGGAAATTTAACATGAGTAAATAGACCACAATTATACCTTGGCAATTCAGATTAAATTGTTGAAATTAATTTTCCATTACATAAAGGTCTAATGAACATCACGCAGCTTTAAATAACTATTGCTTTGAAGTATTTGAGGATCAAGGATGAACATGGGCAAACTACTGATGTTTTTATTTAGGTCTTAGACTGGGTTCTCATAGAGTTAGATCGATCTATCCGGATCGACCGAACTCCTTGGGGGTTCACGCTAAATTGGTGTCAGCCGAGCGGACATGAAAGTTAATTACCCCCTTACAGCTTTTAGTAGGCGGGACAGACATTTAAGCCGGTCAGGCTGACAACAATCTAGTGAGACTCCCCATGGTGACAGATCGATCTAAAAATCTATGGGAATGCAATCTTGGTCTTCCTTTGTAAGCCAAGTTTTGTAAAAATGAAAACTATCAAATGAAAGACATTTGCACTAATCAGCAATCTAATCAATGGATCACCCCCTCTACCATGACCTGCATGCTTCTTAACACCTAAATATTCAACTACATAGGCAATGTTGTCAAGACACCGTAAGGTAAGGGAAACATTTTTTTGAAGTGTAGGTTCTTTCATAAAATTTAAGTGGTATTTGGTATTAACAAATTAATATTTGACTTGTTCAAATAATTATCTTTTACAATAAAAATACCAAGATTATGATTATATCATATACAAAAATACAATTTTTTTGTCAATGCCTTTTGTTACTCCATTTCACAAACCCAATCAAAATTAATCCTGTTGTATCATCATGTTGAGTGTGTGTGTGTGTGTGGTGGGGGGGAGAGGTCTGGTAACAGCTGTATTACATGCAAAACCTGACTTCTAACATGCCATGGCCATCTCTGTGACTTGGCAACTGGGAACAAATACCACTTGATTCAAGACGCAACACCAAGTTATCCAAATTTTGCAATTACATGTGGCTAATAGGATCATTTGGCGGTTTTCATTCAATANGGGGGGGGGGGGGAGGGGGGGGGGGCATTTAAGTGACCTTGTTACTAAATAGCCAGGGTATTAAGTTATCTCCAAAAAATAACTATACAACTAAAGCTGAAAAGGTCTAATAAGACATGTTCATTCTCAAGAAAAGGGATACCGAATTTGAATTTTTATGCTTTATTTTTAGGTAAATATGTCCTTAGGGTGCATGTTGTGGGGTCACCAATTCTTCCATGACATACAGTAATTAGGGGAGGCAGTCACCAGTCTAGCACATTTCAACTGATAAAATCAGACAGGGTGATTTAATCAAATCAGACACCCCAAACAAGAGGGCTTTTGATTTGGCTGACACAAGGCTCTGCTGCATTTTTTTCATCTTAATAAATTGTTGTCTTCACATCTCAAAATAAGATCTTCCGAAATAAAATTTCAGCTGTGCGCTCAACAATTTTGTCAAAAACACCATCCTGAATCAATGACATGATTTGGAAGGTATACATATTTTCTGCCTACATCTTCATTTAACTAAAATATGGCACTAAAATAAAATATAAATGGGAATGTGCACAAATAAAACATGCATTGATGTAGCATAATCGCAACTGCTGGACATAAAATTTTTATTTGTGCTTTAATGGTTAATTTCATGGCAACCTATATGGGCAGGTGTAGAACACTGGTTACAACAGTAAAATAAACCGTGGAAAAATGGTAATTTTTGGTAATGCTCTTTAAGTGAGTATGTGTGTAAAATACTCTATAAAATGTGATTAGCTGCAAGGACCATAATTACATATCTTTTGACTAAAATAGACCTAAAGAGTCTAAGGCAAAACCAAACAAATAAAATGCAATAAATAACAATCCACTTCTTCAATGTTTACATACAACAGCACATTGTTCCAATAAAATTACAACTGAAAGCATTCTAGAGGTGATTGCTATTATGTGTCCAACTCAGTCATTAAAAAGCTAGACTTCAATTACAAAGTCATTTGGTCTTATTGAAGAGAAGCATTGTTTGGTTTTAGGCAAGTGGTACTCATTGCGCCCTGACACACTTTCTTAACAGATCTTTGTCTTTGGATGACAACAGTCTTTTCTGACAGGCATATTAGGGCTACGGCTTTGACACTTCCATTTGTATTCACATTGTAGATGCCTCACAGGTGAAGGTCTTGGCTGATTTTTAAAAAGCTGGATTTAGTATTACATCAACACAGAGAGCTACATTTGCCTGACTGTCAATGGTACAAGATATGGAAAAAGGTAACCTGAGTACCAAAAGAGCTTTAATCAGGGTCATGGTTCATAACTTGGTACATAAAAATTGAGAAGGGTGTGACAAAAGTTTTGACAAATTAGGTTTTGCAAATTTTTCTCTTAAAATTTTTCTAATCATAATAGAACTTATGAGGCTGGTTAAAATCAAAAGTGTGAAAAAAGAACATGTTTAAGATGCAGAATTTACATGTTTTTACATTACATTTAGCATTTTGACAGTGAATTACAAATAAAACCTTTAAAATATAATGTTACAGGCTTTTACTAGACAACAACCCTAGTAGGTTAGAAATGAGGAAATGGGCTATAATAGACTTCATTTATGATGAAAAAAATTTTAAATGTCACAAGATTCTAGCTCATAATGTAAGCCTTTGCATATACTCATGTACTTTCCCTTACACATAATGTGCAAAAAAGGAAAAGTTCAGAGTTTTTATATTTATTGATGGTAAAAACATGGTAAATTAAAAAAACACAAAAAAAAAAAAAAAAAAAAAAAATTTGTCTTCCCTGTGGCTCTCTGTAAACTCTTGGTAAGCAGCAATTTACAGCATTAACCACAACTCTGTAGCAACTGACTAGCAAAAATTAGGCGTTGGATTTGGGCCAGTAATTTTCTGCATGAGGCCTACGAGTCCATTTGACCACAGGGCTGAAATGTTTATTGTGCAGACAGTGACAGGTAGAAAACCCCACATTATAATGTTGTTGTACTTGGTGATTCCATAAAACCACAAAAACATAAATCATTGAAGGATAAACCTTTATGAACTAAAGGATGTAATCTGACCCTGTGGGTCATGGTCACTGATGAATGGGAGTATTCAGGGTCACCCCCTTTATTGACCATCACATGTCAGATGACATGTGACTACTTAAGCTGTCACCTTGCAACCCGATTTTGGACCAGTAACGTAGAACTCATAGTCCACGATCACTTTGCAACCTGATTTTGGACCAAATGTAACGCAGAATTCATAGTCCTTGATTTAAGCCAGTCAATTACCAGTATACCAAGGTAAAAGAAAATCAAATGGTGATTCGATTCCAAAAAAGAGGGTTTGTATTTAGTTACTTATTTCCAGGTTTCTTTATTAAAACCTGAAATCATGGATCTATTTTAATTTTCAGATTCTTCGACTGATGACTTGCAAAAAAGTCTGTTACATCACTGGCGAATGGTGCTGAAAGGTATGTGAGATACACTTGATCAAACTGTTTAAAAATAAAAATAGTAACACGAATCACGACATATCCTCTTGTGGTTACTTGTTTACAATCTTATTTCATTTTGCTTCCAGGTTTGCGTACTAGTTCAATGTCACTTGGAATTGAGCCAAACCATTTTGGATATCAAGTGTAGGTAATATTGAGGACAGTGCCCAAAGTGTTCAAAGGGTGTGCACAGGTATCATGATAAAAACAACTCTACAGAGAAAAGTTTTTTATCATTTTCTAAAATAACTGTGCTTTAACAAATGGGATGTATGTGTATTACACAATAGGACACGTATATGCACCATGAAAGGTTTGCTGGTTCCAACAACCACTAAAGATTTTCCTACAAATCTTCAATTTGCATCAGAAAGTAGAGGACCTGACAGTGTGAAAAATGCGACGAGTCTTCAACATGCGTCTTCTTTCACAGTAGCCTCAGGGCTTATTGGAGGCTCCATTACTGCAGTTGTATTTCTGATAATTATTGTTATAGCTTCAATGTGCTGGAAGAGCCGAAGCAGTTCCGGGTCTTGTTTTGGTGGTGACGGTGACAGAAGAGTTCGGGAAAGACACACAGTGTTTGTACTTGGCAATAGGAGGCAGCATCAGCCCAATGAAGAAGCAAGACAGTATGGTTCCAGTTCTGTTACAAACAATGATGTTTCCAGCAGCTCACGAGAACATAGAATAACTGTGGATACATATGATGAGACAATACAGGAAATAACTTGAAGAAAACAAGCTATTAGTGTTAAAATGAAGTGAATTTACAAGGCTCAGGTTCAGTTACGCATGACTAAAGGATAGAACTATAAATGACAATTCTTAGAATATGAGGCAGTTGCCAATGTCCTGAGCCTAAGCACCATAGAAAGAAAAGAATCAACCCAAATGAAAGTCAATCAAAAACTTTCATTTAGTCTGACAGTGAAGTTACAACTAACAAAATTGCATGCTACTAATGGGATTCCTGCACCTCAAGCTTCTGGGATTCATCGTGCACGCCTTTTTCAGTAAGTGAAATGTTAGACTAACAATAAATGGAAAAGCAGGACTTGATGTTAACGGAGTTCCCAATAATCTTTGCATCTCAGGATGGTTTTCTACAGCTGTATTCATAACTGTTCATTTACACTGGGATCCCACACACCTCCTTGGTCCAACTGACATCAGAATTCAGTCAGATCCCAAGACACTTCAGAGTTTTTCAAAAATCCCTACCTATACTGGGATTCACACTCACCTTGCTAAAAGTTTAGCCAAACGCATGAAGTCAACTATGCAATATTGGTCTTAGAGCATAAGTGGTCCCAAGTTAATGTAGCTGACATTCCTAAATGAGCCACTATCACTACTGACAAGACAAAATTCACTCTTCTGGTGCTTACTTAATACCCCATCTACTCCATTTTTCTAGACAAGCAGTGGATTGGGGGTTTCTGAGAGCATTTCAGATAGCACATTGCAACTGGAAACAGGTGAGGGGCTATATGAGCATGCACACTCAGGACACCAGAAAAGGAACCCTACCAGCCAATTATCTGTCAACATGTGTGTTTCCTTTTATTGTTCAAAATGTACCTGATAAGGTTGCTGTGATGTTTTTGTATTGTAGATGATGATCCAAATAAACAGTTTTTCACAGAAGGTAAAAAATCTGGAGGAATAGTGCAGTGCATGACGCAATATTTTTGTATGCTCATGGTCTCCTGTGCAGCACATACACGATTGATAAAACAGTAATTGGGGACCTGGATTTTTAGCCAAGGGAATTGGATTCACTTCTTTGTACACAAAAGCAATTCAAATTTTATACAAGCAATTAGAATCGGAGAAAATTTGACTTTCCAAATGGCAATGTGAAAGGAGCATAAAAAGCATAAAGTAACAATGCAAGTGGCCTATTACTGCAACATTCTTTGTGAAACTAAGCTTAGGCTACTTCATTTCTTTAATACTCTATTACCTAAGACTCATTTTTAACTGCAGTCATTCTGTGAGATGCCCATCTTGTGATGTCAGTGAAACTATAGAAAGGAAATTTTGGAAGTTCTAAAAAGAAAAATGTTTCTTATCAGGTAGTTAATGTGTAGGTTTCAAAAAAAGTCCCAGTCTATGTTAAATACCTTAACTGCTGAATGAGAATTAAGGTACGCCAATTACACAACTGTTTATACCTTGTAAAATTCCCTTGTGCCAAATGCAATGCAAGTGTTGAATAAATGTCCCAGAAAATGGTCACACATTACAAATAGTGTTGTCTGAGAAAAGACACTACCAGCTTATGTAAGTTAATATAGCGATGTCAGGTAATCAGTGTTAAGGCAAGTTCACACAGGACTGATTTAGACCAGAAATGGTGGTAGGCAAGTTCACACAGGACTGATTTAGACCAGAAATGGTAATGCCAGCCTGTGACCAGATTGAAAACTATATATGTATACTTTGCAGCAAGGGTCCCAATATAATCTGCTGATTAAAATAAGTAAATTTTCTAAGTAAGACCTGATATGACCATGCCAAAAGTTCTGAATAAAAAACCTGCATCAATTTTACGCCCACTGTTATATTAGCTGTAGAGGGTCTGAGATTGTGCTGAGATTAACCACATTACACATCTACAAGTAATGTTATCTTTACAAGACTATCCATTTATTTACTTCTTGCCTGTAACAAGTTAAAATTTTTTTCAGAATCTCACTTATTTATCAAATCCTAATTTCTGTCATGTCAAAATACCCCATTGTTATATTTAGTTTGGTGTATCTGACTTAACAAGAACTCCCTGTGCTAGGGTCTGCTTGATACAACATGGCACTATGGAAGATTTTTGTGCTGAGGAGTTAATATTACTACCCTCAAGGTTATGTTAATAGATTCCTCCCCTGTGTCTAGGCCTACAGTAATAAGCAGAGCAAAAGACTCATGATGGACTGCCCAATGCATTCACCAAGGACAAGTGATATTGTTTTCACCCAGCTTAATCTGATAAGGTTGCCACTTCAGCAAGAATTCAAAACTGGGTTACAAAAAAGTCACTGTATGATATAGATGATAATACACTTATCACTTGAGCCATATAATTGGCACAGCTTGAGGTTAAGCATAATATTGTATATGTAACAAACTTCATAACTAAAATAAAATACAATGCAATAGAGCAAAACCTAGGAGTAGTTTCAGTGTTCTGCTTCTACTTTTCTGACAAATAAAAAATACTGAAAAAATATCTTTATCTGATTCAGTGCCACACATACATTAATAAATCAATATTTCTTTTAAGTTCTATTTAGATCAGAAAATGTGTTTACATCATATACACAATTTATAGGTTTGATAAACGATGTACAGAAAGGCACATCAAATACAATTTGACCACTTTTTAAAGGGGAATGGCCATGGCATTTTGGGGTCAAACTCCTGATGTGTGACCTCGAAGATTTCCACACAAATGACAGCACCTGCACAAGGAGTAAGTAAGGTTATGATACGGGTCACTACTGCCCTGGATGGTGAGCATGGTCCCCGTCTAGGCCACAAAACTGACCAATGGGAAATAATGTACTAAGGGTGACCTTCTAGTACGAAAGACGGCTTTCATATGCCGAACTAGCCCTGTAAACTATCCACTGATTCTGCAAAGTTACATGAAAGAGAAATTTTGTTTTGGAATATCTGAGTGGAATTTTCCACATAATCACAACTAGATTATCAATGCATCTAGAAGATTTATGTACTTTAATGTGAACTACTTATCATAAATTTGTAAAACACTGTCAAATTTGACTATTTCGAAGGCAGTTCATATAAATTCAGCTGATGTGGTTTCAACAATGAATACGAGAATCCTAATCACTTATTAAATCCTGACTTTGTTCTGGGTTATAATTACATGCTGTGCATTTTATGTCCTAGCCTTATGTAATATGAACTGAAACATTAATGAATTGTATATCATGGAGCTTTAATATGTTATACATATTTTTTAAAGATGACTTTGTTTTTTATTTAGCTACAAAACTATCAATATCATAAAATGCTTTTTTTCAATATAAAAGCACTTGATCTCAATTTCTCTCTAATTAAAGAAGTATAGCATATTAAGTGAACAACAAAAAGAAAACATCACATTTGATAATAAGTCACACAGTTTTCCATAAATTATGTTAAGGGTGAAAAGTGCACAGCTAGTAAACAGACAACAGAGGTGATGGCTATATGTACAAACACAAAGTGTCTGTATATAAAAAGATCCCAGTCTATAAAATTATTTGACAGTGTGGGTCTTTCATCTTATATTATGAGGCCACCTTAATACAATGGTTACTGCAATCTGCAACTCCACAGAGCATGTTACAAAATTGCATTTCTTTGTCAAAGTATTTCTATATACGTAAATATACCACTATCATAATACTTTTACACTGAATGACTGGGATTATTTCCAGTTATATTATCATTTAATTTCCCAATATCTTAAAATGGTCTTCTCATATATGTTTTTATCCGGACGCATGTTGCATTTTGAAAAAATAATTTTTTAGAGTTGGTGGATCACAAAAATATTGTATTTCTATAAAGGATACTTGTCATTGGATAGACTGTCATCAGAATAAGAGAAAAAAACAAGTAATGACAGCTGTCTTCCTGAAACATCTGTGTGAAGAATTCTCTGCTCATTTGAAAATTGGGCAGCCTCTGATGAAGTCGTAGTGCACTCGTAGCTGCATTGCTGATCAGCGCCTTCTGATAATAACTTTGAGGATTTCCTCTGTGCAGAAAAACAAAAGAAAATTGATATTCCTTTTTTTACATATCACTGGAAGTAATAGTTCTAGTACTTAAAGCAAAATTTTATTGTAATTAACCTAATCTCTATACTTCTATTCAAGACAAATAACACAAGTATAAATTCACATGTTTGACACTCTGCTAATACTGTTATAAATCTAATACACATATCAAAGAAACAAAGGTTATGTTGCATTAAAATCTGCTAGTATCAAGGTAACTTCAACCACTAATTGCATCAGGTGTGAATGTTTAAAAACAACAGAGAACACCTAACACAATACCTTAACCTCCTCTAGTGCCTGAAGCAGTCAGAATGAGATGTATTACTTACCCAGTGATAGGGAATATAAAGAGTATACTGAAGAACACACTGCATATCCTGGTCAGCCAAAGGCCACTCTCTATTTTATTAGCCTTCATATGTGCCTGAAGGAAAAGAGATGAGATAAAATCTCTGTGTGAAATTCTAGCTGCACTCACTTGGGCCCACAGCTGGGGCCTGGTTTACATAAAGCCTCAAGTTCTAGTGCCTATCCTAGACTGCTAAAATTGGATAGTCAACTGCGTACAGTCAACTTTGTATTTCTAGTCTCAGACCATTTTACAAACAATTAGTCCATAATGTCAACAATAGATGTGCTAGTGGTTGTAATTATCATATTTTAATAAGTCAAAACTATGATAATTAGTTGCTGGGGTAGCGCCAAATGCTAAAACTGACTTCAGCTGGCTAAACAAAATAGGGATGATTTTACTTTATTTAGTAAAATTTAAACCATTTTGTGAAAAAAAGTAATGAAAAAGTAGCATTTTGGCTAAGTGAAAAAAATTGCTAGCGCTACCCCAGACTTGAATTGGTAGTTTTGCCTTACTTACAATGACTTCATTCCAGTTATATCCCTGTGTTGATGTGTTACTGGTATCTTCACCAGGCCTCCGTGTTGCTCCATCATCAGTTTCAGCCATGATACTTTCCACTGAGTCTTACCTCCTGAACTGAAATAAATAGTGCAACAATATACTCTGATGGTCTGGTCACACACTGGACCAAATACTAGTACCTATAGACTAAATCAAGGACAATAGATTTTTTCTTCTTCTTTTATTATATTTTTTTTACTTCTGGCCAAGTCCAAAAGGAAAATAAAGCCCTTAATTACTGCAACCAGAAGATATAGCCAGAAGACATAGGATTTTCAAGATTATGATGTACATGCAGCTACAAAGTTACAAATCCAAGAAAATGATTTCGAACTGTTGCAAGCTGTAACCCTTTGAGGTCACTGCCCCAAGGCAAAAATGCACAATTCAACTTGAGGTTGAATTATTATCTTTCTTGCTGAAGCAGCAATGAACCTTATTACGAAAAATTTAAATGAAAGAAACATATAACATTATTATGATAACATTAATAATAATAATAATAATGATAATAATAATAATAATGCTGATGGCTGGCTTTGGTCTTATTACGATTATATCTACTTATTCAATTTTCTGCAAATGATTAAATATTTTGGTAGGCTTTGAAAAATATGTTTATTATATGTATGCAAGAAGCAAATGGTGCATGTGTACTATATAATATATCAAATCAAAATGTAAGGACTGGTTGAGCAATTATTTGAGTAGTAAAAATAATAGACAGGATACCCATGGCTTAAGTTGATAATGAGAGAAAGTGTATTTAGTATAAATCCATGATAAACTTATTAATGTGCCATGACTGTTTTGCCCACCCTCCCTATACTGACTTAATAATATCATTGTCCAAGACGTAATAAAGCAGATTTCACCTGCCAGTGATGCCTTAGCATCATTTTGGTGATCTGATTCACTAAATATCTGTTTTTTTTTTATTCTTATAACGTTATGAAGGAGAAAATGTCTAATCACTCATAACAATTATAAAGCGGAGTTTGAGACTCATAAGTCACAAAAACCGTATATCACAAAGTTTAGAGTGTGGCAAAGAGGACATGCCGGGGCTTGTGTCAGAAAATTAACCCAGGCATCCATTAGTCAGCAATAATTCTGAATTAATACTAAATTATTACCAGTCGATGGTACGTACATACGTACTACCAGTAGCAGTGCTAGTAGCACTAGCAGTCAGCCGGCAAGATTTAACAAGGAGAGCAAGGTCTTAGATTACTGAAAATAAAACATAATCACTAACAGTGATCCCATACAATGATATCTCAATACAAAAAGGTGGCATACCTTTAGTTTACCCAATCTCTTATGATATCCAACGCAAGTAATTTCATTGAATGAAAAGAAAGAAGGACGATATTTAATACATGACGTCACGCATCCGTTTATAATCTCCTCAAAGTGAAGAACTTACCCAGCCATATAGGCACTGGCTGGACGCTGAAGATGTGTCATGTCAGATCAAAAGATCGCCACATTATACCTTTCAGGCCAGAAATCAGATGCTATGTCAGGCCAGAGAGATTTATTAAAACACTCCTTTCCTAAACACTCCTTTCAGTTGGAATCTGGATATGAATTACATATATCATTACATTTTGCACAATTTTCTCATTGTTATATTATAAAGAATCATCTAATTGCGGAATTAGATGCGCTGGTAGATGCGGTTATTTGTAACCAAATGCACCACCATAAGATTAATACAGGAATGCAAAGATGTGAAAACAAAGCTAACAATATTAATCATAAATGAATAAAACAGGAAGGACATCACCCACGATACTATAGTATTTTGTATAGTTTTGTACAGTTTTTAGGCCTAATCTAAAAATAAATAAATAAATAAATAAATAAATAAATAAATAAATAAATAAATAAATAAATAAAACGTTTGAATGTCCTATAAGCACATCATCTTTATTGATAGAGCCATGGACAGCTTGATGTTGAGATTGAAAGCACTACTCTTGATTAAGCTAGCCAAAGCTTATATTCTTGAGAAATCTGAGAAATATGTCAGGTAATAGGCCTACTCTTTTCCATGTATTATTAGCCTACCTCCGACAAGGAGGTTATGATTTCACCAAATACCATATTCTTACTCAAACAATGATTTAAAAAAACTTTTTGGTTTTAATTTATGAAAAATCCACAAAAATGTGACCTTTGACCCATTATTTATCAATGACCATTGACTAACTGTCATGCAATTATGACTTTTGAAATTAAATGTCCCATCCCCTGCCTTCATAAGTAGGCCCCTATATACAATTTATTGATATACATGTACCTGTTACCATATCATAGATACAACGTACATTGTTCAAAAAGTTTGTTCCACCCCCATTTCCATGTACTTTTATTTACAAATGATCACCTCACAGCTGTAAATTGTTAGAAATAGTGCTTTTTATTACAGATACCGTGTCTAACATGATTATTGGTTTAAAAAATACAAAATAGTTGTGAAAATATACACATTTTATACCATTTAGTAAAATTTATAAGAGGTACCCCCTCAAATCCACTGTTTCACTGTGACTTCTACAGATGTAAATAAATGTCTATTAAATTGAAAAGATGCAATCAAATGTCACCAAATTCACACACAATTAGCATTAGGGTGTGCTCTTTAAAGGCCACGTGCCTAAGAGCGTGTGCGTCAACCACGTGATGCAATTATCTCCTGTAGACGGCGCGACAAGCCTTCAACATGGGTAACAATTCTGTTGTGGGGGATATTGTCCAATTCATCCTAAAGAGCGTGGCGGAATTTGTCCAGACTATTTGGGAATTAGTTCTCCTCTGCAATGCACATTCCAATTAATGCCACAGGTGCTCAGTAGGATAAAAACCATTGTTCAAAGACGGGTTCATCCTCAGAGCCCTGTGTTTCTGCAACAAATCGCTTGCCAGACGAGAGCTGTGAGCAAGCGCGTTGTCACAATGAAGCCAGTAGCATCCCTGAAGTCACCTCTTGCAAATGGAGTGAGATTTCTGTTGAGACCGTTACAGTAAAATACCCCTGTTACGTTTTGTTCCGAAGGAACAATGTACTACCCAGGGGCGTAACCAGGCACACGCACGAATGCACTGTGCGTACAATTTTTTGAGCCAACCATGATATTATTCTCATAAATTCAGTGTATTTTTCACGGAATATAATCGTACCTGGGAATTTTCAAAATCTGTGCGTACAATTTTAAATGGTCTGGTTACGCCCCTGCTACCGATAGACGAAAATCAGGCGTCTGACACATGGGCTACTATGATGTAGGCGAGCCGACAGTGGGATCCTAAACGCAGACCAATGCATCCATGCAACTACTTAAAAGAAACTTATGGAATTCTGCCGAGCATGTCTTTGTGGACTATGATCACGCATTTATGTTTCAGCATGATCGTGCTCAGCTTTCTCCACGTACAGCCAATGCAATATATTCCCGATGGCCAGCTCAATCCTTATATCAGACTCTCAATAACCTCGGAAATAGATAACCGGGGGTTAACCTACCCTCTACCAGGATGGCAGATATTATAGGGAAAAAATGGAAAAGCCAGAGATAGTAAAATGACCGTCTATATATCTAAACACATATCTGTGAATATCCTGTGAAAAGTCAATCTGTGGCCCTGGTAGAGGGTAGGGTTAGCCCTGCAAAAAATAATCTCATACTATCTTTGCACCTTATGTGGAACGCCATCACTGCGCAAACGTTACAGAACTTTTTGACTCTACGAAGGACGCGTTCAAAGGATATTGTACTAAATACTAAAATGTGGCTTTGGTTTTTTTTCTATGATAGGCCTATGCTTATTTATTGGTAGTACAATCAGTAAAATTATGTTAAAAATATTTTAAAAGTTGAATAAAAACATTGGTTTATCACACGATTTTTCTATATCACTTAAGGCATTGCATTAGACGTGACTCTTGTTTTGCTTGGGGGAGTATATTAAATTCTGGGCTAAGTATTAGTGCCCACCATTGCACAGATTCTTTTTCGGGTAAGAGTGCCTTTGTTTACGTCAATGGTAACCCGTAAGCTTCAAGAAATTACTAAACCCGTCTTTTTTATGTTTTGTATCACAACAAAAGTGCTTTACTGTTTTTGTTCAGGTGACCCTGCATGTATTTCATACGCCTATTCAAATTCACAGCACTCAGTCTGACATAAGTTTGTGGATACCGTTAGAAGAAATGAGTGCCTGATCAGGTTTTGCATAGCGATTTCTGGTTTTTATACATTTTTATTTGTTAAAACTAATTTAGATTTTCCGTAATTACTAAGTTACTAGTAAGTGGACGTGGTGTCATGATCGACTGTACACAAGATGACATGTCAATGCAAGACACAACCAATGTGGCTAGGATCACTTATTGATACCATCTTCAAACTGTGCGATTAAGTGAAGCTCATCATTTTGACGGATTTGTGATACTAAAATGTCACGGACGATCTTTCTCGCTGTCATAGCAATTTGTGCCACGTTACCTCTGCCATATTTCGGAGTGTCCAGCAGATTAACAGGGTAAGTGTAAACTTGTAAGACCTGCAGCTCAGACATATAGGCTACTATGTTGCTTGTGCTTCGATGTCGAGACGCCTACGACCAAATACTTGGACCCAATTATAATTACGCTGCAATACTGCAATACTTACTCTGTGTCTTTTTGATATTTGCTCCTCAATCGGTTCAATGTCCAACTTCAAGTTACCTTTTATCGTTTCAAAATACTGCATTCAAACGCAAAGTTGCAGAATATTTATCGCCATATATTATGATTTTGACCCTCCACTGGAGCTTTCATATTTCGCTATTGTTCTCACGAAGGTCTAAGTATGGTGTAATTAAATCATGGTTATCATTTACAAAAGTTGTTGATTTACACATGTATAATACAATGAAATCGCCCTTAAAATTACTCTTTATGTCGCTTCTAGGAAATCAGATTTTTTTCATTGTTTTGCAGGCGTGTATGCACCAGAACAGAAGCCAGAAACTTCACAAGATTGATCAAACATATTCGAATTTGCAGAACGTTAGTACCATGTGGACTCTGGGACTGGGGCAGATGTAGCAGGTATTTCGTTGCCAAAACAGGCCTTATTACGTAAGACCAAAATGGCGAACTTTCTTTGCAAGGGGTATGATAAAAAATTCCCAAAGTTAAAAAATATATGAAATATATGAAGGGCGACTTCTTACATTCCAAGAAAATCAGTTTTTAACATTATTTTTAATATTTCAAAGTCAAATCAATCATATTTTATAAAGCAAAATACAGATTGTGTTTGTATAAAATGCTTGTCCTCTGTTAGCAATAGGATGTTATTTTTGTTCTCATTTTAGCATATTTACGAAGCTTGTTACCAGTACTACAAAAACAAAATATTTCTAAAACGACAGTTGCTGATCGCCAGAATCGTTAAGAAAAAAAAAACGAAAGTATGCACTAGACTTCAGACACCATATTCAGTGGTCGCATGATGAACATTGGTAGACTTATATAACAAATTGTAGAATTATTCAAAGGACAAAACTGGGGGGGGGGGTCATGTGCCTTTTGCAAAGCAAAATCAATTATCTTAGGATCGAAGAAAAATCATTGGAGCGCTCAGATTTGATCTAAAGTTTTTTTTACCATACCTCGATTTTAAAATTGTTACGAGAGCGAATTTAATATGGGTCTAGATATCAGTCCCTGGGCATTATAGGCTATAGATTTGCTTTACGCTTTTTGTTAGCTCTCATTTTGTAAAGACTGCACAAAGGGGCATTTTGATTCATTTCATGTGCTTTCATTTCGGTTTGTTTCCCTCAAACCAGTATACAATTTGACATCAAGACTCGTGAAATCTGTCTCCTTCCAAGAAGAGCTAAAAATAGCAATATTTACGCAAGTTGTTCTCGGGATCTCCTGTAGCGGAAGGCTGTATTTGTATCTTAACACATGAGTGCCAAGTACCCTCTTCCAGGACCACAGGTTGACTTTTCACAGGATATTCACAGATATGTCTTTAGATAATTAGACGGTCATTTTAATATCTCTGGATTTTCCCATTTTTCCCTATACATGTATAATCTACCACCCTGGTAGAGGGTAAGTGATAAAGAAATTCAGGCCTGTAGACAGCAATTTCAAAGGGGGGGGGTCTTTTTCTGAAAAAGTGGACCTTTTACCATATAATCCCCATGTACCTAGGTCAAATTTTACCTAGAGTGGACCTTTTTCCAGCAAAAAGGGGGGTTCTTTCGAACCCCCCGAACCCTCCCTGGCTACGGGCCTGACATTAAAGAATATGTAATTCAAAATTAACATTTTTGTTTAATTATATATAATTTTAATGATGGCATTACACTTTACATATTAATAAGTTATTCTGATTTTGGTATTGAAAAAGTAATGATGATGATGAAGATTATATGGTCTATATTATACATGGAATGATAATATTTTTACCTGACATGTATGCCCAATACCCGGTTCGAAGACATATAGCACATACTGATATGTTTTGCAGCCTTCAGGTGTTAGTTTTATTATTAGGGGAACATATAATCACGAATACCTATTGTTAAATAGTTGGATAAAAATCCTTGGGATAAACTCCTAATAATGCTAAATCACAATACAAATAAATAAATAAATAAATAAATAAATAAATAAATACACTACATTTAGTCCAGCCCTGATAAAAAAATTTAAAAATATATAAATTATATCCCAGGATAAGTGTTTTGATCAATCTATTTGTGAGAAACACATGGTTATGTTATCTTTCCAGCTACTACGACTGTAGCATGTACAGCTTAGCCTACTACAAGCGCCCAGTAACAGTAGAATACTGCTGTGATGGGTGGTCCGCTGGGGTCAACGCCACGAACAATAGCAGTTGTGACATACGTAAGTCGATGAAACATATTCTTTTGTAGAATTTAGACACACAAATTCATTTTCTAAAATTCTCATTCGATTGTATTGTTCTTAATAATGGAATGAAACATCAAAAATGAATACATACATAAGGGGCAAAGTTTGTACTCGTAGAATTTGCTGATGTGCACTTAAGAGTATCAGTGTCTGATGCTTTTCCTTTTATAATTTTTATTTTGCATTGCTTGACACGTTTATCTGGTGTATGTTTCAGCCGTCTGCGCGGCAGGGTGTGAGAATAATGGCGATTGTATAGCGCCCGACACCTGTAAATGCCAGCCGCCTTACCACGGCTTTACCTGTAACGAAAGTAAGTCAAGGTCGCTGTCAATGCAGACTAGCAATTTGTATGCACCAGAATGATATTTTGTAAGGTATTTATTACAATGGTATTTTATTAAAAATCACACTACTAGTAAAAGGAATTCACCATATCTCCATTACACCTTACTTTTGAAATCGTCTTCAGTCTGTATCAGTGCTGCATAAAAAGTCATACGTTTTTATAAATTAAGAGTAATTTCACTTTGAAAATTGCTCATATTTTGTTTTTGTGAATGCTGCGTAGAAGAAGTACGTTTTTCTAAATAGTGACAAATAATACCAATAGTTTGGAATGGAAGCAAATGATTGTTTGTAACTGTATAAGCTTTATTCATTATTTCCATCTGCTTGAAAATGAATACACACTAAACGCACTTGAAATGAATGCTTTGTGTTATTTACACTTAAGATGAAGTTAATTTTTCAATATAAAGATAATGGCGTGCCAATTGGGCCAGACGTGATTGATTGGTTGGTTGACGAGCGGCGCCTCTTGGAAAACAGGATCGGTAGATGAAATTAAATTTTTTATATGTCATCCCCAGAAATGCACTGCATGACGTCACGCTTAGCCCACTGCGCATGCGTGCACTTTTAATGAGTTGCTAGATTCCCATAGGAAAATGAATGGGTTCGCGATTCGTGGGTAATTCGCAATAATTGACAAACTAACGACCTGATGCCGATAGACAGCAACGCTGTGCTATGCTTCAAGCAACTCCTGACCAAATATCGCTAGGGTTTTTTAAAAAATTCTGTTGTACACACGTACTAAGAAGTTTGCCGTGTATTGCCTAACCTACCCTCAGCAAAACGCACATATTTTCAGAANTTTGTCTGCTTTTTTTTTTTACTTCAGCCAACACGTCTATACCAGAGGGTGCCATGGTATCTTTAGAAGCATGTGTTGGGTCGCCTGACAGCTGCTGTGAGTCCTTGCTGCCAGTGCAAATCAAGAATTGCACAGACTTTACGGTGTACTATCTAAGTCCGACGGTGGCATGTCCACAAGCATATTGCTTTGGTAAGACATATCCAGATGAGATCCTAACCGAAATCTATTCTATAAGACATATCCGGATGAGATCCAAACCGAAATCTATTCTAAGCAGAAGTAAATAAATGCTGTTTCATTTAAATAAAAAAATGAAATTAAAAGTAGGAAAAAAATTCAGCCTCTATTGTGATATCCAAAAGCAACAGTAATGTGATATAGACAATAAAAAGCGTGCAATCACAACCTTTTTTTTACCAATGGACTTTAGTCGAATGAAAAATAGTGATATTATAATCACAACACAGCACAAACAAACATGTTGTCATGACACTGCATTTATTTCTTCATGTTTTATCAGAGGTTCCACCCTGCATTGGTTGTAACATAAAAGCGTGTCCAGTTGGATACGTCGACAAGGATGGGCATTGTGAAGGTAAGGTACATGCACTCTAATGACCTTCACCGTACTTTACTTCTGCGCTGAATACGCCTACCCCATGCATAAATTCTGACAACGCTTCACCTGCTTTTATTTGAGAACAGTATCTGTGCCCAGTTATTAACTGGTATTCACTCAGGAGTTCCAGTATACCATCTGACTCGACGTAGACGGTTCCTGGCAGTGATCATTGGTCTCCTAACAGAAACCCTACCGAAATAACGACGATTGTGTGCAGAAGCGTTCTGATGGTAAACTCAGAAACATGATGTACACTGTTCTTGTGAAATGTTGCAGTCATTCCAAAATGTATCGAAACGTTATCTATAAGGAAGGCGTATTAACAGTCTCTATTCTCTGGGTGTGGTTTCCTTTTTGTCAGCCTGACCCAGGAAGTTTTGCCCTATTTGCTAATGATGTTGTTTATCCCTCTGAATGGTTCTCATGGAACAACCCAACCTTCTTGCAATTCTGCGGGTCAAAACTCCCTCCTATAGACTATCTACCGCTTGGTAAAAAAGGTATCCCTCTCGCTTAGGAGACGCATATTAAAAATAATTAGTGTTGGAGTATTTCAATGGTATAAGCTAGATAGGTCAATATTCGACTACTCATATCCCCATTTTACAGAATGGTCGGTTACCTAGTTGTTATGTTATAGTAAAATTAGCAATGTACATAAATGCGGTAGGGGTGACACTTTTTTTGGTAGGGGAGTATACATTGTAAAGAACGCATAGAAATATAATTAATTTTTTTTTTTCCACCAAAACGGCGATTATGGCAATTATTCTGAAATCTTTGCTTGCCCTTGGACCACGTGGACCTTCGTAAATGGTTACCCTCGGTTATAATCTCTTAAAAGATTATTGAAAAAAGCAATTAAAATACGAATCGACAAACTTTGAATGTTGGAAGGGATTCATTGACTAGTATGAGAACACCGTCGTTAAATTACTCCAATAAAATCCGTTTTATGTCATTTTCTCTGCAAAATGAAGAGTAGTTATCCTTTTAATTCAGTTTGTGTAAAGGTATTATATGCAAGACTTTCGATGTAAGTACATTCAAAATTTGTTTTTAAACCACCAGATCTAAATTCTACAGCCACGCTTTGTAAAATCCATTCACGACGCTATATGCACTTGGGTTCACTTTCAACCAAAACAAGCTCATACAAATGAAGTGTGAAACTTTGCGTAAAGGTGTAATGTGCAAAATATTATCGAGAAATACATGTACATGTAAAATCGGTTTTAAACCACGGGATCTAACGTTAACGGCCATTATAACCCCATAACCCTACTCTTTAACTTCCAAACAAAATTTCATACACATGCCTGCAACTCTCTTACAGATATTGATGAATGCCTGGTTGCTAAAGGTGTTTGCGATGATCGGTGCGACAATCTAAATGGATCATTCGCGTGCGCTTGTACGGACCCAGGATATATTTTAGGAGCAGACTTTCGCTCGTGCGACGGTGAGTGTAATTTCATGTCACTCGTGTGTAGCATGGTTATGTTGATATCACGTGTATCTGTAAGAGTACAAAAATATCTGAAAGCATATATTTAACCATTTGTAATTGTGATTACCTGTGTGTATATTGATGAGCAACTACCTGTCACAAATCTTTTTATATCATTAATTTCCCGCTCATTGCCCATTTGCGCTTACATACATGTATGTACTGAAACATTTTTTTCATCAGATGTAGACGAGTGCAGCATCTCTAATGGTGGGTGTGAAGATATATGCATCAACGCCATAGGTACTTTCATGTGTTTCTGCAACCAAGATGGCTATCAATTGGGAAAAGACTCTCAGTCCTGTGAAGGTAGGTCTTTTGTATATTTTCAAGAAAATGTTGAGATTTTAAAAATGATATCTGAATTTCATTGTAAAAAGGATTAAGTTTTTTTTTTTTTTTTTGGGGGGGGGGCGTTTCAGCTTTGATATAAATTTTTTAAAAGTATTCACTGAAGAACAATAAGGAAATAAAACATTGGTGGATGGTCTCATTACATACAGATTTCAGTAAGCACAATGATAATATCGTNGATCTATTCTAAGCAGGAGTAAATAAATGCTGTTTCATTTAAATAAAAAAATGAAATTAAAAGTAGGAAAAAAATTCAGCCTCTATTGTGATATCCAAAAGCAACAGTAATGTGATATAGACAATAAAAAGCATGCAATCACAACCTTTTTTTTACCAATGGGCTTTAGTCGAATGAAAAATAGTGATATTATAATCACAACACAGCACAAACAAACATGTTGTCATGACACCGCATTTATTTCTTCATGTTTTATCAGAGGTTCCACCCTGCATTGGTTGTAACATAAAAGCGTGTCCAGTTGGATACGTCGACAAGGATGGGCATTGTGAAGGTAAGGTACATGCACTCTAATGACCTTCACCGTACTTTACTTCTGCGCTGAATACGCCTACCCCATGCATAAATTCTGACAACGCTTCACCTGCTTTTATTTGAAAACAGTATCTGTGCCCAGTTATTAACTGGTATTCACTCAGGAGTTCCAGTATACCATCTGACTCGACGTAGACGGTTCCTGGCAGTGATCATTGGTCTCCTAACAGAAACCCTACCAAAATAACGACGATTGTGCAGAAGCGTTCTGATGGTAAACTCAGAAACATGATGTACCCTGTTCTTGTGAAATGTTGCAGTCATTCCAAAATGTATCGAAACGTTATCTATAAGGAAGGCGTATTAACAGTCTCTATTCTCTGGGTGTGGTTTCCTTTTTGTCAGCCTGACCCAGGAAGTTTTGCCCTATTTGGTAATGATGTTGTTTATCCCTCTGAATGGTTCTCATGGAACAACCCAACCTTCTGGCAATTCTGCGGGTCAAAACTCCCTCCTATAGGCTATCTACCGCTTGGTAAAAAAGGTATCCCTCTCACTTAGGAGACGCATATTAAAAATAATTAGTGTTGGAGTATTTCAATGGTATAAGCTAGATAGGTCAATATTCGACTACTCATATCCCCATTTTACAGAATGATCGGTTACCTAGTTGTTATGTTATAGTAAAATTAGCAATGTACATAAATGCGGTAGGGGTGACACTTTTTTTGGTAGGGGAGTATACATTGTAAAGAACGCATAGAAATATAATAAATTTCATTTTGCCACCAAAACGGCGATTATGGCAATTATTCTGAAATCTTTGCTTGCCCTTGGACCACGTGGACCTTCGTTAATGGTTACCCTCGGTTATAATCTCTTAAAAGATTATTGAAAAAAGCAATTAAAATACGAATCGACAAACTTTGAATGTTGGAAGGGATTCATTGACTAGTATGAGAACACCGTCGTTAAATTACTCCAATAAAATCCGTTTTATGTCATTTTCTCTGCAAAATGAAGAGTAGTTATCCTTTTAATTCAGTTTGTGTAAAGGTATTATATGCAAGACTTTCGATGTAAGTACATTCAAAATTTGTTTTTAAACCACCAGATCTAAATTCTACAGCCACGCTTTGTAAAATCCATTCACGACGCTATATGCACTTGGGTTCACTTTCAAACAAAACAAGCTCATACAAATGAAGTGTGAAACTTTGCGTAAAGGTATAATGTGCAAAATATTATCGAGAAATACATGTACATGTAAAATCGGTTTTAAACCACGGGATCTAACGTTAACGGCCATTATAACCCCATAACCCTACTCTTTAACTTCCAAACAAAATTTCATACACATGCCTGCAACTCTCTTACAGATATTGATGAATGCCTGGTTGCTAAAGGTGTCTGCGATGATCGGTGCGACAATCAAAATGGATCATTCACGTGTGTTTGTACGGACCCAGGATATATATTAGGAGCAGACTTTCGCTCGTGCGACGGTGAGTGTAATTTCATGTCACTCGTGTGAAGCATGGTTATGTTGATATCACGTGTATCTGTAAGAGTACACAAATATTTGAAAGCATATATTCAACCATTTGCACTTGTGATTACCTGTGTGTATATTGATGAGCAACTGCCTGTCACAAATCTTTTTATAGCATTAATTTCCCGCTCATTGCCCATTTGCGCTTACATACATGTATGTATTGAAACATTTTTTTCATCAGATGTAGACGAGTGCAGCATCTCTAATGGTGGGTGTGAAGATATATGCATCAACGCCATAGGTACTTTCAGGTGTTTCTGCAACCAAGATGGCTACCAGTTGGGAAAAGACTCTCAGTCCTGTGAAGGTAGGTCTTTTGTATATTTTCAAGAAAATGTTGAGATTTTAAAAATGATATCTGAATTTCATTGTAAAAAGGATTAAGTTTTTTTGGGGGGGGGGGCGTTTCAGCTTTGACTTAAATCTTTTAAAAGTAATCACTGAAGAACAATAAGGAAATAAAACATTGGTGGATGGTCTCATTACATACAGATTTCAGTAAGCACAATGATAATATCCTATGCCTAGCTATGAGTTAAGAATGGCAAAAAATTACAGCGGCACGGTATTACCCGCGCCAGTTCCACCGAAAAACGCAAAGCAGACGGTCTGATTATTAGTCATCACTGACTTTGAAGACGTACTTACTCTTTAAATTTTTGGAAATAGTTTTATGTTATTTTGACAATATTTTGAATATTACGTTGCAGATATAAATGAATGTGCTGTCAATAACGGCAGTTGTAGTGATGTTTGCATCAACACCAACGGCTCCTACCACTGCGAATGTAACGAGGCTGGTTTTGTCCTTGGAGGCGACGGTCACGCTTGTCAAGGTATGTACATGATGATGATAGTATATGTTACTATGAGTAGAGACAGTTGAAAAATAAACACCGGCACGGTTTACACGCGCCAGTTCCACCGTCAATTTCACGAAAGATGCAAAACAGACGTTTTGACTATAAGTCATCATCACTGACTTTGAAGAGAAACTCACTGTTTATTTTTAGAAGACTTCCATCAGTATTTATCCTTGTTGACAATATTTTGATACTGTATGTTGCAGATATAAATGAATGCGCTGTCAATAATGGTAGTTGTAGTGACGTTTGCATCAACACCAACGGCTCCTACCGCTGCGAATGTAACAAGGCTGGTTCTGTCCTTGGAGGCGACGGTCACACTTGTCAAGGTAATATAAAAGTTGGAACGTCTATCCCGAGCTTCACATCTTTGCAGAGTATAGTGTCTGCAGACGGGTGGCTGTCAGCTTGCGTTTGTAAAAGTCTCAATCAAGCCGCTCTGAAAATCGGGGGAAACACGTCAAGATTAAGTATAAACGGGATGTATTGCCTTTGCAGCACGTAGTGCTCATTGTACTGTGCGTGTTAAAGGCGGAGGTTTCACAAGTAGAACCAACAGGACAAACAGGGTCTAAATCTGTTCCTCCAGGCAGTTGACGGAACGATGGTCGTCCAACGCTAACACTTACTTTAGGGGAGCGTGTTTTACAGAGCTTTTCTCAGGTTTTAAACCCTTTTATTTGTTTGCTCGTGGGAGGGTGCTGTTGGTACTGGTACATGTTTAAATAACATGACATGAATTCAGTCGGTTTCAGAGGAGAAGGCTATCATGATTATATGTATGATTGTATTTCGCAAATACAAGACATCATAATAGTGGTCCAAGTTTTTGGACCCATTTATGGGCCCATTTAGTAACAGTTTAAGTCAATCGGGCGTTGAATTGCATTTTTTTCTCTGATTAGCAGACATAGGCATAAAATGGTTCGTAAGAGATTCACATTTCACAATTAATACAGTGTAAACAACTCATAGAAATGTTATAAATTCCTCCACTAAAACAGCAGCTATCGAAATTATTTGCCTGTGCTTGCCATCAGACTACGTGGAACTCCATAGATGGCTATAACTCCGCAATTATTTTTTAATAGATTATTTTGAAAAAATATTTTTAGAAAAAACATGGGCTTACTAACTTTGAATATCGGAATGGATTTATTAATAATTGATAAGTATGGAAAAGGCGTCATTTACCCCAGAAAAAGCTTTTTTTTTGGGGGGGGGGCAAAGCGAACAGTTGTTATGTCGTTAACAACTCTGAGACTTTTTGAAAAAAGGCATATTGTACAAGACTTATTGTGTCTTTGGAAGTGACCCCCAGTAGATAATCAATTAATGTGGCATGCATAGGCGCCTGTCTCACCTGGCTGCCCCTGCTGTGTGACCAACATATAGCGGGAGGTGGGGGCGTATGGCAAGGATAATGCCCGGTCAAAGATTAATATATGATTTCAAATTCACACGACAAAGTAAGAACTGTTAATTTTCAATCCTAAAGCTTAGACGTAAGAACCCATTGCAATTGTCTTGACCATTTATGATTTCGTTACCCTTTTTTCAAGGTACTGAAGAAGCCAAAAACTGTTCTTCAATCCAAGAAGGCATAATACTGGGTTTATCTTGTCTTGGTGACCAAGCAATACAAGTTTTGAGTATACGATATCGACAGTCGAGTGTCTATGGTGGTTGCAATCAGTTTACTGACACTGTCACATGCATTGACGTAGCCAACAACTTGCAAACACGTGCGGATTTGGCGAACGAGTGCGATGGGAGAGAAACGTGCAAAGTGGAAATACGTCCACAGCCATCTATTCAGTGTACTTTGGAGGCGTCAGTCACATTCAAGTGTCTGCCAGGTAATGATGTAATATTTGCTTTCGAGAAAAATATTGTAAGTTTCATTAATTCCGATACCTTGTGCCTCACTGATGGTCAAAAACGTGTAATTTATTTTTGCCTACTAAATTGCAATTTCATGAAAATGCTTTGAAAGACGCTTTCTGGTATATATTTCTGTTTGTCTTAATATATCGTTGTCGTTTGTAGGATGTTATATATCATAGGGAAATTATTACCAGTGAATTTCGATTTTGTAGTATAGTCTATTCTTTGCTTTATATTACATGTATAAATAAACATATACGTATACTATGCATGTATACTACAAACATTCTAAGAAAATGCTAAGGACACGTTAACTGTTTACAATATGTGTTTTTTAATGTTTAATCATTATTACAGTAAAACCATGTAATGTGATCAAATTCTTCAAGTTTCACATTTCTCTACCTTCAGTCCAATATATGTGTGACGCTGGCGGGTACAGAACGGAATCAAGGATCTACCTGGCCAGTATTGACTTTCCGCACCCATTGCCTAATGACGGGTCTACCTGTGTTTGTGAATTCAGGGCAAAAAGTGATGCAAATAATGTCACGGGAGATCTGTTACACAGCAGCAGAACTCATGTATCGGAGTGTCAGCGTACCGGCATGGAAGAGTCACATTTACAAATATCTGGCGCGGTCTCTCTAAGCCCTGGCTGTACCCAAGTCAACCAATACAACGTGACTACAAAGTTAATAACAGTGACATTGTATGGTAGAGACAATCCAGACCCTTTCTTGTTTTTATTTGAAGGTAAGTTACAATAAAGCTGTATATATATATATATATATATATATATATATATATATATATATATTCCCTTACATATAATTCCTTTGGAATGAAAACGTAATGTTTTTACGCTATGGATTTTAAACAGCACTTACTTCGAACACGACTAGATTTTTTATACATATTCGGGCTTAAACCATAGGAGTAAAAGCCACACGCTTAAACTGCATTTACTACAGACTTTCTCCGGCAAAGATTAAATGTGCAGCCGTTTTGACATTTTTCGAATATATGCTTGGTTTTTTATCAAAATAGACAAGACCATAAAATATTGTCATTCAAATGGATGCACACGCACACGCTTAGGAATCAACTGAAATCTTACGGAGTGTTTTCCAATATCATTCCTGGTTTCTGTAAAGTTTTATGCAAAGAGTGTGCACATGTCATGTCGACTTAAATATATATTTTTTTTTCTGTTCTAGCTGCTGATCCTGGATACTTGATGTCAATCAGCTGTAACATGATAACAGTTAGTTCTACCACGAAATTACCGCCATCCAATCCACCGTCTACCACTACCTCAAATGGACACAGTGGTTCTGCTTCAACTTCTGGTTTAGGTTCTGTTTCAACTTCTGGTTCAGGATCTGGTTCAAATTCTGGTTCGGGGACTGGTTCAAATTCTGGTTCAGGGACTGGATCAAATTCTGTTTCAGGTTCTGGTTCAAATTCTGGTTCGGGTGCAAATTCTGTTTCAGGTTCAGGTTCTGGGCAGCAGAATGGCACTGGACAATCAGATTCTCTTAATATTGGTAATTGTTTATGATGATTGTACATGATAGTTTTTTTTATAGATACCAAAGTAAATTAAAAAATTATATTAAGTAATATCTTTAATTATGTAGTACATTCATGGAATACTCTAATATTAATTGAGATATCAAATGAAAATAAGGGTAGGCGGATAAAAAAAAAAGAAATTTAAGGCTTATATTTTGTATTTTATTTTTAAAATATAATCATTAAACCCCTATCATTTTAATAATTAACTCTCCGTTTTAATTGGGATTATTCGTTTCTGTGTTTCAGGTATGATTGGGATCGTTGCTGCTGCTGTGGTGGTTATTGTTGTTGTAATTGCTGTAACTGTCATTCTGTTAAGGTAAATTCTAAGAGATAAATTTTAATTAAAATAATAATTTTGAAAGTTGGAAACCCAATCATCATTATGATGTGTTGATAACTATTTCTAAAAAATAGGATGTCGTGACCTTGCTAAGTCAAACCTGATTGTTACTGTTAAAGTTGGTGACTGTTTGAATATATTTTTCAAGGAGAAAAAGAGGTGCTCCCGAATGGCAACCTAAGACATGTGAAGACCTTCGTTCAGCTCCCAACATGGCCACACAGCCGTCATCTGAAAAACTGCGAATGGCTGGCAGAGAAGACAGTGCCAGGAGCAACATTCACTCCCCGCCACCATTCACGCGCCAGAAAACATCCGAGTCGCTTTATGAAGAGATTCCCTATGACAATCCATGTTTTGAAGGGGAGGATGCCAAAGCACCGGCACCGCCCCCCAGGCCCATCTCCACAATGGCACCTACACCTGGGGTGTATGCTGGAGAGTACATAGATATGACAACAGGGGCGAAGCAGTCTGCTGAAAATGCGTACATGGGTTTAAAAGGACCGCATTCAACTGCTGAATATTCTGGGGATACGGGTAGTGAATACTATCTTACTCCAAATTCGTACATATCACTTGTACCACAAGGAGGAGAAAATGCACCAAAATGACAGTCACATTTGGTGACTTGGTTAATAAGTGCCACCGGTCTTAATTGCAGGAAAATCAGAAATGCATTTTGCATTTTTGTTGAGGGGGAAAATTTACGGTTGAGCCCTGGAGTCTTTGTTGTTGATTTATTTACGCTCCAAAGTTCCCAATCTAAAAGACATTCAAAGACAGGTCTCATTTTGTGATAGAACCCTTTCTATACAATGACACATAAATATACTACTGTTATGTAAGGAATCACCAATAAATATTCTTTGTACAGGCAACTACATTCTTTCTGTTTTTCTTAATATTCAGCCAGGCTGTGAACAGTTGTGAATAGTTGAGCTTCTTTTAAATCTACTTCTTGAATGAGGGACTACATGACAAACACAACAATACAGCCGACTGCAACATTGACCAACAACTATTAAAAAATATCCATTTAATTACAATAAACCATATAGATGTCACATCTATATATCAAAATGCACTAATAGTTTCAAAAAGCTGCACGACTGTAAAATGATAATGTTACTATAAACGCAATAAGTTTCTCAATGTCACATTAGCTACATACTCGTATACACATACTCATGTTAACAAAATTTACTACATTGAGTTTAAAAATCTGTACAAAAATGTAATATATAGTTTAACTTGAGAAGTTATCACTACTTCTAATAAATGGCGCAGTGTTCACCTGAATGTCATGTTCAACGAGAATCCATTTGTTTGCATCAATAGTTATCATGTACAGTTATGATATAAAATTTAATTATGAATCCGTCCAAGGAAAAGAAAATGGGAGAAAAAATTACAAGGATATGGATAAACTTTGAAAAAAAAAACATAACCGTCTTTTTACGTCCCCTTTTCTTATATTTGTGTGGTAAAAGCCCACCCCCCACCCACCCCCAAATAACTGTAATCCAACTTTAATTACTTGAAAAGTGGAATTTAATTGTTCGGAAGCGAACGTAGTCAAGTTTAAGTTTATATATGTACATTGTACATGCATCACATAATTTCTTTTTTATTAAACTGACATTGCCGTTGGCTTTCCGACCTGTTCGAATAGATGTATTTGTTAATTTCCAAGTCAAATAGCAGAAGCCATCAATAGACAGATCATATTTCGAATAAGAGTTTCTGTGTTTACTTACGTCTATGGTAACCCGTAAGCTTTTAGAAATAACTGAACCCGTCTTTTTAAAATGTTTTCTGTCACAACAAATGCGTTGCACTGTCTTTGTGCAGGTGAACCTGCATCCATCACATAGGCCTATTGAAGTATACAGCGCTATGTCTTGTAGGCTACACGTTTTTCAATATCGCTAAAAGAAATAATTGCCTGAGGTTCCGCTCAGCAATTTTTGGGTTTTTTTTCATATTTACATTTGTAAAAACTTAATTTAGATTTTCGGAGCTGTAAATATTTAGTACATGTAGATGTGGTGCTATGATCACTGCACACAAGACAATATGTGCAAGACTCAACCAATGTGGCTAGGATCATTTACTGAAACAGTCTTAAAACTGTGAGATTAAGCGAAACTTATTACATAGACTGATTGGTGGTATTAAAATGTCACGGAGAATCGTTCTCGCTGCCATAGGGATTTGTGCTACGTTCGTTCTGTCATATTTTGGAGTGTCCAGCGGATTAACAGGGTAAGAGTAAAATTTTAAGACCTGCAGCTCAGATACTATGACGCCAGTGCCCTGATGTCGGGACACCTACGACCCAGGGTCCAGCTGCACCAACGAGTCGTAACTCAGGCGTAGCAGTTGCGCCTTCCCAGAGATTAAGATCGATCCAGAGATTTAGATTTAGATCGACCTAACTCCCTGGGGGTTCACGCTAAATTGCAGTTAGCCGAGCGCGCACCATAGTTAATTACCCCCTTACGGCTTTTAGTAGGCTGACAGTAATCTAGTGAGACTCCCCACAGGAAAAGATCGATCTAAAACCTATCGGAATGGGGTCTAAATTTTTATCTCAATTTTTCTAGTAACCGTGGTTTTTGCCCTTTTTTCTTTACATTTTATATTATTCATATTTTATTATATATATACATAAAACAGAGTTTAAATCTGGGACACAGACATACCAGTCGGTTTTACAGCTGTACATTATGGAAAAGAAATCTCTCAGAAAAGTATTTTTATTTTTTTTGGTCATCTCAGGGATCATTTACGGCACACACACACTAGAGAAAAAACAAAATTGCTCTTCGTTGCAAATTTTGGTGGGTGAAGAAAACGGGTTGTTGTGCATTACCATCGTTACCATTTTCAACTTCAGAACAAAGTACTGTCTTCCATACGCGTGAACAATACAAATCGTTCAATTTCAGGATTTAAATACCTGAAATACGCTCTGCTTCAATGTGTGAATAAATCTTGTCATCTGAGCGTGTAATCACAGATGCATTGATCCAATCCGGTTTCGTTTCCTTTAGACTCGCACGGCAGCGAAACCACAGCTAGCGTGTAATTTCGTTTCCCATTGAGATCCGGCCCAGGGACTTAGCGTAAACAGTGCAGATTTCCCTTGATGACGTATTGACTCAGTCACATAAATATTAAATGAGACTAATTAAGTAAGTTATATCTGGAACTCACTTTTTAGTGCGTAATTCATGAAAAACGATTTCAGGTCATCGCTCTTTAACCGCCGATTCAGGATTGCAGCGTGCGCTCCCAACTCGGGGAAGTTAAGTGTATCCATTCCTGATAATATTTGTATGTGTCTAATAATACATTTGTATGTGTCTAATAATACATTTTCCAAAATTTATGCATATAAAGCAAAATACATATTCTAAGCGGAAAGCGTGCTCACAAGATCGGCGCCATGTTTAAATTTTAATGCTCATGTCCCAATGCTGTTACCCAGTATCGTGGACATGCAGATATTTATGTAGCCAAATGTTCACAAGCACAACGAAGCTCTGTTTTTGCTCCAAATTAAGTAAGATAAGTCCATATGACTGAAATTGTCATTTATTAATGACGAAAACTAAAAAGATACAAAGTTACAAAACTGGGGAGATAATAAACATCCCCCAAACTATATAAGTGCTAAATATAAAAATAATAAAGTAAGTTAATGAAATGTAACCAGGATTAATTATGAAAAATATGAGAAATCACAACAGCTATAGGAGCAAAAAGGTTGGCGCAAATGAAAATAAAAGGGCGGATTTTCTCTTCATTGTTTTCCATACACGACTCACATTGTTAATACTTTTTGTACATTGTATTAAAAGCAGATTCGTTTCATTATTTTTCAGACATGTTTGTACCAGAACGGAAGAAAGAAACTTCACGAGATTGGTCAAACATTATCGATCTTGCAGAACGGTAGTGCCATGTGGACTCTGGGACTGGGGCAGATGCACCAGGTAACTTTCTGTCGTAAGGGGTACGATGAATAAATTCCCACATTAAAATATAACAAAGAAGTTAGGGGACTGCTTACATTCGAAGAAAATCATTTTTTCAATATTCTTATATTATTTAATTTTATAAAGTGAAATCAATTATAGCGCAAAACACAGATTTTGTTTCCATAAAATGCTTATTTTGTTCTTAGAATTTTGTTTTGTCTCGTCTCATTCTAGCGTATTTATGAATCTTGTAACCAAACATATTCAGTGCCCCCGTGATGAACATTGATATACATGTATTACAAAATGTAGAATTATAAAAAAAAAAAAAAAAAAAAAAAAAAAAAAAAAAAAAAAAAATNAAGAAGAGCTAAAATAGCCACCGTCTTCACAACGAGCAAAACAGTATACAAATAAACACGGTTTTATAACATCACCGTTTGCAACAATATTTTCGCAAGTTGAAGACTTGTTGTGGGAAGGCTGTATTTGTATATTTACAAATCGGTGAAAAGGGAATTAAAGAATATAATTTTAAAATTGATCATTTTTAATCTTTTTGGCAATTAAGGCTTTGTACAAATTATCAGTGAATTATTTTACTTTTGATTATGAAACAGCAATAATAATGATGAAGATTATATCAGTGCTATTTATTATAAATGAAATGGTTGCGATAATAATAATAATAATAATAATAATAATAATAATAATAATAATTGGTGAAATGTTCAGCAACTCACAAATCCCTAATTACAGATACATGTAACCACATTTGAATAGACACAAAAAACTGTTTAATAATGTCATTAAAAACACACACACACACAAACAATCAAACAAACAAATAAACAAACAATAAATGAATAAATAAATATACCACATGTGACCCAGTGCTGAATAAAGTATTATTGGCACGGCATAAATGATTTGAAAATTTCATCTGTAAGAAGCACATGGCTATATTACCTTTCCAGCTACTACGACTGTAGCACGTACAGCTTAGCCTACGACACTCTCCCAGTAACAGTAGAATACTGCTGTGATGGGTGGTCCGCTGGGATCAACGCGACAAACACTAGCAGTTGCGACATACGTAAGTCGACGTATTCTTTTATAGAATTTAGACACACAAAATAGTTTGTTTTCAATTTAATTTACAATGGGATGACACACGAAAAATGAAGATATCTGGAGTAAAATGAGTAGAATTTTCCGAAGTTTATTAATAGAATTGAGAGCCCTGCATATATCAGATCATTATGTCCGGATCTGAATACATACACAGGGCCAAAGTGCAACCGTGTTTTAGTCAAAGAAATAATGACTGTGCCCTTAGGAGGCCAGTGAAAGTTTTTATTTGCATTGCTAACAAATTAATCTGGTGAATGGATTTTGTTTCAGCTGTTTGCGCTGTAGGGTGTGAGAATAATGGCGATTGTATAGCGCCCGACACCTGTAAATGCCAGCCGCCTTACCACGGCTTTACCTGTAACGAAAGTAAGTCATGGTCGCTGTCAGTGCAAACTAGCAATTTGTATGCACCAGAATAATATTTTTTGTGAGGTATTTATTACAATGGTGTTTATTAAAGTCACACTAAAAAGAATTCAGCATATCTCCATTACACCTTGCTTTTGAAACTGATCGCGTCTGAATTCTGTATCAGTGCCGCATAAAGAGTCATACGTTTTTATAACTAAAGAACGCATTTGCTATTAAAATAAGTCTTAATTCTGTATCAGCGCTACGTTTTATGTCTTACGTTTCTATAAATAAAGAGTGGCTTTACAACTGATATTGATCATGTGTCGATTTTACATCAATGCTGCGTGATAAGTCATACGTTTTTATAAATAGTGAGAAACAAGGACAGTTGTTTGGAAAACAAAAAAATGTTGTTCATAATTGCATAAGATCTTTTCATAATTTTCTTCTGCTTGAATATGAATACAAACCTAACGCGCTTGAAATAATTTCTTTGTTTTATAATATTTAAGAAAAAACATACCAATTAGGCCAGATAAACATGATTGGTTGCATAACAATCGCCGCCTAACGGAAAATAGGATCGGTAGACGATTTTTTTGTTATTTTTTTGTATTTTAAACACACGATGTTTAACAAGCGGTTAAAGGGCCGATGTTTTTTTGTTAGCGGTTGGGGGGGGGGGGGTATCAATCTGATCTTAGAGCATAAAAGCACAAGCATTGAGATAAGTTGGTTATTTCTCCCACTTACGACACCAAAGCCATAGCTGATATTTTTTCTTTAAAAAATAAATAATGAAAAACGTATATACAAAAAAGGGCGATTTTTTCACGGGTATGTGAGGGTCGGTCGCGTTCGTACCAAACTTATTAATTTTGTCCGGCCTTATCTATTATTTAGCTTATGACCCCTGTCAAAACTACGAGGAACTCACGGTGGGTTTTGAGAGGAGCACAAATAACACCAACTTCACCACCAATCCCAAATGTGACTCTTTACTGCTGAGGACCTGGTACAAGATAGGTCACTCACCCATCTTTCACTTGCCTACGACCTGCCCTGGGTCACCAGCTTGTGGAACGACTGGACCAGTTTGGATGAATACAAGTGAGTACTATTTGGTTAAGAAAGACCAGAGTCGTCACTTTGAGAAGTCAAAAATCCGCGTTCTTTACTTACGACGAAAACCTTGAAATAAAATCACGAATAAAGAGTACACAAGTACTTCGGCATCAAATTGCAGTCAAACTCGGTGAACAAAGCCCTTAGAGATCGGAAGGCCAAGGCTATTCAGCTCTATTTACAGTGTCGTTTAGCAATACTGCGTAGCAAACCATGTAATCCTAACATATTTGAAGCTTCTGGATAAACTAGTAAAATAGTGAATGCATGTTAATAGGAAAAACATCTAATTCGAGATATATTGAGCTTGCCTAAACGTAACAATATTTTATCACCACTGTTTTACATAATCACGGAGCTTTATATCCTATTGTGAATAGTCAGCATTGTTTTGGAGTTGTTTCAAAGAACGGAGAATTATACTTTTTATTTCAATCTAACACAAGTCTGTTAAGAAAGATGAACTCTTTGAAGACATATTCTCAAATATTAACAAGGCAATGCATGAAGCGAAAACTTCCAAGCGAATTTACTCTGTATTTTTTTCTTTTTTGTCGTTGGTTTTATTTCACTAATCCCTTACCACTTTTATCCGTTATTATTATTATTATTTTTTTTTGGTAAGTGAGTTTGTCTGTTTTTTTTTTCAAAATTGAAAATTGAAATTCCAATTATTTTGTTTGTTTGTTTCAGCCAACACGTCTATACCAGAGGGCGACATGATAACCTTAGAAGCATGTGTTGGGTCGCCTGACAGCTGCTGTGAGTCCTTGCTGCCAGTGCAAATCAAGAATTGCACAGACTTTACGGTGTACTATCTTAGTCCGACGGTGGCATGTCCACAAGCATATTGCTTTGGTAAGACAAATCCAGATGAAATCTTAACCGAAACAATCTTTTTCTAATCAGAGGAGTATTTAAACATTATCTTAAAAAATTGATTGAATTTAAAGAATGAAAACATTTCCAGTCTTTTTTTCTGATATCCAATGGTCAAATTATAAATTATGATATTGTAAGCACAACATTGCATCAAATGAGCACTGATGTCTTGACACCGTACAAATTTCATATGTTTTATCAGAGGTTCCACCCTGCGTTGGTTGTAACATAACAGTGTGTCCAGATGGATACGTCGCTAAGGATGGGAATTGTGAAGGTAAGGTACATGTACTCCAATGACCTTGACCGTATTTTACTTCTGCGCAGGCTACGCCTGCCCTTAGTGTTTTACTTTTATCTAATGATGTATTTGAATATACTGGTTATTGAACTGGTATGCTGATTTTAGAGAAGAGTTTGTAATAGACGCTGATAGCCAGGGCGTATTGTAAGATTAATTCACTTTGCGTAAAGGTATAATGTGCAAAACGTTATCGAGAAATGGATTTAAATCGGTTTTAAACCACGGGATCTAACTTTTACGGTCATTATAACCCCATAACCCGACTCACAACGTTAAAACCAGTGGAGTAACTTCCAAACAAAACTTCATACACATGTCTGCAACTCTCTTACAGATATTGATGAATGCCTGGTTGCAAATGGTGGCTGCGATGATCGGTGCGACAATCTAAATGGATCATTCGCGTGCGCTTGTACGGACCCAGGATATATTTTAGGAGCAGACTTTCGCTCGTGCGACGGTGAGTGTAATTTTACGTCGCTGGTGTTAGCATGACTATTTTGGTAAAGTAAAAGTAAAGTTGTCATAGCCTATTTGCGATTATATAAAACATCAAACACTTTTTTTCATCAGATGTGGACGAGTGCAGTATCTCTAATGGTGGGTGTGAAGATACATGCACCAATATTATAGGTTCTTTCCTGTGTTTCTGCAACCAAGATGGCTACCAGTTGGGAAATGACTCTCAGTCGTGTGAAGGTAGGTCTTGGGTATAATATAAAACACATTTACATTTTGGTGAATATATCTGGATTTCATTGTATAAAGGATTGTTAAAGTTCTTAGACGTTTCAGTTTTAATTGTAATCTTTTAAGGGTCATAACTGAAGATCAATAGGGAATTAAAACTTTGGTGGATGGTCTCATAACATAAAGATTTCGGCAAGCAGAATGATAATTTCCTGAACAATGCCCAACTATGAGTTAATTAAGACTGACAAAAAAGTACAGCGTTAAGTAGTTGCCGCGCCAGTTCCTCTGAAAGACACAAGGCGGTCTGATTATTAGTCATCACTGACTTTGAAGACGTACACACTTTTTAAATTTTTGGAAATAGTTTTATTGGTATTTTGACAATATTTTGATACTCTATGTTGCAGATATAAATGAATGTGCTGTCAATAACGGCAGTTGTAGTGACATTTGCATCAACACCAACGGCTCCTACCACTGCGAATGTAACGAAGCTGGTTTTGTCCTTGGAGGCGACGGTCACACTTGTCAAGGTAAGAAGATGACGATGAAAGTATACGTTCTAATACGGGCTTTATTGTATGTTAACGAAAAGAGAACCCTTTATCTATGAATGCAAAATTCGATGCACTTGCTAAGTTATTAAATTTGATAGAAAGATGGCGACGGGCACTCAACGTCTTTAAATTGTGACCATACGTGTATCGCTATTAGTTTGCAATGGAACACGGAAAATATCAATTGCCAATCGAAATATGTTATATATGCTGTAGTTCCTAGCATCGTTATATAATGTAAATGTTTATTTTTATTTATTTTTTCAAGTTGTCATTGAAGAGTTTAATTTTACGGCCGTTTTTAATGGAACGACAACAAGTTCAATAGCGCAAGACATTTCTTCCGAGGCACCACACGAAACAACTACTTCAGGGACGCCACAGGAGACAACTACCACAGCGACGCCACAGGACACAACTACTTCAGCGACGCCACCGAAGACAAAATCAACAACGACTGAGAGCACTACTGTGAGGACCACAACAGTGACGAGTACACCCGTAAGCACAATCGTACAGCCGTGTAGTAACAACCCGTGTATGAATAATGGTGTATGCTTACCATTCACAACGGGCGTCGCATGTAACTGTACTGGGACTGGGCACACTGGTATGAATTGCGAAAAAGAAGATGTGTTTTCGAAATTGGGACTTAAGTCGTACAATTTGCCCAGAGGATGCTATCTCTTAAGCTTGGTCACTGATGGTCCCGCCGGTGTGTGTAATCAGATTTGGCTGTCGTCTACATCTGCTTGGTTTAAATCTACCCAGGAAACGGATACTTTTTTCACGTTTGGAATAGTTTTCTTTGAAAACAAAGGCTCTCCGCTTTCACATAACGGTCTCCAGATAACCAATCACACCCTCACAGTGTCTTCTTTAACTCCAACTCAGTCTGTCAACGACGGGACACGCCTTCCAGCGACTTCCATCCTACAAGAGCGATGTACTGCGTCTACTTTCACGACGGAAGACGATGGTGACTTTCTACAAAGAAACTCTTTTCTTAGAAGTCTCCTTTCGTCGGCTGAGATCCAGTTCCCGGGTAATATACGGTTAGAACCCCTTTTGAAGTACGAAAGCACTCTGTCTCCACCATTTGATATCAGCATTGTTGCCGGCAGTGAACTGTTGGACGAGAACAACGCTGTGCACAGTAGTTGTCAGGGGGCGCCACTGTCCCGTGATGTATTCTACAATATATTAACATTCCAAGAGGGTGTGAATTTCACGTACTGGGGAACTAGCTTAATTCTTCCGACACTATATGGAGACGAAAATTATTGTTTGATTTTGGACATGTGCGGAGAAAGAGATATGACATTCTTCTTTCTGTTTCCTGTAGATAAAATTGATTTAGCTGGTAGATTTGATATACTTGGTGCAGTAAGCACGTTTGGATTTCACGGCAGTGTACATGGAATTGGAATGTCGACCACACGACGAATTGAAGTCAAACTACCCGAGTTGGCGGGAGAATTTTGGAATGGTGATGAAAAGGTTGCATTCAGGTACATCATTTCTTTAGAATTTCAAAAACTAAACAAGGCTTACCAGTATGGTGGTGTGATTGTCATTCTACCACCAGAAAGTTGCATAATATTAAGCCTCGGTCACAAACTACGTCCACGGCCTACGCAACACCCAAAAATCGCAGAGGACGTACGATCCTGAAATTCGTGCGTCGGTTGTGGCCGAGGCTTTAGGTATAACTCGAGTAGTGGAGTATCCTTCTCAGATGTCAATTTTGGACATGAATTTTATACGTGTAACTTACTTGTGAAAAAGGAGATAAATCATAATATTAAATACAACAACATGCTGGGATTTGTTCCACATTTGGACTCGTGAAATGTTTGGTGCCTCTAGCCCATTTGAACGTTTGCTGCCGTTCTCAAGCAACGAACGTGAACTGCTCATTTCCTCATTCATCGATTTATCTTAATTGTCTCTCTGGTGACTTCTGGCCATATTCCTGGCCATATGCCTGGCTGTCGCCATTGGTGCTTGCAACAAATAACGTGCTAGCAAAGCAAGTCACAGTGACGGTTGATTTCGAAAACCTATTCTAAAAAATGTCTCTCAAAAAACTCCACAATGGTATTGAATGACATGTAAGTCATAAAAAAGAATCGTCATATCTTCTAGCTAAAACTCGAGTTAAGTGGAACTTCTAAATCTTTTTGGAAGAAACATCGCCTTGGAATAATTCTGCTTCTCTGTTGACATGTTATTATACAACAAGGGTGGTAGAATGCATAAATTTTCCCAGTTTTAATGTCGACATTAACATTTCTATAGTATACTTTTAAATCGATATGTCGGGCACCAATAAAACCTCAGATGTCTCCATTTTTACATTTCAGCTTGCCCTCAGAAGCTAACGTCTGGATAATGACAGAGATGGAAAATTCGGAATGGCCGCTCCTTCTCTTGGAGGCGCAAGGAGATGCCTTCTTTAAAGTACCCAACCCTGTTGACGTAAGTATATGTAGTTTCGTTTTTAAACTAGGGCATAAAGATAGCTAAATCTTGTAATTGTAAAAAGGATTTGTACAGAACGTACTTGGGACCGGCTGTTTTGTACAAGTTTAATCTTATAATAATGTACTTCGTTTTCGATTCAACTGCATAATTAAACGTGTATTTTTATCGAAGTTGACAGAGTACAGGCGTTCAGAAGAGTATGTCATGGTGATGGCGTCATCTGCGTCAATGGACATTGTCTTGGACACATCGCTGGGTCCGGTCGTCCTAGGGGGCGCCGTTGCCGAAAGCTCAGTATACCTGTCCGTAGGAGGTGAGTACACCTTTAAATGTTAGTCCTTATCTCATTTCGTATATTAACCACGAGTTATACCTTGATTGCCCAAGTTGCGACATTAAAATTCTATTTATCTTATTTATACAATTAAAAATGATTTTTTTTACGAAAATACATGCATGTTACACACAGTAGAATTTCTTTAATTCTTACACCCACCCACATAGGCATATTATATCAAAATTCAACTGAATGAACGTTTCACCTAAATTTCATGAAGGATCTCAACCACGGCGTCTTTGCGGTGCAGGTGCCAACCCAGCGGGCTTGTTTTTCACCATGCACCTTCACTTCAACCCATTGAAAGATTTTTGGCCGTACAGTGAGCTCAGATCCGAATTAGAAGATGCATTTGCCGAAGTCGAAAACGTGTGTGACAAGTTGGATGAAATTGCTGAAATTTTTGGGGATAAAACCAGCACTACACCTAATGTTTATACTAGTTCCACTGCAAGGTCGACAACTACAAGACCGACCACGACGACTAGGCACACCACTACTCGACGAACCACCACCGCAAAAGCAGGAACAACCATAAAACCTACAACTTCAGAGAATAACGCTCGTGCCAAGTGGAGAAAGAGATCCAAGAGGGATAAGAGACCGAAAAACAAAAGCAAAAAGCGATTATTGAAGAATAAAGCCAAAGGCAAAAACATGGACCTAGCTGTAAATGATATAGCCCAGCAAGCACCCAATGCAACTGCATGCAGCAAGGCTCTAAAAAGGGCTTTAGCTCTACTTCAGAATGTTGTAGAAAACCCCCTTGAGGCGGTCTTTGATCTCACTGTTGATGTTGATGTTTTTATTCTCTTTGATGACAGTCCTTTGCCAGATGCCAATACAGGTAATTCCGTTGCTCTGACGAACGACTTGAAAGTAGGTTTATCCTTAATCGTCATCAATGCACAAAACTTAATTCTGCTTCTGAACACTAGTGACATTGAAAACCGATTCCTTTGGGAAAGCACCCGATCTTTGCTGAAGAATTTTGTTTCACAATCCATCAATCTCTTGTCAACCAGCGATGCCTTTACCACTCGCTTCAATGGCACAGGTGTCTTCGAGATTGGCAACACAACAAAGGCCATCAAAACTCTTGTCATTGAATTACGAAAGACTTTTCAGAGTCTTAAAATGGAAGCCGAGTTAATACCTGATACATTTGTTCATCGGCTTGTCACCGAAGCCGATTCCCAACTGGAGAAGTTAGAAAGAGATGCATGGGAATTTGTTCAGTTCAGCAACACTGAGCTTATCCAAGCATTTAAGGGGTTTTCTGGCTTTGGAATAAAATTTGTTTCTTCGCTCACGGTATTCGGCATAAATCTGGGAGAGCTTGATTTAGAGTTTGTGTACTCCTCTGGCTCTTTAGCTCAGTGCAGCAAATACAGTAAAGCATACGCTCTCCTTCAGGGCAAGGATGCCGTTCGAATAATGGGTTTGTTTAAAGCTGATGGAGACGTATTCAAGTTTTTCAAAAAATTCCGTGGTGCTGGACTAGAGTTAGCTATCGGCATAAATGGAGCACAAACTGATATTATTGTCCGTGCAATCCTCCTGTTAGATTTGCCAGTTTTTGATAGTACAAGAATTGACGTTTTTATTTCAAGGAACGGTTTGGACGCCTACGTCGAAACTGTAATAGTATCTTTATTTCGAATTGAGATGAATTTATATCTTAGATTTAACGTCCCAGAAGTTCATTTTCGACTGGGCATGTCGGCATATTTTGTGCCAGGGCCTAAGGGTTTTGACGGAAGCTTATGGGATGCAGTGATTGAAATAGTAAAAGAAAAGTCAAGGGAAGCACAAGAGCGAATTTCTGCTGCCCAAGATGCTGTAACAAAAGTCCAGACTCAGCTACAAGCAGCACAGGAAAAGGTGAATTCCGCAAAGGCTGGAGTTCTTGCTGAAAAGACAAAATTTGACAACGCTGTTAAAGTTCTTGAAGATGCGGAACGGAAAGTTGAGGAGGCAAAGATTCCATTCCAAAGGGCTCTTGATGAGTTAGCGAGGGCTCAAAGAAATGTGGATAATTTGTGCCAGATACGAGATTGCCCTGACATTTGTTTGTGGGGCCTTACCTGTAGGATATGCAGTGGCTGGATACCTTTTCCATGCTGTCAGTGGGTCCCATGTGCGATTCGCATCCCCGACATTGGCTGTCTTATAGCAAATGCTCTATGCCGCATTCTTAGAGCTATAGCTTACGCTGCTCTGGAAATTGCTAAGATCGCCGTTCGCATCCCTATGATAGCCATGGATATAGCTAAAGGGGCGCTCCAAGTGGCTCAGATAACTGTAAAAGCAGCTAAAGTCTTTCTCGATGTTGCAGTTGGATTTTTAGACTTAACGATTTATATTTTGAAAGGGATCGAATGGCTTCTCGAATTTGTGAAAGCAGCTTTGGAGGTAGTTAAATTCATCCTACGTGGAATAACATTGGCGTTTGAGTACTTTATTCGTTATGGAATTGCAAGTATCCTGGACATTAAACGATGTGGTTTTGGCGTAGAAATCAATGCACGGGACTTTTTTCTCTTGACTGTTTCATGCGAGTTCAATGCTTTTAGAACTGGCTGGACATTGTTCACATTTAGGATTGATTTGAGGAATATTTTTCTAAACATACTAGAGCTAGCCTTCAAGATTGTAAAAATGATATTTGAAGGTATTGGACGTTTACTTACTGGAAGAGGAAAACGGTCTGTGGAATATTTAGTTAGAGCGAACATTCTTTGGTCATATAAGCACCTGCGAGGACGATTTGAGCGAGATACACATGGTATGTCTAATTCCTCCATCAACGGAACAGTGTTTGATGATATTTTTGATGGAGAAAATGTAACTATTGACTCCCCCGAATCCGACAGCCTTAATGCAAACGACTCAACCGAAGCAAATTACATACAATATCGAATTAATTTGTTCAAAAGAAAATGTGACGAGTTCTCAGTCATTGACACATTTTTGACCACAGTGGCTGAAGCATTATACAACGTGTCATCAGTGGCAAAAGATTCCATTGATAATGCCTCTACAGTGGTGGATGATTTGACTAGCATGACAAAGGTGGAAAACATAAGCCTTAACGATTCTGGGTTTAACAAAACCGATGCCTACGTCAACTATAACTTGACTGAAAATGACCTTGAAGATGTGATTGCAAATTCCAACGTGACCTCTGATCCGGTGGTAGGTGCGTACGTGGGCATGATGGATACCGCTGTAAATGCAACGAAGGAGGAAACCCAGAAGGCAAAAAGCTTCCCAATCGGCACCGCATGGAGACAAACAATGGAGAATTACACACGGGACACACAAGACCCGAACAAGTGTTCCAGTTTTGAGGATTGCTTACTTATGTATTTCTATGATTTCTACCGTCTTTACTTAAACGTCTCCATTGCCCAGGCAGACACCATGCGGCAGCTGATACCGCAAATTGAAGACAGTTTTCTTGGCATTGTCAGAAACGATACGCTGACAACAGAGGATGCCGTTGCTCTGAGTGGTGAGCTGTTGTCTGTACTGCTTCAGAGTAGAGAAACCAAAGTTTTCTGTGCCACAGCACCCAATATTTCTGTAGAGGTCCACGACATCGCCGTTCTGGTAGGTCATAATGTGACTTTGACCTGTAACGCAACAGGCGAACCTGCACCTTACTTCGAATGGCAGAAAGACGGAGAACCGATTTATGGAAACAGCAGCTTAAACGTAAACATTGACGGAAATGTTTTAGAAATCCCAGTTGCGGAACAAATGCATGATGGCTATTACGCATGCGTTGCAGTGAATCACGTAGTTAGCGTTGCTTCGAGGGGTGTTCTCAAAGTTGAAGAACCGCCGTGCGAGGTGATGCCTCCCCTTAATGATCTGGTTGTACTTGAGGGGTACGAACCATCAGCCAACATCACGTGCAACGTGACTGGAGATCCATTTCCAACTATCACGTGGACGTTTGAGACCAATTTGAGCAGCACAAATAATACCACAGTTCCTGTCTTTCTTAACAGCAGTGACCCTATTCTGAAAATTCCCAAACCCAGGCTTGTTGATGCTGGTTTTTACCAATGCAGTGCAGAAAACAAACATGGTTTACATAAGATGAACCACACCCAAATGATAGTTAGGCCTGTGCGAGTGGCGTTGCCACGGGCACAAATAACCATGGCTGTGAGACGAATAGCAGCAGCAGATACGGAGACCCCTGTCACCCTATTTCAGAACATGTCATTAGATGGGCTAGACTTCAAGGAAACCATAGAAATGACGCTGATGCAATTACTTAATGACAACGTCACCGTTTCGAACATAACACATCTTGAAAATGATGGAACCCAATTCACCATTTTGGCAAATGAGATCGCCAATTCCACAGATCACAACAACTCGTACGGACAACTGAACCAACAGTATGGTGGGCTGCGGCAGTCAGTCATGAGAAGTGTTCGTGTGCTTTACAATTATGGGTACCAGGGAACGTTTATCTTCACCCATGGCGCCCATTATGTTAGTATTGACCACAACCAACTGCGAGCGTCCTTTGATTCCCCACTTTGTCCGCTCGGTTATGAACACAGCGTGGAGTTTGAATATCTATGCGGTAAGTATGCCTGGCGCAAGGAGCAAAATCATAAAAGCGCATGTCCATGTGCTCGTTGAAATGTGGTGGTTTACGCACACTTTACTGAAACACTATATAATAAATGAATTAAGCACACACGGGCGCTGTCTGATAGTGTTAAATGACCTGTCAACAGTACGATAATCAATAACAGAAAAAAGGTTTTATCTAATTTCATTCAAAATTGAATTAACCAGAAATTTATTTAAAAAATGAGGATGTTAACTTTCTTTGTGCTGCCAACTAAGACTTACTAATATATATCTGTTACTTATTGCTACACATGTAGTTTGAATTTGACCTTGCAACTGTCATGTCATAAATGTCAACTGTCATAAATGTGTTCATTTATGATACCAGCCGCTTGTATGCCGGGGACATATTCTGATGAAAAGTCTCGCACCTGCAAGCCATGTCAGTTTGCATTTGATGACAAGAGTATGGGAGCCGTCCGCTGCACAGGTAACACATTTTGAACTCCATTTTCATTATCATCGTTTAATTTATTGTAGAATTCAAATGAAATGCGCGTATGTCTATCATAATATCATTATATGCCTAACGTGCACAAGTTCTAGAACATTATCATTCGTTAAGACAAACTTTCTTTTCAAATTGAAGATCTTCGTATTCTCATCTATCAGTTATCAGGCTGATTAGAGTCATCTCTTTATAAATGTCATTTTGTGATTTTAATTGCTTTTCCAGGCACGACAGAAGTTAATGAACCTCAGGTAAGACCCCCTAAATTTTCTATCATAGATATATTTTAATGCATTTAGCGAGTAGGTATAAAGTCGCATCACACTTTTTAACCAACATTTTGGCAATTTGAATTGTAACGCCTCAGAAAGACGAAGAGGGTAATGCTTATATTGGTTTTTAGTGCTTAACGCTTGACAGTGTTTCGCTTAAAGCGTTGCAGCAGTTGCAGTACAGTAGTTGTGTTCACGCTCAGCTGTCACCTTGGCTGTTAGAGTCACTAACCGATACGTGACTGCCGAACGTGTTTCTGGCAGTTCGTCTGTTGTATCATAAGTCAGTGTGACATTGAGCAAGCGACAGAGAAACGGCTGTGCAACTGTCCCAAATTAGTGTGCGGGTAAAACTCTGTGCTCCGTGTTACTCGTAAGCTAAATCTGAAATTAAAAGAGAATGAAAATTAAATTAGATATTGGACACTCATGTATAGATGACATGATTTTGACGAGTATGTTCTATATAATTTCTCAGGGAAAGGACGTTTTATGCTTTAGTCTGGTTGGTTTTGACACTGACCAAATTTTTTTTTCACTGCCAGTGTAGGCCTACTCCATATACAATTGTGTTGTACACGCGTGAGTCGTTTTTGCGATAAATAAATTGATATATAACGCGTTTCATTTGATCTTTATAGATGCTTTACTATCTTTATTATTTTCAACACGGCGATTATGGTGAATCTTCAGTCTTTTTTGCACATTTGTATCTGAGGATATCTTTTTGACCATGTAATTGGCTATTAATAGTTGAAATCTGGGAGAAGTAAATTCACTTTTATGTGTTTTTCTTTTTTCAGAGACTTACCTGGATGATTCCTGTTATCGTTTCAACTGTTCTTACATTGGTGGTATTGGTAGCACTATTTGTTGGATTAAAAGTAATGAAGAAGAAACTCGTTGCGCGGTAAGGACTGGCATTAACGATCAGTAAAAGAAAATTCTTTCACTTAAACTGAGCAAATTTGAAAATTTCGGCTGAAGGATGTTCACTGGTCACTAGCACATGCACTTGTTGCAATGGTGAAAAATGGTGGTAGTTATATGGGTGGAACTGATCAATACATTGCATTTTTTGTGTAATTAATGATTTTGACTACGGAATGTTACTTATTTTATCAGTTGAATTAGAGGTACAATGAATACACAAATAAGTTTTTAGAGCTGAGTGCCGTGTATTCGTTTCATTGTAGCCTTTGCTGAAAATACGCAACAAAGAAGATGCTTTACGTCACCAACAATGTAACATTTATAATGCTTTACGGTTAAGTTCAGTAAAAGCGAAGTCAAAGAAACCATCCAAAGCTGCTCAAAATCCAAAACGCACCATTTTCTTATTATTTCAGACAAAGCGTCACTCCAATAACGAGCGAAGAAAATTTAAGGTCGGTCAATAGCTCCCATTTAGACATGAAACGGTTCAGAGGTTCAGAGGCGTGGTCGAACACTGGCAACGAGTGTTCACCAGTGCAAGCAAAACGTGGGATAGGTGATTCAGCAGTAGAGGTGGTCGAAATAGAGCAGACTGAAACCACCAATAGTGACAAAGCCTGGAACAGACTCTCACCCTTGATCGGGAATCCTGCTCCTCCTCTTGTCACCGATGGTGACGCCCCACACCCCTGGCCCATTTGGTCTAAAGTTCCTGAAATCAAAAACTCCCATAACAACGGGGACTAATATGTGATTTCAGTAGAAATGACTAATCATTGTATCATATCGTAAAGGATGTATTTGTGCATTAAAATGAAGGGATACTTAAAATGTGCATATCATATGCTTTATATCAAACATTGTAGAATTTGACTCTCAGTTCATTGAGCTTTGCAATATAGTCTCAAAAGAGTTATAATTTTTTATGTAGTCGCATTTTACATATAGAATTCCAATAGATATCTGCTGCAAATGGTTCTCATGAAACAACCCAACCGTCTATCAATTCCATGGGTTAAAACTCCCACCCATGTGAACCTTGGTAAAAAATGTGTTGGCGTTGGTATTAGAGTATTTCAATGGTTTAGCTTGGTAGGTCAATGTTCTAATACGCACATCCCCAATTTACACAATGATCGGTTGCCTAAATATTATGTAATAGAAAAATTGATACCATGGGTACCTTGAAGCGATGTATACATGTATAATTGCTGTAGGTGACAATTTTTTTGCTAAGGGGGTATATATATATAATCCAAAAGGGGCAAAAGGGGCTGTTTAAATAAATAAATGTTTGTTAGTTTCTAAGTCAAATATTAGTGGCTTTCAATAGACAGATCATATTTCCAATGAGAGTTTCTTTGTTTACTTTCGTCTATGGTAACCCGTAAGCTTTTAGAAATAACTGAACCCGTCTTTTTAAAATGTTTTCTGTCACAACACACTATCTTTGTTCAGGTGAACCTGCATCCATTGCATAGACCCATTGAAGTATACAGCGCTCAGTCTTATCGCTAAAAGAAACTTTTGTTTTTTTTACATATTTACATTTGTAAAAACTTAATTTTGATTCCCGAAGCTGTAAATACTTAGTAGATGTGGTGCTATGATCACTGCACGCAAAACAATATGTGCAAGACTCAACCAGTGTGGCTAGGATCATTTATTGAAACAATCGTATAACTGTGCGATAAAGCGAAACTTGTCACTTAAACTGATTTATGGTACTAAAATGTCACGGAGAATCATTCTCGCTGCCATAGGGATTTGTGCTATGTTCCTCCTGTCTTATTTTGGAGTGTCCAGTGGATTAACAGGGTAAGTGTAAAGACATGCAGCTTAGATACCATGTCGCTTGTGCCCCGTCGTGCCCTGACGTGATCGACCCTGGCGTGCCCTGTCGTCGGGGCGCAGGGCCCGGTTTGCACCAACAAGGAGTACATGTAACTCAGGCGTACCAGTTGTGCCCGAGTAACTCCAGCACAAAACGATAAGAAAAGCCTAATCTTGTCGTGAATCTTTATTTAAAACTTAAAGCCCCCTTTATACTGGACGAAGTTCTTTCTGCGTCCCGTGGTAAATATAAATACGGCCCCGTTTGAGAGTAAAAAAAAAAAATAAAATACGTGCCAACAGGTGGTCGATCACTGAGCATTCATTCTGCAACCAAATCGATGCTTTTGCCCCATTTCTACGACCACAGCGATGCCAGTTTCATGGTCGCACAAAGGAAGCAGAAAGTACACCGTCCAGTGTAAAGGGGATTTTATCCAAATTTGAGCCCAGTAACTGTATATCAAACCCTAGCTCTTACCGAAATTTCCCACCTTGCTAAACTGAGAGTTTATATTTTGGTCCTCAAATTGTGATTCAAAATCTCTTATAGGAGCATCAAATTACATCAATTTCAGAATTTGAAAATTAAATATAAAATGTACACTTTCAGAATAGATTTTCTGCCATTTTAACTATTTTTTAAATTGGGTAGGCACGTAGAGTGTTTTCATAACCTGATAAGGGGGTTACATGTAGTAGGGCGTGTTTTCTAGTCACAGTCTTTCATTGAAATTCCTCTGAAATTACGCCAAGTGCGCGTACTATTCTCACGAAGGTTAAATCATCTAATGGTTAACATTTACAAAAGTCGTTGATTTATGATACAATGAAATTCGCCCTTTTATTTTTATGCCGCTTGTAGAAAATTAGATTGCTGATGCAGACAGTGGGCCAACACGGCCAACCATGTAATTTTCAGATTTTTTAGACATATTTCCATTCAATCATTCACTCAAACTTTTTAATTATATTCAAGAGGAAGTTTCCCTTCATTATTTTCCATACACGACTCACATGTTCGAAACTTTTTATGTACATTGCATTAAAAGCAGGTTTTTAAAATTATTTTTAGACATGTTTGCACCAGAACGGAAGACAGAAACTTCACAAGATTGGTCAAACATTATCGATCTTGCAGAACGGTAGTACCATGTGGACTCTGGGACTGGGGCAGATGTACCAGGTATTTCGTTGCCAAATCAGGCCTAATTATACACAAAATCAAAATGGCAGCTAAGTCATGTGTTCTTTTTCATGGCAACCGCACACGTTACTTTCATTTGTAAGGGGTATGATTAATAAATTTTAAAAGTAAAAAATAGAACAAAAAGACTACTTACATAACAAGAAAATCATTTTAAAGTTATTTTCAATATTTCAAAGTCAAATTAATTATATTTTATAGCGCAAAACACAGATTGTGTTTGTATAAAGTGATTATTCAGTTATTTAAGTTTTGTGTAATTCTAGAGTGTTCATGAACCTTGTAACCCAACACTAACCAAAAATAAAGTATTTTTAAAAAGACAGGTTCTGATTGCCAGAATCGTCATCGAAAACGAAACTAGGCACTCAACTCCAGACGCCGGTGATGAACATTGATAGACTTATAGAACAAAGTGTAGAATTATCCAAAAAGGCAAATATTGCGGGGAAGCGGGATCACGTGCCGTTGGCAAATTATTAAACATCGATGGAGCACTCCGTTTTGATCAAAATAATTTTTAACACGAGAAAATTAGATATGGGCCTAGATTACAGGCCCTGGTAATTACGCTTTAGATTTGCTGCACGCTTGTCAATTCTCACTTTACGTAACCTCTTCAATTTTGTAAGACTGCACAAAAGGATATTGTTCCCGTGTTTGCCTCAAACCAATCTACAACTTGAAATCGAGACCTTGACACAGTCTCGTTCACTCGTTCCAAGAAGAGCTAAAATAGCCACCGTCTTCACAACGAGCAAAACAGTATACAAATAAAACACGGTATCATAGTATCACCGATTTGCAGCAATAAGTTAAGGTTGCTCTAGCTATAGGCTTGTTGTGAAAAGGCGGTATTTGTATCCTTACACATCGATGAAAAGGGAATTAAAGAATATGAATTTCAAAACTTATTTGAATATTTTTCACAGTTATGGCTTTATACAACTCATCAATTCATTATTTTACTTTTAATTATGGAAAGCAATAATGGTGATGACAGTGTTATATAATAATAATAATAATAATAATAATAATAATAATAATAATGGGAAAACAATCAGCAATTGACAAATCCATAATTACAGGCACGTGTAACTTCATTTGAATAGACACATAAAACTGTAACATAATGCCATTAAAAACATACAAATAAATAAATAAACAAATATACCACAAGTGACTAAGCGCTGAATAAAGATTTATTGGCATGGCATAAGTAATTAGATAACTTGGTATGTAAGAAGCATATAACTATGTTTATTTTTCCAGCTACTACGACTGTAGCACGTACAGCTTAGCCTACGACACTCTCCCAGTAACAGTAGAATACTGCTGTGATGGGTGGACCGCTGGGATCAACGCGACAAACACTAGCAGTTGTGACATACGTATGTCGATTGAACATATTCTTAATATTAATTATAATAGAATGATACACGAAAAACGAAGATATCTGGAGTAAAAATTAATAGAATATTTCGAAGTATATAAGTAGAATTGAGAGCCCTGTATAAATCAGATCATTACGTTCAGACCTGAATTCATACACAGGGCCGAAAGGCAACCGTGTTTTTAGTCAAAGATGTAAAGACTGAGCCCTTAGGAGGTCAGTGAAAGTTTTTATTTGCATTGCTAACAAATTAATCCGGTGAATGGATTTGTGTTTCAGCTGTTTGCGCTGCAGGGTGTGAGAATAATGGCGATTGTATAGCGCCCGACACCTGTAAATGCCAGCCGCCTTACCACGGCTTGACCTGTAATGAAAGTAAGTCATGGTCGCTGTCAATGCAGACTAGCAATTTGTATGCGCCGGAATAATATTGTTTGTGAGGTATTTATTACAATGGTATTTTATTTAAGTCACTAAAAAGAATTCAGCATATCTCCATTACCATTTGCTTTTGAAACTGATCGCGTCTGCATTCTGTATCAATGTCACATAATAAGTCATAAATTTTCATAAATAAAGAACGCCTATGCTATTAAAATATATCTTTATTCTGTATCAGTGCTACATAATATGTCATACGTGTCTAAAAAAAGAGTGGTTTTACTGCTGAAATTGATCATGTTTTGATTTAACATAAATGCTCGTAGTAAGTCATACGTTTTTATAAATAGTGAGACACAAGAACAATTGTTTGGTAAACAAAAATTGTTTATAATTGCATAAGATTTGTTCATAATTTCGTTCTGCTTGAATATGAATACAAACCTAACGTGCTTTAAAAAAATTCTTTGTGTTTTTTTTACATTTAAGGTTGATTTTTTAAAATATTTATGAAACGACATACCAATTAGGCCAGATAAACATGATCGGTTGCTTAACTAACGCCGCCTCTCGGATAATAGGATCGGTAGACAAAATTAATTATTTTTGTACGCAGGATGTTTAACATGCGGTTTAACAGTCAATATTTTCGTTTTCTTTTTTGTGGGGTGGGGGTATCAATCCGATCTTAGAGCATAAAAAGCACACCAAAGCAATGGTTGATATTTTTCATTAAAATTTATTAATGGAAAACATATATTCAAAAAAGGGCGATTTTCTTACGGGTGCATGAGGGTCGGTCGCTTTCGTACCAAACTACGGGTCGGTCGTGTTTGTACCAAACTTATCAATTTTGTCCGGCCTTATTTATCATTCAGCTTATGACCCCTGTCAGGACCACGCGGAACTCACGGTGGGTTTTGAGAGGAGCACAAATAACACCAACTTCACCACCAATCCCAAATGTGACTCTTTACTGCTGAGGACCTGGTACAAGATAGGTCACTCCCCCATCTTTCACCTGCCTACGACCTGCCCTGGGTCACCAGCTTGTGGGACGACTGGACCGGTTTGGATGAATACAAGTGAGTACCATTTGGTTAAGAAAATGCAGAGCCGTCATTTTGAAAGGCAAGCAAAGTATCAAAAATCGCCTTTCTTTACCAAAGACAAAAACTTTGAAAGCACGAATAAAGAGTACACAAATTCACAAATATCTCGGCATCAAATTGCAGTCAAATTCAGCGAACAAAGCCCGTAGAGAACGGAAAGCCAAAGCTATTTCAGCTCTATTTACAGTGTCGTTTAACAATACTGCGTAGCAAATAATGTGTCCCTAACATATTTAAAGCTGCTGGATAAAACAGTAAAATAACGTTAATAGGAACAAAATCTACTTTAAGTCAATTAAAGCGAAGCAAGATATATTGAGTGTGCCTAAGCGTGACAATATTTTATCACCACTGTTTTACATAGTCACGGAGCTTTACAACCTGTTGTGAATAATCAGTTTTGTTTTGGAGTTGTTTCAAACAACGGAGCATTACAGTCTATATTTCAATCTAACACAAGTCTGTTAAGAAATATGATCTCTTTGAACACACATATATATATCATTTTTAACAAAGCAATACATGAAGCGATAAATTCCAAGCGAAATTAACTCAGTATTTTTATTTTTATTTATTTATTTATTTATTTATTTGTTTATTTATTTATTATTTGTCTTTGTATCTATTTCCTTAATCCCTTACCATGTTTATCCGTTATTATTATTATTATTTTGGGGTATCTAAATTTGTCTGTATTTTTTTTCAAAAATGGAAATTCCAATTATTTTGTTTGTTTGTTTCAGCCAACACGTCTATACCAGAGGGGGACATGATAACCTTAGAAGCATGTGTTGGGTCGCCTGACAGCTGCTGTGAATCCTTGCTGCCAGTGCAAATCAAGAATTGTACAGACTTTACGGTTTACTATCTTAGTCCGACGGCGGCATGTCCACAAGCATATTGCTTTGGTAAGAAATATCCAGATGAGATCCAAACTGTATTAATATTTTCTAATTAGATGAGTTGATAAATGCTATTGCACTTAATTAAAAAAAAATAATCGATTAAATTTAAAGAATGAAAAATTCCCAGTCTTTTTTTCTGGTATCCAAAAAGTGGCAGTGATGTGATATAGAAGATGGGCATAAGTCGAAGTATACATTATACAACATAGCATCAAATTAATTCTTATGTCATAACACCGCATTAATTTCTTCATGCTCTATCAGAGGTTCCACCTTGCGTTGGTTGTAACATAACAGTGTGTCCAGATGGATACGTCGCTATGGATGGGAATTGTGAAGGTAAGGTACCTTGACCTTGACCGTAGTTTACTTCTGCGCGGACTACGCCTGTCATTGCAGTTTTACTGTAATTTAATGATGTATTTAAATATACTGGTTATTGAACTGGTATGCTGATTTAAGAGAAGAGTTTGCAATAGATGCTGATGGTCAAGGCGTATGGTAAGATTAATTCACTTTGCGTAAAGGTATAATGTGCAAAATATTATCGAGAACTAGATTTATGATCAGTTTTAAACCACGGGACCTAACTTTTACGGCCATTATAACCCCATAACCCGACTCACGCCGTTAAAAGCAGTGGAGTTAACTTCCAAACAAAACTTCATACACATCTGCAACTCTTACAGATATTGATGAATGCCTGGTTGCAAATGGTGGCTGCGGTGATCGGTGCGACAATCTAAATGGATCATTCGCGTGTGCTTGTACGGACCCAGGATATATTTTAGGAGCAGACTTTCGCTCGTGCGACGGTGAGTGTAATTTTACGTCGCTGGTGTTAGCATGACTATTTTGGTAAAGTAAAAGTAAAGTTGTCATAGCCTATTTGCGATTATATAAAACATCAAACACTTTTTTCATCAGATGTGGACGAGTGCAGTACCTCTAATGGTGGGTGTGAAGATACATGCACCAACATTATAGGTTCTTTCCTGTGTTTCTGCAACCAAGATGGCTACCAGTTGGGAAATGACTCTCAATCGTGTGAAGGTAGGTCTTGGGTATAATATAAAAACATTTACATTTTGTTGAATATATCTGGATGCCATTGTATAAAGACGTGTTAAAGTTCTTAGACGTTTCGGTTTTAATTGTAATAATGTAAGGGTTATAACTGAAGATCAATAGGGAATTAAAACTTTGGTGGATGGTCTCATAACATAAAAATTTCCAAACTATGAGTTAAAACTGGCAAAAAAAAAAAAAAAAAAAAAAAAAAAATGTACAGCGGCACGGTAGTAACCGCGACAGTTTCACTGAAAGACGCTGATTATTGACTTTGAAGACGTACTTATTCTTTTAATTTTTGGAAATAGTTGTATTGGTATTTTGACAATGTTTTGATATTGTATGTTGCAGATGTCAATGAATGTGCTGTCAATAATGGTAGCTGTAGTGACATTTGCATCAACACCAACGGCTCCTACCACTGCGAATGTAACGAGGCTGGCTTTGTCCTTGGAGGCGACGCTCACACTTGCCAAGGTTAGTAGATACGGATGAAAGTATACGTTCTGATTCAGGTTTTATTGTCTGTAAAGGAAAAAGGAACCGTTTATCTGTGAATGTTTAAGTCGATACACTTGCCAAATTTTATAATGGCGACAGGCACTCAACGTCATTAAATTGTTGCCATACTTGTATCACCATTAGTTTTCAATAGAACACAGAAAATATCAATTACCAATCTAAAAATGTTACATATGTTGTAGTTCCCTGGCATCGATACATAAAGTGAATGAATTTTTTTAAATTTCAAGCTGTCATTGAAGAGTTTAATTTTACGGCCGTTTTTAATGGAACTACAACAAGTACAATAACGCAAGACATTTCTTCCGAGGCACCACAGGAGACAACTTATTCAGCGACGCCACAGGAGACAACTACTTCAACTACTCCACCGACGACTGTGCGGACCACAACAGTGACGAGTACACCCGTAAGCACAATCGTACAGCCGTGTAGTAACAACCTGTGTATGAATAATGGCGTATGCTTACCATTCACAACGGGCGTCGCTTGTAACTGTACTGGGACTGGGCACACTGGTATGAATTGCGAAAAAGAAGATGTGTTTTCGAAATTGGGACTTAAGTCGTACAATTTGCCCAGAGGATGCTATCTCTTAAGCTTGGTCACTGATGGTCCCGCCGGTGTGTGTAATCAGATTTGGCTGTCGTCTACATCTGCTTGGTTTAAATCAACCCAAGAAACAGATACTTTTTTCACGTTTGGAATAGTTTTCTTTGAAAACAAAGGGTCTCCCCTTTCATCGAACGGCCTCCAGATAACCAACCACACCCTCACAGTGTCTTCTTTAACTCCAGCTCAGTCTGTCAACGACGGGACACGCCTCCCAGCGACTTCCATCCTACAAGAGCGATGTACTGCGTCTGCTTTCACGACGGAAGACGATGGTGACTTTCTTCAAAGAAACTCCTTTCTTCGAAGTCTCCTTTCGTCGACTGAGATCCAGTTCCCGGGTAATATACGGTTAGAGCCCCTTTTGAAGTATGAAAGCACTCTGTCTCCACGATTTGATATCAGTATTGTTGCCGGCAGTGAGCTGTTGGACGAGAACAACGCTGTGCACAGTAGTTGTCAGGGGGCGCCACTGTCCCCTGATGTATTCTACAATATATTAACATTCCAAGAGGGTGTGAATTTTACGTACTGGGGAACTAGCTTAATTCTTCCGACATTATCTGGAGACGAAAATTATTGTTTGATTTTGGACATGTGCGGGGAAAGAGATATGACTTTCTTCTTTCTATTTCCTGGAGACAAAGTTGATTTGGCCGGTAGATTTGACGTACTTGGTGCAGTAAGCTCGTTTGGATTTCACGGGAGTGTACATGGAATTGGCATGTCAACCACACGACGAATTGAAGTCAAACTGCCCGAGTCGACGGGAGAGTTTTGGAATGGGGATGAAAAGGTCGCATTCAGGTACATCTGTTCCCTTAGAATTTTTAAATTAAACAAGGCTCACCAGTTAGGTGGTTTGATTGTCATTCTACAACCTGAAAGTTGCATAATAATAGATATAACGCGAGTAGTGGAGTATCCTTCCCATGACCAGTTTTGAACGTGATTTTAAGACGTGAAAGTAACTAACTTGCAAATTTGGACTCATGTGTTTGGCTCCTCTAGCCTACGTGAATGTTTGTTGCCGTTCTCAAGCTTCGAATGTGGACTCCTCATTTCCTCATTCATTAATATATTGAAATTGTTTCTCTGGTGAATTCTGGCCATTTCAGAGATAATATTCCTGACAAAAATCGTGGCCCGCAGTGGCCGTTGGTGCTTGGAGCAAATAACGTGGTAGCAAAGCAAGCAGATCACAGTTCCGGTCGATTTAGAAAACCTATTTTAAAACGGGTCTCTCAAAAAACTTCACAATGATATTGAATGACATAGAGATCATAAATTTTCATATCCTCTAGCTAAAACTCGATTCAAGTGGAATTAGGAAATCAGATCCTTTTGGGAGAAACAGCGCTGCGTTGACTTCTGGGATGAATTCTGCTTCTCTGTTGGTCTGTAATTTTGCAACAAGGGTTGTAAAATGCATAATTTCTTAATGTCAGCACTAACACCTCTAGAGTATACATTGCATTCGATATTTGGTGCACGAATAAAACATCAGATGTCTCCATTTTTACATTTCAGCTTGCCCTCAGAAGCTAACGTCTGGATAATGACAGAGATGGAAAATTCGGAATGGCCGCTCCTTCTCTGGGAGGCGCAAGGAGATGCCTTCTTTAAAGTACCCAATCCTGTTGACGTAAGCATATGCAGTTTCTTTTTTAAACTAGGTCCACACTTGTAGTTAAATCTTATACAAACAGTGTTAAGTAGTTGTAAAAAGGATGTCTACTAAACGTACTTGGGGACCGGTTGTTTTTGTATAATTTAAATCTTTTAGTAATGTTCTTCGTTTTTGATGGATGTTCATTTTCGATTGAACCACTAACACTGCAAAATTCAACGCGTATCTTTATCATAGTTGACAGAGTACAGCCGCTCAGAAGAGTACGTCATGGTGATGGCGTCATCTGCGTCAATGGACATTGTCTTGGACACAGCGCTGGGTCCGGTTGTCCTAGGGGGCGCCGTTGCCGAAAGCTCAGTGTACCTGTCCGTAGGAGGTGAGTACACCTTTAAATGCTAGTCTTAATCCCTTTTAATATATAAAACACAGGTTATGACCTGATTGCTCAAGGTACAGTTTAAATAATTTTATTAAGCTTATTTACTGTATATAACTTTTAAAATGATTTTTTTCGAAAATACATGCATGCTTCTCCCGTGTTAAATTTTCTTTAATTTTTATACCCACGCATGCGGCCATATTTTAACTGAATGAACATTTCACATAAATTTCATGAAGGATCTCAACAACGGCGTCTTTGCGGTGACGGTGCCAACCCAGCAGGCTTGTTTTTTACGATGCACCTTAACTTCAACCCACTGAAAGATTTTTGGCAATACAACGTAGCCAGAGCCGCATTAGACGCTGCATTTGCGGTGGTTGATGGTGTTTGTGACGCATTGGATCTAATTGCTGATCTTAGAAATACAACAAACACTGCTACTACAACAACACCAGCTGTTAATACTAGATCCACGACGACCACTAGGCGCACAACCACTCGACGGACTACCACAGCAAAAATAGGAACAACCAAGAAACCTACAACTGCAGAGAAAAGCGCGCGTGCCAAGTGGAGAAAGAGATCAAAGAGAGACAAGAGACCAAAAAACAAAAGCAAAAAGCGATTACTGAAGAATAAAGCCAAAGGCAAAAACATGGACGCTACCGTAAATGAAATAGCCCAGAAGGCACCTAATGCAACTGTATGTAGCATGGCTCTAAGAAGGGCTTTAGCTATACTTCAGAATGTTCCAAACCCACCTTTAGACACGATCTTTGATCTCAATATTGATGTTGATGTTTTCATTCTCTTTGATGACAGTCCTTTGCCAGATGCCGATGCAGGTAATTCCGTTGCTCTGACGAACGACTTGAAAGTAGGTTTATCCTTAATCGTCATCGATGCACAAAACTTAACTCTGCTTCTGAACACTAGTGACGTTGAAAACCGATTCCTTTGGGAAAGCACCCGATCTTTGCTGAAGAATTTTGTTTCACAATCCATCAATCTCTTGTCAACCAGCAATGCGTTTGTTACTCGCTTCAATGGCACAGGTGTCTTCGAGATTGGCAACACAACGAGGCCATCAAAACTCTTGTCATTGAATTACGGAAGACTTTTCAGAGTCTTAAAATGGAAGCCGAGTTAATGCCTGATACATTTGTTCATCAGTTTGTCACCGACACTGATTCCCAACTAGAGCAGTTAGAAAGAGATGCCTGGGAATTTGTTCAGTTCAGTAACACCGAGCTTATCCAATCATTTAAGGGATTTTCTGGCTTTGGAATAAAATTCGTTTCTTCGCTCACGGTATTTGGCATAGATCTGGGAGAGCTTGACATAGAGTATGTGTACTCCTCTGGCTCTTTAGCTCAGTGCAGCAAATACAGCAAAGCATACGCTCTCCTTCAGGGCAAGGATGCCGTGCGAATAATGGCTTTGTTTAAAAGGGATGGAGGCTTATTCAAGTTTTTCAAGAAATTCCGTGGTGCTGGGCTAGAATTAGCTATCGGCATAAATGGAGCACAAACTGATATTATTGTCCATGCAATCCTGTTGTTAGATTTACCCGTTTTTGATAGCACAAGAGTTGACGTTTTTATTTCAAAGAACGGTTTGGACGCCTACGTCGAAACTTTAATTGTATCTTTATTTCGAATTGAGATGCATGTATATCTCAAATTTAACGTCCCAGAAGTTCATTTCCGACTGGGATTGTCAGCATATTTTGTCCCAGGGCCTAAGGGTTTTGACGGAAGCTTATGGGATTCAGTGATAAATATAGTGAAAGAAAAGTCAAGGGAAGCACAGGAGCGAATTTCTGCTGCCCAAGATGCTGTAACAGTAGTGCAGACTTATGTACAAGCAGCGCAGGAAAAGGTGAATTCCGCAAAGGCCGCAGTTCTTGCTGAAAAGACAAAATTTGACAACGCTGTTAAAGTTCTTGAAGATGCGGAACGGAAAGTTGAGGAGGCAAAAATTCCATTCCAAAGAGCTCTTGATGAGTTAGCGAGGGCTCAAAGAAATGTGGATAACTTGTGCCAGATTCGAGATTGCCCTGACATTTGTTTATGGGGCCTTACCTGTAGGATATGCGGTGGCTGGATACCTTTTCCATGCTGTCAGTGGGTCCCATGTGCGATTCGCATCCCTGACATTGGCTGTCTTATAGCAAACGCTTTGTGCCGCATTCTTAGAGCTATAGCTTACGCCGTTCTGGAACTCGCTAAGATAGCCGTTCGCATCCCTATGATAGCCATGGATATAGCTAAAGGAGCGCTCCAAGTGGCTCAGTTAACTGTAAAAGCAGCTAAAGCCATTCTCGATGTTGCAGTTGGATTTTTAGACTTTACGATTTACATTTTGAAAGGAATTGAATGGCTTCTCGAATTTGTAAAAGCAGCTTTGGAGGTAGTTAAATTCATCCTACGTGGAATAACATTGGCGTTTGAGTATTTCATTCGTTATGGAATTGCAAGTATCCTGGACATTAAAAGATGTGGTTTTGGCGTAGAAATCAATGCACGGGACTTCTTCCTCTTGACTGTTTCATGCGAGTTCAATGCTTTTAGATCTGGCTGGACATTGTTCACATTTAGGATTGATTTGAAGAATATTATTCTTAATATACTAGAACTAGCCTTCAAGATTGTAAAAATGATATTTGAAGGTATTGGACGTTTGCTTACTGGAAGAGGAAAACGGTCTGTGGAATATTTAGTTAGAGCGAACATTCTTTGGTCATACAAGCACCTGCGAGGGCGCTTTGAGAGAGATACACATAGTATGTCTAATTCCTCCATCAACAGAACAGTGTTTGATGATATTTTTGATGGAGAAAATGTAACTATTGACTCCCCCGAATCCGACAGCCTTAATGCCAACGACTCAACCGAAGCAAATTACATACAATATCGAATTAATTTGTTCAAAAGAAAATGTGACGAGTTCTCAGTCATTGACACATTTTTGACCACAGTGGCTGAAGCATTATACAACGTGTCATCAGTGGCAAAAGATTCCATTGATAATGCCTCTACAGTGGTGGATGATTTGACTAGCATGACAAAGGTGGAAAACATTAGCCTTAACGATTCTGGGTTTAACAAAACCGATGCCTACGTCAACTATAACTTGACTGAAAATGACCTGGAAGATGTGATTGCAAATTCCAACGTGACCTCTGATCCGGTGGTAGGTGCGTACGTGGGCATGATGGATAACGTTGTAAATGCAACGAAGGAGGAAACCCAGAAGGCAAAAAGCTTCCCAATCGGCACCGCATGGAGACAAACAATGGAGAATTACACACGGGACACACAAGACCCGAACAAGTGTTCCAGTTTTGAGGATTGCTTACTTATGTATTTCTATGATTTCTACCGTCTTTACTTAAACGTCTCCATTGCCCAGGCAGACACCATGCGGCAGCTGATACCGCAAATTGAAGACAGTTTTCTTGGAATTGTCAGAAACGATACGCTGACAACAGAGGATGCCGTTGCTCTGAGTGGCGAGCTGTTGTCTGTACTGCTTCAGAGTAGAGAAACCAAAGTTTTCTGTGCCACAGCACCCAATATTACTGTCGAGGTCTACGACATCGCCGTTCTGGTAGGTCAGAATGTGACCTTGACCTGTAACGCAACAGGCGAACCTGAACCTTACTTCGAATGGCAGAAAGACGGAGAACCGATTTACGGAAACAGCAGCTTAAACGTAAACATTGACGGAAATGTTTTAGAAATCCCAGTTGCGGAACAAATGCATGATGGCTATTATGCATGCGTTGCAGTGAATCACGTAGTTAGCGTTGCTTCGAGGGGTGTTCTCAAAGTTGAAGAACCGCCGAGCGAGGTGATGCCTCCCCTTAATGATCTGGTTGTACTTGAGAGGTACGAACCATCAGCCAACATCACGTGCAACGTGACTGGAGATCCATTTCCAACTATCACGTGGACGTTTGAGACCAATTTGAGCAGCACAAATAATACCACAGTTCCCGTCTTTCTTAACAGCAGTGACCCTATTCTGAAAATCCCAAAACCCAGGCTTGCTGACGCTGGTTTTTACCAATGCAGTGCAGAAAACAAACATGGTTTACACAAGATGAACCACACCCAAATGATAGTTAGGCCTGTGCGAGTGGCGTTGCCAAGGGCACAAATAACCATGGCTGTGAGACGAATAGCAGCAGCGGATACGGAGACCCCTGCCACCCTATTGCAGAACATGTCATTAGATGGACTAGACTTCAAGGAAACCATAGAAATGACGGTGATGCATTTACTTAATGGCAACGTCACCATTTCGAACATAACACATCTTGAAAATGATGGAACCCAATTCACCATTTTGGCAAATGAAATCGCCAATTCCACAGATCACAACAACTCGTACGAACAATTGAACCAACTGTATCGTGGGCTGCGGCAGTCAGTCATGAGAAGTGTTCGTGTGCTTTATAATTACGGGTACCAGGGAACTTATATCTTCACCCATGGTGCCCACCATGTTAGTATTGACCACAACCAACTGCGAGCGTCCTTTGATTCCCCACTTTGCCCGCCCGGTTATGAACACAGCATGGAGTTTGAATATTTGTGTGGTAAGTATGCCTGGTGCAAGGAGCAAAATCATAAAAGCCCATGTCCCTTTGCTTGTTGAAATGTGGTACTTTACTGAAACACTATATAAAAGGTGAAATAAGCGCACACAGGCGCTATCTGATTGTGATAAATGACCTGTCATCAATACGATAATCAATTACAGAAAAAAAGTTTTATCTAATTCCATTCAAAACTGAATTAATTTAAAAAAATATTTAAAAATGGAAGATGTTACCTTTCCTTGTGCCGCCAACTAAGACTTCCTAGTACATATCTCTAACTCACTGCATGTAGTTTGAATTTGACCTTGTAACTGTTATGTCATAAAAGTCAACTCTCATAAATGTGTTCATTTATGATTTCAGCCGCTTGCATGCCGGGGACATATTCTGATGAGACATCTCGCACCTGCAAACCTTGTCAGTCCGCATTTGGTGACAAGAGTATGGGAGCAGTCCGCTGCACAGGTAGCGAAATTTAAACTCCGTTTTCTTCACGATGTATAAATTTATTGCAGAACGAAAATGGGTGTATAGTATGTCTATCATAATATCTTTATATGCCTAGCGTGCACGGTAGATTTTAAGTTTTAGAATATTATCATTCTTAGACCTAAACTTTTTTTTCAAATTAGAGCTCTTCGTATTTTTTATCTATCAGTAATCAGGCTGATTAGAGTCATCTCTTTATAAATGTCATTCCAAAACTCTTATTGTTTTTCTAGGCACGATAGAAATTGATGAACCTCAGGTAGGAACACAAAATTTTCGTCATAGATGTATTGTAATGCATTCGGCAATTAGATATAAGGTTGTGACACACTTTTTAATCCGTATTTTGGCAATTTGAATCGTGACGCCTCAGAAAGGCGAAGATCTTAATTTTGGTTAAGGCGTTGCACCATTTGTTGCAGTAGTTGTGTCCACGCTGGGCTGTCACTTTGGCCGTTAGATTCACTAACAGATGAAAGGGAACGCCCAATGTGTGTCTGGCAGTTCGTCCCTTTTAAAATTGAAATTGTATCGTAAGTTAGTGTGACATTGAGCAACAGTGAGACGGCTACGCCACTGTGCGGGTATAAAACCGTGCGCGGTATTTCCTGTAAGCTAAGCCGTGCCTCAAAATTAAAAAAAAAAGAAATGAAAATTTAATGAAATATTGGATATTCATGTATAGATGGCACGATTTTGACGTGTATGTCCCATAGAATTACTCAGGGTAGTGACTTATTATGCGCTAGTCTGGTTGGTTTTGACACTGACAGAGAAGGCCTACTCGATTTACAGTTGTGTAGTACGTGTGAGTCGTTTTTTGCGATAAATAAATATATATATTAAACGCATTTTTTAAACTTAAAAGTTTTAGTTGGTATTTATAGATACCTATTTAGCTCAAATATTTTTTCTTAAACAAGGTTAACACGATGGTTACGGAGAATCTCACTCGTTTTTGCATATTCGTTTCTCAGAATAGCTTTTAGACCATATAAACAATAACTGACTTTTACTAAATGAAATCTGGGAGTTATTTTTTCTTTTTTTCTTTTTTCAGAGACTTACCTGGATTATTCCTGTTATCGTTTCAACTGTTCTTACAGCGGTGATATTGGTAGCACTATTTGTTGGATTAAAAATAATGAAGAAGAAACTCGTTGCCAGGTAAGGACGGGCGTTAATGATCAGTAAAAGAAAAGTCTTTCACTTAAATTACTGAGCAAAGTTGAAAGTTTACAGTTTACAGTCACCACTGGTCACAAGCACACGTAGGCCTACTTGTTGCAATGGTGAAAAAAAAATGCTTGTAATGTGGGTGGAAATGATCAATGCATTTTTGTGGTTAAATTAGTGATTTTGACGGCCGGATGTTATTTATTTTGTCAGTTGAATTGGAGATGCAATAAATACACAATTAAGATTTTAGAGCGGAGCACCGCGTATTCGTTTCATTGAAGCTTTTGCTCAAAATATGCAACAAAGAGGATGCTTTACGTTGCCAATAACTTATCGTATATAATGCTTTACGTTGAAGTTCAGAAAATGCAAAGTCAAAGAAACCATCAAAGCTGCTAAATATCCAAATCGCATATTTCCTTCTTGTTTCAGACAAAGCGTCACTCCAATGACGAGCGAAGAAAACTTAAGGTGGGCCAATAGCTCCCATTTAGACATGGAACGGTTCAGAGGCCCAGAGGCATGGTCAGACGGCAGCAACGAGTGTTCACCAGTGCAAGCAAAACGTGAGATAGGTGGTTCAGCAGTAGAGCTGCTCGAAATAGAGCAGACTGAAACCACCACGAGTGACAACCCACAGAAGAGACTGCCACCCTTGATCGGGAATCCTGTTCCTCCTCTTGTATTTTCTTTTCCTACCCACGGTAATGCCTCTCGCCCCTTGTTGAAACCGCTTAAACTTTCTGAGATCAGAAACCCCCATGAAAATGGGTACTAATTTGTTACTTCATTAAAAATGACTAATCTTTGTGTCATATCGAAAAGGACGTATTTGTGTGTTAAAATGAAGGGTTGCTTAAAAATGTACATATCATATGCTTTTTGTATCAAACATTGTAAAATTACACTCTGATCTAACTGAGCTTTGAGTTATTATATTTTAATGTAATCGTATTTGAAATTTGGAAGGCCAATGACTTAACAGTGTGGAAGGTATAACTGATATTCATTTTTACAGGACGGAAAACATAGTGGCATACTTATTCATCTACAAATTGATACGGTAATGACTCGATTTTTTCAAAGGGGAAATTGTAAAATTAAAGATTCTGTAATTTTTCAAAGTCATAAATTCTTGAAATCAGATCGTTCCTTTTCAGCTGTAGCAACATGACTAAAAAGCATGCAACCTGATAGTTCCATTCTATACAGGATATGAGTATATGCACAACAAATGCTACACAGAAATGTGTTTTTAATGAATCTTTTATTATGCATCTCAAAAACTGGTAAATTTTCCCCATTAAAAAGATCCGAGTCATAACCGTATGTATACTGGGGCGCAGGGTTTGTAGTGGTAATATGGTTGAGGCGTTGGGTTGCATGCTGTATAAAGGGCAGAGAGGTACAAATTTCTTTGTACTGCTTTATTCAAAATATCTGCCTCAGAAGCTCCAAAGGAGACAAAATGGTGAAAAGATGCTACCTGTGCTCTTTCTTATACCCTGGTCAGTTCGTGAAATGATGTATAATTTCAAAGTTCTGTGCATAAGTGCTTTTGCTTTTGATTCGTGTGCTTGGTTGATTTTTGAATAATAAAGTTGATGTGTTTGACTGACGATTTTTACCTGAACAAATCTTATATTAGAAATAAATTTTAATAAAAGTCAAAATGTTGTCTATTTATTATGATATAAGAAAATGTTTTCATTGAATTTCGACATAAGTATATAACCATCCACGCACACCTTCCTAAGCCAAAAGGAAAATACATTTAAAAAATAATAATGGATAATTTAAGTTAGTTACAATATGCCAAATATACATGTATATACGGAAAATATGCTATTATCTGTAAATGATACCGCAAGGTATAACCTTTTAACAGAGGTTTGCCAGAATATCAAATATTATGATGATAAATAAAAACAAAGCGGGAAAATAAAATACAATGCCATAAACTAGAGACCAGTATTAAATAAAACAATACAATTACAAAGGGTTGCTTCCAGTAACATTTGACAAAATGAGCAGAAAATTAGTAACCCTTTTTAACTTCAATTAATCTGCTCTGTGCGCACGGGTTCTGTGTGTCCTGGCTTGGCAAAATGAAATTGTTCCTGGGGTATACCCTCTGTTGTATCAGTTCAAAAGTTCACTTGTGGTTTTGGCGTATGTTTGTAACAGGCGAGCTACACTGTACATCATTCAAAAGTTGACCAAATAATTGATAAATGAAGTGACAGTAAAACTAAAAGTGGGATGATATTGTCTTTAAAGCCATTTTAGTTTGACATACAGTGTAGGCTTTACCCTACCGTAAAGCCTATTAGGATACATGACCCAGATCGATTGACTCCAATGATTTCCATACTGTTACATTAATGTATTTCTGAGACATTATTAAGAGACCATCACTAATATCAATGTAAAAGAACCGATAATATCCATGCCTCGCATTATGTGCCTCTGATTGGGTGAAGGACAATCAGCGCTTGACTTGCATGATATCTAATTCAAATCCTGTTTCTGCCAATTACATTATTTTTACTACTAGTACATGCATACACAGCAAATTCTGATTTACCCTTTATACAAAAATATATTTAGCCTATATAGCATTTCCACGTTCTGTTACATCCATATTTCCACTAATCTTGTTTAAATAAAAAAAATCGCCACATTAAAGTCTTGAAAAAATTATGAAGTGTCCCAAATTTAAATAGTCTTCATTGTACATGCCCAGTTGTTACTTTGAGAAATGTTTGGAAGCACCGCCTTCTTATAATCCACCTCTCCACGCGCAGATGGTGTTACAACGATTAAGCCTGGTTAACAGTTATTATCTTCCGTTATTTTGAAGCAAATGGCTCCGCTGTGACTATATTTGACGTAGCCTATTTATTTTGATGAAGCCAAGAGGAGATTGAAAACAATCAGAGCGTTACTAAGTGGTTAGTTTATATCCTGTTTGAGCAAATCAAAGTGACTATGCTTAAAGCTTGGGTTCATTATAGTCAAGATAAATATACAGGGGTACATGTTAAAGGCACTTTGCAGTCGGATACAGATCCCATCCAGCCACTGATATGAAATATTCAACAACTGTAATTTTTGTTGTTTTGGCAACATTTAGCATAAGCCAATTGGCGACAGATGCCCAGGTAAGATAAGCCAATGGAGAACTCGCTTAGTGTCATCACATTAAACATCTTCCAGCTTTAATATTTCTAATGTTTTTATTTCTTCGGGTACAGTCAGTGTAATAAATTCAGAGGGCATTTAATCGTAAAGGTGAAGAAAGACTAGATAGCATTGCGGGAAATAGACTGTGAAGTGGATTTTGATAATTTATTTCGATACTTTTCCTAAAGGCCAACTGCGATCTCCCCGAAACTCTGAAATCTGACATAGTCTCGATATTCTCACCACATGTAACATGTCCTGTTTGTTTTAAAGATATTAAAATTCTCAGAAGATGAAAAAGTTCACTAATTTGGATTCCACCATATGAAAATTCGATATTTCACTTCACAAGTCATAATTTTGAAAACATTTTACAGATTTTTCTGTGTATTATAAAGTCTTTATCCTGTGTTACGTTTACATGAAGATACATGAAAATATTTCAAGCTTATTTTACGAAAATGAATATATATAGTCTCATCAGAAGCTTTCATTGTAGCAATGTTATCAAAATGGAAAGGATGGAAAAGACGGAACTGATGGAAGAGATGGCAGAGATGGCAGAGACGGACTTTGGGGTGAAACTGGACCACCAGGACCAAAGGGGGAAGCTGGTGAGTCTCGGATTCACATCAGTTCTTTTTCACACAGCGTGGGTATTTTTAATTAGGGCTTCATTACATGTACATGTACATGCACAATGCGTAGTTCTGTTGTAAATATTCTAAAAATTCTATATACTTTAGTGACAATAACATATACCTTATTGAGGGCCTTTTTGGGTAATTTATAGAGAGCTTTAACTTGAGGTGGATTTTAAAGCAGTATATTAGCCTGCCAAGATGAATTGAACCCGGATTCTTTGTGAATTGATGAGAATGAAAGAAGACGAGTGTTGGGGCATCGGGGAGTTTAAGTGAAAAAAGACAATTGCATAGGTAATATCAAATCATCCCGAAGTCTCATTTTAATATATCATAATCTATCCAAATTTATTCCAGGAACCCCTTGTTCCCCTAGAAACGTGAAACAGTTCACATGGACAGATATCAACGACGATAGGGATGTCGGTTTAATTAAGGTAACAGACATATTGTGAACAATTTAATTTCAATTTAGAATTATGTGCGTACGATGTATGATCTTGCATACTTGTACTGTATCTGTGTATTGTGAAAAATGTTACTACCCCCCCCCCCCCCGAAATAAAAATTAAAATGGACAATACAGGGGGAAATTCCTGCCATGCCACACAGAGGATTAATAATATCCTATTACATCCGGGATTTTTTCACCAAATCTAATTTTTGTCCTCTCCAAGAATAATAGCTCTACCCGCCTCTGTACTTGGATTCAACGTCTATATGTACTGTTTCTAATGAAATAATGTGGTACTTTGTGACTGACCAGTCATTTAGACAGCCATAGGGCATGTCTCCGCTGATGTCTTCCTGTATAATTCTAAAGGAAATATCGACGACAGGTACTTTTGTTCGAGGGGATTTTCTTAATTATCTTGAGGGGTTGGATTGGGGAAGATCAGTAGGTTTGTGGGGTAGTTAGACATAAAAATATGACTTGGTTTAAATGAGTAAACTATACCTTTACCCCAGTCTTAAAACTTCCACATAGTTTTCATGTTCTGCCATATCAGGAAATAGCCAAATAATTGGCAAAATTAAAATTGGCTTATTTCAGGATATGATATCTGCCAAATCAGTCACACACAGTAAATAACTAAATAATGAGAAATTAATAAGCCTTTTATTTCAGGATGCGAGGTATGTCACTGAAGTCGGACCAGAAAATAATAATAATAATAATAATAATAAGCCCAGAAAAAATTAAAAAGTTGCTTAACGAGTAACGACTCTTTGTCGTTTTTTTAAATGAATAATAAAAATTAATGTTACGTTTGCATTTAATTTCAGGACGTGTGGTTTACCAAAACAACGGGAACAACCATGCTCCGTGTCGGTTTCCATGGTAATGTCCGTATCATGGCAACTGCTGGAAAAAATGAAGCCTGTCGCAGATATTGGTTTACTTTCAACGGCACTGAATGTGACAGCCCAACGTTTATAGATGGACAGTTTTATTCCAGCCATACATATAATGTTCACCAGCATTCCACCAGTAAGTTAGAATGCAATGTACTGTACCATATATTATGAAAGTGCGGCACATATACTGTATAGATAAAAGTAATAATGTTTAATTCTTTTTGGCAATACTTTTTGAAAAAGAGACTGCACTTTGCATGCTCTTCAGGCGCGTACAGTTGAAGGAAGCACATGACTGCTCGCACTCGCGTGTATATGGGGGGGGGGGGGGGTTAACCATGTATAAAAATGTAGCGGGGGGGGGGGGGGGTAGGCCTATCCCTTAGCACCCTGAAAACCTAACTCTGCTTTCTGTGTTAAAGACTCGTGGATGATGACAAAGGTGGTGGGTTGAGTAAGCACCCATTACTTGTAGGCCTACGATTATACCATATGTTGATGCTTTAATGAAAAAAAAATAAATAAATGGATAAAAATGAAGAGTAAAAGTAGCCTAGATAGATCGTGTGTGCATTAGTATTCAATTGACAATAATTGCACAAGGAATAATGAGAATATGAAGTTTTACATGTTTTAACATTGCAAATTCTTGATTGCTCCCTTTTATCTTTAACATTTACGTGTATCTCCCTTTGCAACCTTTCAGTTGAAGGAATCTGTGAGAACCTGGCAGCCGGAGAAGTGGTGATTGGTTTTCATGTTGGGCAATGCAGAAACCGTGCTTCTGAAACAGCCAATGCATACACAGGATGGGCCAGTGCTACCAGAATTATCGTGGAAGAAATCTAAAAATTGCCAAAAATGCGTGTTTTTTTCATTATTTTTATGCTAATTTTTTCTACTGAATTACATGTACCGGGTATGATCATGTAGGCATATGCCCCTTTACAGCGCTAGATAACAAGCTTTTATAGCAGGCCTGTGCCTCGGGAATTTCAAGGGACTACCAGTATGCGATATTGGGCAACTTTTACTACATTCAGTAACTTTATTTCACCAATAAAAATTCCTCTCTGACATGGTTTTATTTTGTTTTAAACAAACACAAAGAATATCACATTGTTATTAGAAGTAATATTCAAACACGTTAACATGGGCGAATGACTTCGAATATCATGCCAGTAAAATTGTCCGTTCCAATTAAATTGTTTTTCATGTAGGAAGGCCTAGTGTACTAATTATATAATACAAGAAATTGATATTTCTTTAACTATTAAAGTGCCTGAGTGGGCGTATTGTGCAATTATTAATAGGCCTCCATCATTTCCTATTTTTAGTACGTTTAACTACCCCCCCTTAGTTAGTATTTAGATTTAGTTCTTCGTGGTGATTTTTTTTACATAGGCCTACTCGCAGGCCCCTCTTCGTTGGACGATTATATGTTATTCATTTTAAAAATACTTCATCGCTCTTGGTCGTATCTATTTTCGCTAAATGGTACACTGTAGTCCAATGTGGACCTTAAATGTCGTTTTACGACATGTAGGCCTACACATGTATACATGTAGTCCATGAGCCAAAGGCCAAAAAATCCAATTTGGCTGCACCNCCGTGATCATAAGATAGCGCGAATAGAACATAGATTTTTAGAAAATAGACATTCCATGTGAACGAAGCCTTAGTGTTATCACATTACACATCTTCCAGCTTTAATATTACTAATGTTTTTATTTCTTCAACTACAGTCAGTGTAATAAATTCAGAAGGCAATTAATCGTTAAGGTGAAGAAAGACTAGACAGCATTGCGGGAAATAGACTGTGAAGTGGATTTTGATAATTTATTTCGATACTTTTCCTAAAGGCCAACTGCGATCTCCCCGAAACTCTGAAATCTGACATAGTCTCGATATTCTCACCACATGTAACATGTCCTGTTTGCTTTAAAGATATTAAAATTCTCAGAAGATGAAAAAGTTCACTAATTTGGATTCCACCATATGAAAATTCGATATTTCACTTCACAAGTCATAATTTTGAAAACATTTTACAGATTTTTCTGTGAATTATAAAGTCTTTATCCTGTGTTACGTTTACATGAAGATACATGATAATATTTCAAGCTTATTTTACAGAAAATGAATATAGTCTCATCAGAAGCTTTCATTGTAGCAATGTTATCAAAATGGAAAGGATGGAAAAGACGGAACTGATGGAAGAGATGGCAGAGATGGCAGAGACGGACTTCGGGGTGAAACTGGACCACCAGGACCAAAGGGGGAAGCTGGTGAGTCTCGGATTCACATCAGTTCTTTTTCACACAGCGTGGGTATTTTTAATTAGGGCTTCATTACATGTATATGCACAATGCGTAGTTCTGTTGTAAATATTCTAAATATTCTATATACTTTAGTGACAATGACATATACCTTATTGAGGGCCTTTTTGGGTAATTTATAGAGAGTCTTAACTTGAGGTGGATTTTAAAGCAGTATATTAGCCTGCCAAGATGAATTGAACCCGGATTCTTTGTGAATTGATGAGAATGAAAGAAGACGAGTGTTGGGACATCGGGGAGTTTAAGTGAAAAAAGAAAATTGCATAGGTAATATCAAATCATCCCGAAGTCTCATTTTAATATATCCTAATCTATTCAAATTTATTCCAGGAACCCCTTGTTCCCCTAGAAACGTGAAACAGTTTACATGGACAGATATCAACGACGATAGGGATGTCGGTTTAATCAAGGTAACAGGCATATTGTGAACCCGCATTTCAATTTAGAATTACGTGCGTATGATCTTTTATAATAGTACTGTTTCTGTGTATTGTGAAAAATGTTACTACCCCCCCCCCCCCCCCCCCCCCCCAATAAGAAAAAAATTAGAATGGACAACACAGGGGAAAATTCCTGCCATGCCACACAGATGATTAATAATATCCTATTGCATCCGGGATTTTCTCACCAAATCTAATTTTTGTCCTCTTCAAGAATAATTGCTCTACCCGTCTCTGTACTTGGATTCAACGTTTATATATACTGTTTCTAATGAAATAATGTGGTACTTTGTGACTGACCAGTCATTTAGACAGCCGTAGGGCATGTCTCCGCTGATGTCTTCCTGTGTAATTCTAAAGGAAATATCGACGACAGGTACTTTTGTTCGAGGGGATTTCCTTAATTATCTTGAGGGGTTGGATTGGGGAAGATCAGTAGGTTTTTGGGGTAGTTAGACATAAAAATATGACTTGGTTTAAATGAGTAAGCTATACCTTTACCCCAGTCTTAAAACTTCCACATAGTTTTCATGTTCTGTCATATCAGGAAATAGCCAAATAATCGGCAAAATTAAAATTGGCTTATTTCAGGATATGATATATCTGCCAAATCAGTCACACACAGTAAATAACCAAATAATGAGAAATTAATAAGCCTTTTATTTCAGGATGCGAGGTATGTCACTGAAGTCGGACCAGATAATAATAATAATAATAATAATAATAATAATAATAAGCCCAGAAAAAATTAAAAAGTTGCTTAACGAGTAACGACTCTTTGTAAACAGGTCGTTTTTTTAATGAATAATAAATGTTACGTTTGCATTTAATTTCAGGACGTGTGGTTTACCAAAACAACGGGAACAACCATGCTCCGTGTCGGTTTCCATGGTAATGTCCGTATCATGGCAACTGCTGGAAAAAATGAAGCCTGTCGCAGATATTGGTTTACTTTCAACGGCACTGAATGTGACAGCCCAACGTTTATAGATGGACAGTTTTATTCCAGCCATACATATAATGTTCACCAGCATTCCACCAGTAAGTTAATTAGAATGCAATGTACTGTACCATTATGAAAGTGCGGCACATATACTGTATAGATAAAAGTAATAATGTTTAATTCTTTTTGGCAATACTTTTTGAAAAAGAGACCGCACTTTGCATGCTCTTCAGGCGCGTACAGTTGAAGGAAGCACATGACTGCTCGCACTCGCGTGTATATAGGTGGGGGTGGGGGTGGGGGGGAGTTAACCATGTATAAAAATGTAGCGACGGGGGGAGGCCTATCCCTTAGCACCCTGAAAACCTCACTGCTTTCTGTGTTAAAGACTCGTGGATGATGACAAAGGTGGTGGGTTGAGTGAGCACCCGTTACTTGTTGGCCTACGATTATGCCATATGTTGATGCTTTAATAAACAAAGAATAAATAAATGGATAAAAATGAAGAGTAAAAGTACATAGATCCTGTATGCATTAGTATTCAATTGACAATAATTGGACAGGGAATAATGAGAATATGAAGTTTTACATGTTTTAACATTGCAAATTCTTGAATGCTCCCTCTTATCTATAACATTTACGTGTATCTCCCTTTGCAACCTTTCAGTTGAAGGAATCTGTGAGAACCTGGCAGCCGGAGAAGTGGTGATTGGTTTTCATGTTGGGCAATGCAGAAACCGTGCTTCTGAAACGGCCAATGCATATACAGGATGGGCCAGTGCTACCAGAATTATTGTGGAAGAGTTCTAAAAATTGCCGAAAACGCGTGTTTTTTCATTATTTTTATGCTAATTTTATCTACTGAATTACATGTATGATCATGTAGGCATATGCCCCTTTACAGCGCTAGATAACAAGCTTTTATAGCAGGCCTGTGCCTCGGGAATTCAAGGGACTACCAGTATGCGATATTGGGCAACTTTTACTTCATTCAGTAACTTTATTTCACCAATAAAAAAATCCTCTCTGACATGGTTTTATTTTGTTTTAAACAAACACAAAGAATATCACATCGTTAATAGAAGTAATATTCAAACACGTTAACATGGGCGAATGACTTCGAATATCATGCCAGTAAAATTGTCCGTTCCAGTTAAATTGTTTTTCATGTAGGAAGGCCTAGTGTACTAATTATATAATACAAGAAATTGATATTTCTTTAACTATTAAAGTGCCTGAGTGGGCGTATTGTGCAATTATTAATAGGCCTCCATTATTTCCTATTTTTAGTACGTTTAACTACCCCCCCCCCCCCTTAGTATTTAGATTTAGTTCTTCGACATCGTGGTGATTTTTTTACACCTCTTCGTTGGACGATTATATGTTATTCATTTTAAAAATACTTCATCGCTCTTGGTCGTATCTATTTTCGCTAAATGGCACACTGTAGTCCAATGTGGACCTTAAATGTCGTTTTACGACATGTATACATGTCGTTTCATTACTGATTAGTCACTGGTTTGCATGCGGTAGACTGGGATAAGGATTGTCTTGTTATCAAATCGAGGTTCTAAAATGGCGACAGTAGATCGTGCCGAAATTCAGGAAAAAATAAAAGTTCAGGGGGAAGTTGTCAGAAAATTGAAGGCGGACAAGGCAGATAAAGAACAGGTTTGTATATACAAACAGTGCTCTATTACCTCACCATTATATAAGAAAAACTGAGTTGTTTTTCTCTCAAACTGGGAGGCGAATTTATGCCGGTCAGCTGTCTCGATTTGTTCAACACGTGTTGCAAAGTGGAGAAACACAGAACTTTACTTCAGCAAACACAAAGGTCGATCTGTATCAGTTTACTTTGACACGTATTTTACGTGCTAAATTTAGGTAGTAATGTTGACAACTAGTCGGGTAATGACCTCGTGTTTAGTAGATTTGCCTGCACTACAGACAATATCAAAGTCTTACAATAACGGAGTTAACACATGAATGATGCAATCGCATTTGACCATTTGTGTTACCTTCACATCTGTGATGGACGTACCATGACAGTGATGGGTATATGAATTATGTGAAAAATCTAGTTACGTGCTAGTAGCTAAGTTAATTTCAGAAAGAAATATATGTCAATGACATCGATAATATTGTGATTAGTTTTACATTGCTTAACATGTAAAGCAAAGTTACATGATTTAGCACTCAAGTCTTCATTTTCAACTCGACTGAGTTAGGAGGCGGTCATTTATTAATTCATTTATTATGCTTACCTTTGGCTTTCAACAGTGTGGGAATTGAAGAGGTAAGAGGTAATCAAAAAACTTGAGTGCCCTGCATCATGGTAATCGCTAGCTGACCATCATTTTATAGTAATGAAAACTCATGTCTTTCATGTATTTGCACATATATTAACTTACATATCAGAAATAGTAAAAAGGAATGCAGGGGCGGGTCCAGAGATATTTTCTGACAGTCTAACTCTTCCAAATTATCTTTATTGATCCATCCTCCATATTTGACCCTCTTCCGACACAAAACATTAGATAGCCGTCAATGTAAACTTGAAAATCTTACCGTCTTCCAAAAGACCCAGAAGACGCCCTAAATCTTCCCTTAGGAACGCGAGCTAGCTAACACTTTAAACATTGTTATAAGGGGCTGGGGGAAATTTGTGAAATTAATTTAATGCAAAGTGCATGATACACCTGCTGATAGTAACAAGGAAACAAGAAAGAACAGTGATGAAAAACAAACAAAAAAAAAAATTAGTTTTTATTTATTTCTATTGATTTATTTTTATTTGTAGTACTGGTTCATTTTAATTGATATCATATTAAAATAATGAAACAGTTGGATCCATTTTGGTAATTGATGTATACATAAAAAAATTCTTAGTTAAACTAAAATGATAAGAAAAACTGTTATTGCATGAAACTTACCATTATTTCATCATACTTTCTTTCTCTTTCCTTTTTGCTCTGAGCCCTGTAATTATTGACTTTTTGTCATTTCCTATGAGCTAGGTTGCTTTCTTCACATTTTCCACATAATGGTCTGTCAAATAAGTCTCACCTGTATCTATACAGCAAGTGAGACCAGAACCCAACCTTGTAGTTCAGATAAGGTAAAAATGAATAAAATTTAATTAAACTGACCACAAGAGTGGTAGACCTTGATGGTTGCTTAAGACAGTCTGGGGTTAGACAACATGATAAAAACTGATAAGAAAGTCAAGGTTGGCAAGCCTTGAGGCTTAAATTAGCCAGCACTTCACAGATCTTGCCAACCCCACGAAGGACTTTAGGTCAAAAAGGCAATGTCTAATTTAGACATAGTGAAGAAGTAGCTTCATTTTTCTCCTCTTTGCTGTACAAGAGGAAGGGCTATCACAATCAGTGTGCACTTATTCCCAAACGTTTAAGTACTATTTCCATGAGGATGTCAAAATCGGAATTTAGAAATTAATCCCATTTTACCATGAACTTATGACATATCTGCTTGGTAATCGGAAAGATCATGTGCTGTACTACCAGCAGTTCACTGACTTGACATGCACTGTGCATGTGCAAGTATAAAAAGATTTTGGAAGTGTACGAGCATATCAGGCTGACATATTACAGTCAATAGATTGCTGTGTAATAAGATACTTGAGAGTGTGTTGCAGCTTGTTATACTTTGTGGACTGGTTAGAATATACTTCTAAGAGGTAGCCTATCGTGGCAAGTAAAATCTGTGCTGGGAGGAGAACTGGACATCTAAGGTTATTCCTCTGCTGTGGTGGAAGTGAGCGTTGGAGATCTACCGGAAAATTACAGTTGCTGTCACTTCAAGTGGAACTATACACATTGTTTATGCCCTAAGTGGAAAGGCATGTGTGCATGCAAGTCAAACTATCAAATTTGCACTGGAAGCACACTTGCGTGCTGTGCTCATACACAGAAAGAGGACAGCTATGTCGCTTGTCTGTGGAACTTGACACCCATTTTTAAAACAGCAATAACATTGTCACAGTGAATTGTTTGAAAAGTGGCATTATAATTGGCTTAACTTCATGAAGATAACATTTTGCTGTCACTTCTGTGTGAAAGAGCCTGGGAAGTAACCCGGAAAACTGAGGGAGCTGTTGTTTTTATGCTGTAATATATCTGATTATTTAAACTAGTGGTCATTTGGTCATTGTCACTGTAGGTAGAAATAAACATCTACCAAGCTGGCTACTGGTTACTGGCATAGCCACAGTTATGCAAGTTGCCATTGATAAGCAATGCGTTAACTATAGAAAACAGGTGATTATTTCATGGTAAACATATTTTATTTGGAAGAGAACAGTGATGCATGCAGTATGTATGGAAAACCTATCATACCTCCAGAGATGCAAAAGTACAGAGAGGTGCGAGTTATAGGAGAACATATCAAGGAGTTGAAAACCCATAAGCCATTGCACTATAAATCTCAGGTGAAGTTGAGGTTTAAAATATATTTTTTTCTAATAATGAAGACTCCTCTTGTCCAGGTTGTCCCGTTTAACGAAGCTTTGCAGCTTGATTAATTCCTGGGTCTATGTGGTTCTCAAATAAAATGAAAATTTTCTGGGTATAGCACCAGCTGTTTAATTTTTATTTATTTATTTATTTATTTATTTATTTATTTGTTTGTTTTTGGCTAAAGTAGTGCACAGAATTGTCTGTCAGGCCATTGCTTAACGTGCACCTTGTTTTTCAGATGGTTTTGATGAAAAAGGTTCAGTTATGGACATGAATGTGCATATCGAGGCAGCTGGCAAAATGATTTTATCAAAAATTTAACAGCTATTATAAAACCATAGACATTTTAGTCAATGATTTACCTAGCAGTCACAACAGGTCAAAATTTTATCAAAGCGACACCTCACAGGGTTGTTATAGTCCAAAATATTTATATTTTAAATATGATAGAAATGTTAAATGTCACATTGCATGCTTGGCATTGTGCTTGTAGCATTTAACATACCAATGCCATCTTAGAAATCATTAGAGTTGAAAATGTGCATTAAGGCTGTGATGGAAAAATGATTAAAATCAATAGGGTGATTGAAGGATATTACTAATAAACTGTTTATCACCTGAGAAAAATGTGGAAATATTAAATTCAAAGATTGCCTTGGACTATAATTGGCTAAGTTCTGCAGTCAGAGTGAATTTTGGTGTCATGGAAACCAGCCATTTTTTTGCATCCACAGATAGATGCGAGTTGCTGACATAGAGGCTTTCTCTCATCTTTCCATGTGCGTCACCTATCCTTTCCTCCATACCTCTGTGGATTGACATGGCTTCTGGAATCAAATGTCGTCGTTTCATTCACTCCTTGTTGCGCACTTGTAAACGTGGTCACGTACCTGTGCTACAACGTCATTGTCACCGTGGAATGACAATTGAACAGGTAAGTGATATGCTGTACTAGGTGATAGTTTCTTTTCTCCTGGAATATGATTATAGTTTGGTATATCCAGGTTGCAATTGTGACTTGGCATCAAATCATTGCATGTAATCAATACTAGATATTTGGAAGATAATGGGTTTTCTTTATTCAAAGCAAACTTTTATCTCATAGCAAAATTTATGTTGTACCACAGTATTGTTACCCTCTCTTATTTTTTCATTTCACTCTTAACTATCCATCTAAATTGAAGAAATGTCTCTTTTTAAGCATTGATTAAAACAGACACTTGCTGAATTTATTTACATGCCTTCGATAAAAATGGATTTGATCAGGTATTTTGTAGTCCACATTGAGCATTAATTATTCATTGTTGTTTTGGGCAGTGTGTTAATCATGTGTTGTGTGACAGAAGTGTTTTTTTTTCCTTGCCTCTCCTGTGAGAATAAACTTTCCTTGTCATATCTTTGCATTATTTCAGATTGAGCAAGAAGTGGCCAAACTTTTAGAGTTGAAAGCACAGATTGGAGACGATGGAGCAAAGAAATTTGTACTTAAAACTCCCAAGGTGAGAGGAAAGGGGATGAGATTTGGCTGTTCATTAGTTATGCTTTTTTGCATATTCCATACTCAGTTTTTCTCTCAAAACTATGACACTAATTCTTGGGAGCACTGTGTTGACACACCACACACCTAACTTACCCATTCCTTTTGGTCATGTGTCGTTGCCTGAGTGTAGTAAAAGCTCATGTCTGTCCACTATTTAAGGCATACCATTTATATTTTAAAAACTCCCAACGAGGAATCTCTCATGGGCTTAACTAGGCATACGCACGGATGCACTGTGCGTACAATTTTTTGGCCAACCATGATATTATTTAATATAAATTTAGTGTATTTTTCACGGAATATAAAAGAAAATCCCCTGCTTATTAAAGTCACCTGTATGTACAAATCCTGTGTATAAATTGTATAGGCACAATTGTTCTGACCCCACCCCCCTGTCTTGCATTCTTTTATTGAACTGAGGTAAACAATGCCTGTAACCTTAACAAGTCCTATCTTAATCGTTCATCTAACTGGAACTTCCTTTACCTCTTAATTGGAGGGTTCAGTGGCCCTCAACTCTCCTGTAGCCTCTTTCTTGAGAATATCGAACGCATTCTTGGTGGCGATATCTATCTCGGGTAAAAATCTGCCTGAGTGTTATCTTCAAAGAGCAGCTCCCGCAACCCTGGGGGCACTAGATAAAATCTGGACACCAGGCTTAATAAGGAGCTAGAGAAACAAAGGAAGAATTTTTCCCGCAAAACTTCAAAGAATTTTGACACGGACTTGATCCAGCTTATAACCCCTCCAAACTAACAGGGTGACATGGGCAATTTTTACAAACAAATAATTAAACTGTAAGGTGAATGAAACCGTATGTTAGTTCAACTCAGAGGTGGATCCAGGATTATTCGAAGGGGGTTCCACATATGCGAAGCTAGCCTCCTTTTAAATAAATATACCGTTCTGGGTAATAAGAATATTGAAACTTTTTTAATTGCGAGAATATTTCTGACTAAATGATGATTTTATTATTAATGGAAAATAAAGCTGCGATGTGTGGTACATATGCTGTGATTACGCTGTCCTTCATCTGTTGTGTTAGTCTACATTTTGCTGGGAATTTTAAAAATCTGTGCGTACAATTTTTAAAGGTCTGGTTACGCCCCTGTCTCTGTTTGTTAGGATTCACAGATATATTGTGTTAAATGTGAACTTTCTTCAGGGTACACGAGACTACAGTCCCCAACAGATGGCGATACGAGAGGGTGTGTTTGACACCATCATTAGTTGTTTCAAACGCCACGGTGCGGAGACCATTGACACACCAGTATTTGAACTGAAGGTTGGTATTTTCATATTATCATATGGTCTGAAAGAAACTTTTAATGTGGTATTATGGTATGTTTTATTATGATATTAAAATATCCTAGTCAAACAAATTAATTAATCAAAGTACAGATGTTATTTTATGACATGAATAACCAAAGTTAAAAAGTGAATGCAATACAGTTCCGAGATTTTTTAAATTTTTGTAAGATGTATTTGCTGCCTTTTAGATTTGTAACCCATGAAAATAGATTCTTGAATGTACCATGTAAAAAAAAACATAATGTAGAGATTGACGTTAGTGTATTTTTTACAGGAAACACTTACAGGAAAGTATGGAGAAGATTCCAAGCTTATTTATGACCTAAAAGACCAGGGAGGGGAGATCCTGTCTCTCAGATATGATCTCACAGTATCTTTGCACATGTGGTACACATAGTGGATTTTATTAAGAACATTTGTTTTTTAAGTTTTATGATTTTCAATGAATTGATTGAATAGTATTGATTATTTTTAATTTTTTAACCTTTTTCTATTTGAAACATAAGAGGTTTGCATATTTTTGTGCATGAAATGTTATTTTACTGCTGTAAAATGGGAAGAAGATAAAGCTTTGAAGATCCTGCCGGTCAAACTGATAAAGCTCAACATTTTCAGTGCAGATGAATAGGTACCATTTCTACCTATTTATCACCAGTCTTATATATCGTTCATATTCAAAATTTACCTTAACCAGCAACTTCAGGTTCCTTTTGCCAGATATCTGGCCATGAATAAGATCCAGAACATCAAGAGATACCACATAGCCAAAGTGTACAGACGAGATAACCCCGCCATGACTAAGGGAAGGTTCAGGGAGTTTTATCAGTGTGTAAGTAACTTGGACAGAAAGGGGGATATATGTGACCAGTAACTTCAATATGATACGTACCCCTTGACTGTTAGCTTGATCACTTGTTGAAACTTAAAAAGAATATTACTAAATAAAATATATCACAGAAAAAAAGTCAAAATCATTTATTTTTAAGAGGTGAAAATTTTAAGTATGTATACTTCTATGAGTATATGGAGTAAGCTTCATGGGATGCCTTATCTCAAATGTGATTATATAGGGGATTGGAGGAGTTTTGACATCTGACTTCCTGAGTTGTTATTTTACTGAATATGAACCTGTACTTCATGATTTACATCATTTAAAATCTCCATTTTATGTACCAGACAGTATTGCATGTAAATTTGGCAAGAAAGTCAAAATTAATATTAAAATTTTGCTTAATGTTTCAGGATTTTGACATAGCAGGCTTATATGACCCTATGCTACCAGATGCTGAGTGTTTAAAGATTGTAGCCGAAATTTTACAAGAATTAAATCTTGGAGAATTTGTGATAAAGGTAAGACATTCTAAGATTTATTCCAGTACAATCAACACTCTTTTTACAACCTAATAATAATATAATTTTCATTACAGATCATTAAAAAAATGTGCAGTTGTGAATTGGTATCAAGTGATTGAAAGTGTGTGTGTGTGAGATATACATATAACAGAAATAAGATTGATCATATTGAGTTATAGCAACATGAAATTTGATATGCCATTCTTCTGTCATTAATAGGTGAATCACAGGAAAATTCTAGATGGCATGTTTGGAGCCTGTGGTGTCCCAGAAGAGAAGTTTAGATCTATATGTTCTGCTGTTGATAAGCTAGACAAGGTAGGTAGTAAAAAGTGCATAATTTTAACAAAGCAGCTCATGGGTTTTTAAAAGTCAACCCATGTATGTATGAGATATGAATCAATGATGATAATTCATTGATTTTCTTTTCAAAGTGTGACTTGAATATTTTAACACATATTAAGACAAAAGTCTCACACGTGTATGTGTATTGAATTCTCTTCAGTGGTTGTATTTATTCAGTTCAGATGGTAACATACTATCAGTGGTATTTGATGGGTAGCAGTTTGAAATACAGTGTTTGGATAAAGTGCAGATTAAACAGAATCACTTGCCAAGAATTTTCATGTTTTACCCCTAGCAATTTTCCCATGACCAAGTTATTAAAAAAATGAAACAATTTTTTTTTCTGTACACCGTTTGGCGTGCTTTGAGTATGCACACTGGATATTGTTTACTCATGCACTTCTTGCTTGTGCTGACTAACGCTTACCAGATTTCCTGAGAACATAATTCTTCATAAAAGTGTATTTGGTTTCAGACATTCTGGGATGATGTCAGAACAGAAATGGTGGATGAGAAAGGTTTAGAACCATCTTCTGCAGATCTGATAGGAACTTACGTTAAACAAAGCGGTAAATTATCACAATATTTTTCATCATGTTTGTTTTGTTATCAGGTCATTTGACATAGGTTTATTGTATGCTTATGTGTAATTCTTTCCTTCACTTGTCATCTATTTCTGCATTTTCGTCTTGTCACTCCTGTAGCTCCTGCAAGTCAAATCTGTCAAAAAGTTGGACAGAGATGAAGGAAAGACAAAAATAATAATGTGATGCTGTGGTGAGATTAACAGTACTCACACTAGCACGTAAAATTTACACCACTTAGAGCATTCAGTTTTGGCTAAAAAAAAACATTCATAGTGTCTAATTATTGCCAAACTGTCATCAGATGTGCTAAAGAAATCTTGATATGGTGATAAAAGTTGATCCACACATTTAAAAAGATGCAAAAGTACACCATATCTGTAAATGATATTTTAAAAACTTTTTTAGGTGGGACAGAATTAATAGATATGTTGCTGCAAGATGAGAGGTTGTCCAAAAGTAAAGATGCCAAAGAAGGTTTAGAACAAATGAAGTTGCTCTTGAGGTATTGTGAACTGTATGGAATTAAAGATAAGGTGAGTTTGAAATCCACTATTTAACAGTTTGTGTTAGGCTCTGAATTTTTAAAATTTTCATGTACTGAATAATGACTAATGGGTAATATGTCTTTGGATAAGTTATGTCTTCTGTGAACCAAATTGCCATGTGCATGTGTGTTTAGCAATCTTTACAACACAATATTTGTCATGTCTCACATTCTGTGTGACATCAGACAGGTTTTCAATGTTCCTCCTCTTTTCCATCAAGTCATTAAAACTTTTTTTTTTTGAATTATGACTAGATTGAGTTTGACAAGTGTGAATGTAATATTTGGTTTCTTATTCAATATTCAGAGCCTGATTAGATTACTACCATAGACAATGTATCTCATTGAATATTTTATTGTAATTCACAGGTGCTATTTGACCTGAGCCTTGCTCGTGGATTAGATTATTACACAGGGGTTATATATGAAGCCATTTTAAAAGGCAAGTTTTTGTTAATCTTTAAAAAAATTAAGAAATTGCTTTATTTTCAATTTAAAGATAAATCTGTCTTTTTAATGCATTATTTGCTTTCTCTGTCAGTCTTAACAGTTTTTAAAGGAATTTGTTTTTTACTTGTATGTTAAAGATGAATCTGACTATATTTTGGCACTTACATGTTGTTCTGAGATTTCTCCTCACCAAAATGTACATTTTTTAAACATCAATATATAGTCAAGTTTTTAACAAAGCACATACAGAATGCATGTTCTTGCGTGCACACACATGCACACACACTCACGCGCCAGTTAATGAGGGGGAGGAGCACCCGTCACCTAGAAGATCATCCTCAACCTATTTTATTTCGTAAACAAATCATTATATATCCTATACCCAGGTTTTACAAACACCCCCTCAGCAGCAGGGGCAGGAGAGGAGCAGCTAGGAGTGGGCAGTGTGGCGGGAGGGGGACGATATGATAACTTAGTAGGAATGTTTGATGCCAAGGGCAAGAATGTACCCTGTGTTGGTGTCAGTATAGGAGTAGAGAGGGTGTTCTCCATCATCGAGGCCAAGTATCAGGTAAGGATTTTTGTTGCTTCTCGTGTTTTGGTTTTAGAGATATCTTTCTTGTGTAAAATTTGGAGGTATGATTACCAATCAATTTTTTTTTCAGGGTCGCTTTTCTTTGTTGTGAATTGTAGAAAAAATACAATTATGAGGGAACTTGAATTTTCCAGTGTATGAAATTTAAAGATAGGTATTAATATTTGTTAACTTAAACTTTCCCAGGCATCCCAAATAAAAAGCAGGACCACACAGACAGAGGTATATGTGGTGTCGGCACAAAAAAATCTCCACGAAGATAGGATGAAGCTGTGTGCAGAACTGTGGGATGCTAATATTAAGGTGAATGACCAACTGATGTGAATTTTTTGTTTAATTTTTCAGCCTGGGAAGCTTAAATTATCCCAGGTTTTAAAATTCACTTGTCTGTTTTGAAAAAAGAAAAAAGGAAAGATATTACAGCATTGTTTATAGAATTTTATGTTTTGTATAATAATAAACACTATCTTAATAACCGTAGGCGGAGCATTCGTGCAAGAAGAGCCCAAAACCATTGACACAATTTCAGTACTGTGAAGACATGCAGATTCCCCTGGCAATTATAATAGGAGAATCTGAGCTACAGAATAATGTGGTCACCATGAGGAATGTTTCTTCTAGAGAAGAGGTTAGAACATAAAATTCTGAATTTTAACAAATGATTTGAGTGTTAATTGTTCATTGGGTTTGCAAAAAAACGTTACTGCCCAATTTTCGTGTCACCATATTTTAAGTTTGAGTTCATGTTGCATCCATGGTAATATGTTAAATTGTGAATTTTTTTTATATAGAATAATAAAATGCTTTTCAAAAATAACTTTGTTTGAAATGTCTATGAAACTGATTTCCATTTAGAACAACTAGGCAGTGGATTGCATTATTTATGGACTCTGAGTACATATTAAAAATTTTTAAACATTTCAAAGAGTTTCATGTTAATGACTGATTGATTTTGCAGAAAGAGGTACCAAGAGACAAAATGGTGGAAGAAATCAAGAAAACCCTGAGGGATCTACAGACGCAGTCGAAATAAACCCATCAATGTTTGTTGCAACTGCCTAGTAAAAAGGACCATGAATGTGTCACTCCAAGATCTTTCAAAAACTCACACTATTTATTGCCTCTTCACAAGACAAAGTAACAGTGGTTTGCTCATGGCAAAAATCTAAAGAATTTCACCCTGAAATACTTTATTAAATCAGGATGTGTTTTGAATATGAAATATTCATAATGTGATTGTCAGATAATAAAGTGGGGAATGTATCCGAAGTTAAGATGTTTTTAATCTGAGGGATTACCCTGGCTAACTTTCTCACTGTGCCTCGAATAGAAAGCTCCTTGGTCAAGGATTTTGATTTTCGAATTGATGGATTCTGTTTTGTTCATGCAGAAAAAGCTGCTGTAGGATCATTAGATGTATTTACTAAATGTTGTTTGAAAAGTGTATGAGATTGTGACTTAACGTATATATGTCAATAATTAAAGGGAAAAAATGCATAAATGTACTATAAATGCATCCATGATAAGGAATTCAATAAATTGAGACATATCTTTAGTGATGAATACTGTTGCAAACGGGTGCCCAGAAGTAGTGCACGACCTGTCGTGAAGATTTCATTTACTGTCTATAAACAAATTTCAGGAAGGTTTTCCTCTTTGCATAGAATCAAACTCATTTATTACCACAATTTGCAAGATTTTATTTTTGTAAAACTTAAAAAATAATTAATTTTCAATACAAATCACTTGCAGAGAAAACCCATGCAGTCAATTATTGCAGATTTGGATTATTTACTTCAGTTTCCACCTAAAACTGGTTTTAATATTTAAAACTTAAAATTCAACCAACAAAGTATATAAAACTAACATTTACAATATGGACAGATATGTATAAACTAAAAGAGTAACTAATTTAAATTTTCGTCATAAGGGGAACTTGATTTTTTACCAGTCTACTTCTTTTAAAAGTACATCTAACAGTCTTCAAACAGACTGGAACGCTAATACAGTCACTAAATCGAGTGAGCATCTTAAAGGAATTTTTATTCTTTATCTATCGTAGCCTTGTTTAACAGCATTATCATAATAAAATGCATATACTTTCCTACAAGTTATGAAAAACACGAAATAGCACCTTGAATGAAGACTTGAATTTACCATTACGTACAAAAAGAAGTTATGACACACTTGCTTTTTCCCAGTGCCATAAACAGACTGTACGGCGTCGCTGAGAGTGACGAAGTTTGTTGTCACACATATTGACCAAAGGCATCTTTACGGGCAGTGTACAGCTAAATGCAGCGTCCGATTTCATTGCAATGCATGCGAATGTAACTGGGTTCCACAAGGCAAATATAACATGGATAAAATCGGTTTTTCAACAATTAGCAAAATTTCATTATGCTAAAATAGCAATTGCATAAATTAGACGTTTGTCATGCGAGTGGTTGGTTGGTTGGTGAAATCTAAAACAAAGATGGGAACGCTTTATCAAAAGTGACCCTATCACATTTTTTTCACAATAAAAAGATGCGCATTGCTATACAAGTCCCTGTCGCATTGGGGGTACAATCCCCTTATCGACGTATAACTTATTTATAAAAATACGTTTAATTACCCAAAATATACAATTTTGATATGAAGGGGTTTTTAATTTCCCCAAAAATAACTTTATCATTCACATATCATGGGCGGATTCATAAAAAGAAAAAAAATCCTGGCAACATTCCACGCTACTAACCATTAAAACTTTCCTACAACCTCCTTTTATAACTGGATACTTACTGAATGAGAACTTGACTGCATATTTACGAGTTATTAAGGCTTTTTCAAAGCGCACCCGCGTGTAATATTTTTGTCAATAAATGCTTGATAAACAAATCTTTAATCAATTCTAATGCTGAAAGTCGTTTGGAAGCGCTTGTCCCCTGGGTTGATGTTTCGCGCCAAAGCTCTGCACGTGACCTTGAAAAGTACCCCAAGATTTGGTTTGTCAAATTTAACCATAACCAGTGGAGATCTGTAGTGTTTGGCCTCTTGAAACGGGAAATATTTGGTGGAGAATCCATGTGCTGGATAAAAACTAATAGGTCCGCCGTTTTCAATATCGGCAGGTTCCTGCAAAATTAAGAAAAGGGCTTTTATTCGATGAAAAATTCCTATGGCATACTTAGAGATACACCACCATGCACATGGAGCTGAGCCACGTAACTTCTCAATATTTTCCATAAAGTCGTTAGTCTTTCCTGAACGACAATTCTCGTAATACAGTTAAAACAGTTAAATGTAGAAAAAAACAGCCCTGATAAAAACCTTGTTACCCCCCCCCCCCCATATACTGGATAATAACACATTGAGGTTGTAATTTTTATGTCTATGATTTTGTAATGGGAAAAATGCCTAGCATACTGGTAGACAAATCGAAAGCATAGCTGTATACAAAATAAATTGTGAAATGTTTGATATGCTACGTACAACTTGTAAACTAGCTGAAAAAAAAACGTCATAAAAGCATGCTAACATAACGTCTGTAGGGTAGCGTGAAATGATTAATGTTTTAAGGACGGTATGCTATCACAATTTATTTTCCCACTTCTTTCACATTATACGCAACAAATTAACGCCGCTCAAGTTTGTGTAAACACACCTCAAATTCACATCGAACTCCAACAAAACTTTCCCAAGAGCCGATTGAATAATTGGTTTGGTATTGTCCTCTGGAAGGTTTCGGTACTGTATCTTCTGTATATCCATTAGGCGTCCATTCTTCCGGCTGAAACGAGTTAAAAGAGGCCATGTCACGTTTTGTTACAAACATTACTCGACAGCGATAAAAAATGTTTTATCAAAATAATTTCTTCACTGAGCAATTCTTTTCACAATGGCAAGGATACAAAAATCGAGGAAATGTAGAGGTTTAAGAAAATACTGAAATTACGACCTCCGTATCAATCCACAAGCACTCTCTTCCCGTGATATAAATATCTTTTCAGAATCGTATTGTTGAGAAAAACGCATCGGAATGTGCTCATTGTGTATCTGGTTATGATTCCAGTCTCCGCGATATTGTTTAAATCTATCTGAGCTGAATTTTGATATAGTTGCTACAAATAAACAGTACGAAACAGAACTATGCGGGTAATGGAATATAATAATCATATACGCGTCGAAATTGGGAGAGCTTAGTTGGAAAGGGCCTTTGTCGTGATCAGATAAAGATATTCGCAGATCTACATAATGTAAGCGTCTGAATTTCATTTGTTTGTGCTTGAGGAAAGTTTTCACGAATTATTAAATGTCATTTGGTAGGGGGGATCCAAGAAAAATGTCAAAAAGCGGAAAAAAGACAACCGCATTGCTTTTTCGTAGCAACGCTTTTTCGCATTCTAAACATGGCGCAAACGTACCCCATTCAGCATCAAAAGCACACAAGGTGAAGCTTCGTCAAAACCGTAGTCCTCTTGTCTCGTGCAGCTGCCCCCGAGGTTCCGTAATGGGAAATAACACACCCTTCCTGAGAGGGGGTCTGGAGGACCGCTGATACAGAGCTGCACGTTGTCACTGCTTTGGTTGACTGGGCTATAGCCTTGGCGTGAAATAAAATTATCATCATAAACACCGATTTTAAAAATGGGAATTTATTAATTTGAACAATATTGATGACCAAATTATCTCTAATTTTAGTATTGATGCAGATGAGAAGGAGTGAATATCCAAATCGGCTTAACAACGCAGTGTTATGGGATTTAAAATAAATAGGATTTTTGACCTTTTCTACACAGTCAAGTTTCTTCTCTACATTTTAAGCTTCCCTCGATACTTGACTTTCTTCTCGAGGTCGCCGTATTTCATGATATAAGTATTTTATAGGAAATACGGTGTACTAACGAGCTCACTGCTTATATGCTGAACATGTTATAACTTACCTCGTAAAACCCCCTCTATTTGATCTGTATATCCAGAAAAGGAGGACGGTTTTCCATACCGAAAAAGGATTAAAGTCGACTCTGGATCTTCGACATATGCAGGGAAGTGAAGAAGACCTAGAAATTAGTCAATATTATATGTGAATTAATGTGAAATTTTATCTTGAAAAATGTATTTTATAAGAAACTATATTTTTAAAACACTGCCTGCACTAAGGGCCGACAAAAAAGACCTATTAATTTTTTTCTTACCATCAAAAATCAAACGATTTCTTCGTCTTTATACATGAAATACTTTTGAAAATCTGATGTCGTATTTTTGTTTTGTTTTTTTGAAAGAATGCCTAGTATTTCACAATGCCGAAAATTGTATAAAAAAAAACATGAAATATAACAAGTAAAAATAACAAGATTGTCATTAGCCCTAAATAGAAAAAGGAAATATCGAACTGCTTCATTTTTAGAAAAACACTTCTAACCACCCTCTTTTAATGTCCTTGACTGGTGGCTTTTTATGAGCTATTAAGAATCTCGGTTGAGAATGTGACTGCTGTTTTACCAGGGCATCACCACATACTTGACATTGTAGAAAACATTCTCACTAGCTGACCACATGTGATAGGAATGTCCTAGGCGGTATTAATACTTAACTCACAATAATAAAACATTATATAGCATGGGTGGAGGAGGAGCAAGCATTGGTTAGTTTTTTCTTTTTTTTTTTTTTTT